TGCACCACTAGACATGTTAGTCTAACATATTGTGAAACCCTAAGTTAATCTGACAAGCGGTTTTGGAGAACGGGTGCGGACAAGTTCAAATTTAAAAGCGGCGGAAGAGGAAGAGGAAGAGGAAGAGGAAGAAGAATAATAATAATAATAAGAACTGAGCAAAAACAATAAGTCTTCCCAAACTTCGTTTGGGAGACTTAATAATAACCAAAAGCTGCAAAATTTTCTTAAAATTACCAATTCAGGGGCAGCAACCCAACAACGGGTTGCCTGATTGGTCTGAAAATTTCAGGGCAGATAGATCTTGACCAAATGAACAATTTTTATCCTCATCAGATTTGCTCTAAATGCTTTGGTTTCAGAGATATGAGCCAAAAACTGCATTTTACCCTATGTACTATTTTTTAGCCATGTCGGCCATCTTCGTTCGCGGGCGGGGTCATCGGACACATTTTTTAAACTAGATACCCTAATGATGATTGTGGACAAGTTTGGTTAAATTTGTCTTAGTAGTTTCAGAGGAGAAGATTTTTGTAAAAAATTACAAAAAATTACGAAAAATGGTTAAAAATTGACTATAAAGGGCAATAACTCCTTAAGGGGTCAACTGACCATTTTGGTCAAGTTGTTTTATTTGTAGATCTTACTTTGCTGAACATTATTGCTGTTTACAGTTTATCTCTATCTATAATAATGTTCAAGATAATAACCAATAAAATGCTTCGCTGGGGCGCAGCTTGATACGACCGCAGAGGTCGAACCCTGAACAGTTGGGGCAAGTATGGACACAACATTCAAGCTTGATACAGCTCTGAATTTGGATTGTTATTAAATATTTGACACAGCATAGGTTTCTGACACAGAAAGAATGTGGTCTAAGAACTTGAATTTTTTTAATTTACCTATTATGGTCCAATGTCCAAAATCAAAATACATGGTTAGATTCAGCATATCAAAAAACCCCATATATTCAATTTTTGTTAAAATCAAACAAAGTTTAATTTTGGACCCCAACTTGGACAAACTTGAAAACTGGGCCCATAATCAAAAATCTAAACACATGTTTAGATTCAGCATATCAAAGAACCCCAAGAATTCAATTTTTGCTAAAATCAAACTAAGTTTAATTTTGGACCCTTTGGACCTTAATGTAGACCAATTTAAAAAAACGGGACTTAAAATTAAAAATCTAAATACACGGTTAGATTTGGAATATCAAAGAACCCCAATAATTCAATTTTTGATGAAATCAAACAAAGTTTAATTTTGGACCCTTTTGACCTCAATATGAACCAATTTGATAGCGGGGCCCACAAATAAAAATTCTAAATTCATGGTTAGATTCAGCATATCAAAGAACCCCATATATTCAATTTTTGTTGAAATCAAAAAAAGTTTAATTTTGGACCCCAACTTGGACAAACTTGAAAACTGGGCCCATAATCAAAAATCTAAACACATGTTTAGATTCAGCATATCAAAGAACCCCAAGAATTCAATTTTTGTTAAAATCAAACTAAGTTTAATTTTGGACCCTTTGGACCTCAATGAAGACCAATTTAAAAAACGGGACCCAAATTAAAAATCTAAAAACACGGTTAGATTTGGCATATCAAAGAACCCCAATAATTCAATTTTCGATGAAATCAAACAAAGTTTAATTTTGGACCCTTTTGACCTCAATATGAACCAATTTGATAGCAGGGCCCACAAATAAAAAATCTAAATACATGGTAAGATTCAGCATATCAAAGAACCTCATATATTCAATTTTTGTTGAAATCAAACAAAGTTTAATTTTGGACCCCAATTTGGACCAACTTGAAAACTGGGCCCATAATCAAAAATCTAAATACATGGTTAGATTCAGCATATCAAAGAACCCCATTTATTCAATTTTTGTTGAAATCAAACAAAGTTTAAATACTGGACCCTATCTTGGACCAACTTGAAAACTGGGCCCATAATCAAAAATCTAAACACATGTTTAGATTCAGCAAATCAAAGAACCCCAAGAATTCAATTTTTGTTAAAATCAAACTAAGTTTAATTTTGGACCCTTTGGACCTCAATTTAGACCAATTTAAAAAACAGGACCCAAAATTAAAAACCTAAATACACGGTTAGATTTGGAATATCAAAGAACCCCAATAATTCAATTTTAGATGAAATCAAACAAAGTTTAATTTTGGACCCTTTTGACCTCAATATGAACCAATTAGATAACGGGGTCCACAAATAAAAAATCTAAATACATGGTTAGATTCAGCATATCAAAGAACCCCATATATTCAATTTTTGTTGAAATCAAACAAAGTTTAATTTTGGACCCCAATTTGGACCAACTTGAAAACTGGGCCAAAAATCAAAAATCTAAATACATGTTTAGATTCAGCATATCAAAGAACCTCATATATTCAATTTTTGCTAAAATCAAACAAAGTTTAATTTTGGACCCTTTGGACATTAATGTAGACCAATTTGAAAACTGGACCCAAAATTAAAAATCTAAATACACTGTTAGATTCGGCATAACAAATAAATAAATGTGATCAAAGATTTTACAAATCTAATGCGCCATACTGTGCAATTAAAGATTACTTCTTGAAATTTTTCAATATTTGAAATTTGAAAAAAAAATAATATTTGAAGAATAATTCTTTTTAATTTCTGAAATCTGAAATGAGAAAAAATTGGCCCCCCACAATTTCTTCTTATCCCCCCCCCCCTCTTTTTCCCCCAAAAAAATGCTTTCCCTCAAGATATGGTCATAATCTCAATTCAAATTTCCAATGGAGTTGGCAACCATAATTACCCATTTAAATTTACCATAGTGCTAACTTAATCTAATTTATAAATTTATAATAGAATTAATAAAAATATAGTGTCAAATCTTTCATATGGATTTTTTTGTAAAAAAAAAAGATGAAAACATTTGCAGATATTTTTACTGGTCTTCCTTTATAAATATGCATTTCTTTAAACATAATTTAAAAGCAGTGTAAGGGAAGTAACCAAAACGTTGTATTTGGATTACCTCCCTTACACTGTTTTAGATTATCTTTATTGTTCATTAACCATTACTTTATACATAATTTAAAAGCAGTGTAAGGGAGATAATTTCAATGATGTATTTGATTTATCTCCCTTACACTGCTTTAAATTATGTTTTGTACTAAAGTATTTGTCCATTAACCAGGACAACCTTGTTTTTCCCCCTTTTTTGCCCCTAATTCCTAAACGGTTTGAGCCATAACCCCCCAAAGCAAATCCTAACCATCCCTTTGTGGTATGGAAACTTGTAGTATAATTTCAGAGAGATCCATACACCGTTCCACAGTTATTGTCTGGAAACTAGAAAATGCTCATTTTTGGCCCCTTTTTGGCCCCTAATTCCTTAACTGTTGGTACCATAACCCCCAAAATCAATCCCAACCTTCCTTTTGTGGTATTTAACCTTATGGTCAAATTTCAAAAAGATCCATTCACTTAAACTAAAGTTAGAGTGCGAAAACCAATATGTATTCGGACGACGACGACGACGACGACGCCAACGTCATACCAATATACGACCACAAAATTTTTTTGCGGTCGTATAAAAACTGCAAAATTTCCTTAAAATTACCAATTCAGGGGCAGCAACCCAACAACGGGTTGCCTGATTGGTCTGAAAATTTCAGGGCAGATAGATCTTGACCTAATGAACAATTTTATACTTATCAGATTTGCTCTTAATGCTTTGGTTTCAGAGATATGAGCCAAAAACTGCATTTTACCCTATGTACTATTTTTTAGCCATGTCGGCCATCTTGGTTCGCGGGCGGGGTCATCGGACACATTTTTTAAACTAGATACCCTAATGATGATTGTGGACAAGTTTGGTTAAATTTGTCTTAGTAGTTTCAGAGGAGAAGATTTTTGTAAAAGATTACAAAAATTTACGAAAAATGGTTAAAAATTGAATATAAAGGGCAATAACTCCTTAAGGGGTCAAATGACCATTTTGGTCAAGTTGACTTATTTGTAGATCTTACTTTGCTGAACATTATTGCTGTTTACAGTTATCTCTATCTATAATAATGTTCAAGATAATAACCAAAAACGGCAAAATTTCCTTAAAATTACCAATTCAGGGGCAGCAACCCAACAACGGGTTGTCCGATTCATCTGAAAATTTCAGGGCAGATAGATCTTGACCTGATAAACAATTTTACCCCATTCAGATTTGCTCTAAATGCTTTGTTTTCAGAGATATAAGCCAAAATCTACATTTTACCCTATGTTCTATTTTTAGCCATGGCGGCCATCTTGGTTGGTTGGCCGGGTCACCGGACACATTTTTTAAACTAGATACCCCAATGATGATTGTGGCCAAGTTTGGTCAAATTTGGCCCAGTAGTTTCAGAGGAGAAGATTTTTGTAAAAGTTTACGGACGACGGACGACGGACGCAGGACGATGGACGCCAAGTGATGAGAAAAGCTCACTTGACCTTTCAGGTCAGGTGAGCTAAAAAGGGACATGTAAAACAGTATCCGAACAGGTTCTTTAGATTCTGTGAAAGATTCGTTGAAATCAAGTGAGTGTTCATTAGGAGTTGTTTTTAAAAATTACACTTCTGATAGACACATGAACAAACACATGAACACACACAATAATTCTGCATCCCTGCTTCACTTTATAGCAAGAGATCGAGAGTATGAGAGAATTTTCCAAAATTGATTAATTTTCTCTCAAGCTCTTTTGTTTCATTTTATAGACACCCCTAAAAATTGGCTACAATCAATCTAATTAAAATTAGTTCTCTGCACTTGCTCCTTATTTTCGTTCAGTTGTTTATATGTTTCAATGAGAACACTACAGTAAGTAATGTTTATAAACAATACATGCATTTAATTAACATTTGAAAGATTTTTAACATGTTTAAGCTACATTGACATCAAAACAGTATTAAACATAAATACAGCTTTAAATATTTTACCACAAAGTTATTTCATTCAGATTGTGGTGCAGCCAGAAAACTTGGAGGTTACATGAAGAGTGGTGTATACAAACTATGGATGAATACAACAAAAACTTACTTCAAGGTATGGAACATTTTATTAGGCACATCACGTGTTTGAATGTATGGCAGAAATAACTTAAAAAAAAGACCTTTCAAGAAAAATATCAAAACATCATATTTAGACGAAACAAACCCCCTCAGCGGTCTTGTTATTGTTGTTCAGTGATTTCCCAAGTACAAGAGTACATTTGTCTGATCTCTAGGCTACAGCTTTTAAATTTTACTCTAGATGGTTTAATGTGGATTTGATTATTTTCATGGATATCAGTTTTTGTGGATTAAGGAAATTATATGCATTGTTACATATTTTTAATTTCGTGCATAATTCTGCATACAAACCTATATTAGAAAATTTGTTGAACATTAAAAATAGTTGTTAACCTATAACCACGAAATCCATAAAAATTGATATCCGCGAAAAATACTGAATCCACAGTACCTTAAACCAAAAGTTTAACTTACCTTAAACAAACCTTTAGTAGATATAGGAAGATGTGGTATGAGTGCCAATGAGACAACTCTCCATCCATGTAACAATTTATAAAAGTAAACCATTATAGGTCAAGGTACGGCCTTCAACACGGAGCAATGGCTCACACCGAACAGCAAGCTATAAAGGGCCCCAAAAATTACTAGTGTAAAACCATTCAAACGGGAAAACCAACGGTCTAATCTATATAAAAACGAGAAACGAGAAACACGTATGAACTACATAAACAGACGACAACTACTGTGCATCAGATACAGGAGGGATGATACAGAAGGGATGGACAATCAGATGGATGGGTAAACACTGGAAATCATAAGGCCCCCTCTTCTATTGTTGGTGAGGCATTAAAACTTGATTAGAATAATCTCTTTAGTAATTTAATTCTTTTTTACTCAACCCTTAGTTACTTTCATATTGAAGTATTTTTTATTTCAGATAATCTGTGAACATACACCAAACAACTCCTTCAATGTAATTCAACGCAGGATTGATGGTCGAGAAAACTTCAACAGATTGTGGCATGATTATGTAAATGGTTTTGGTACTTCTCAGGGAGATTACTGGGCTGGTCTTAATTCAATTTATTACTTGACAAATCATCAAGGTAAGACCATACTAAAATTTTGTGAGTTAGGGTTTTTTTTCTTAACAAAAATAGAGCAGAGGGATTTTCTTGCAGTGTTGAAGACCCATTGGTGGCTTTTGGCTGTTTTCTGCTCTTTGGTCAGGTTGTTGTCTCTTTGACACATTCCCCATTTCCATTCTCAATTTAAATAGGTTGGTAGGAATTTTATTTTCATTCTGCTAGATGTTTTTTTTAACCTGAGTATATAAGGAGACCCAGATATTTGTCAAGATTCACTACCAAAAATTACAATAAAAATTAAAAGGTAGACATTTTATTAATTAAAAATTGTAAAGGGTCCCGCAGTGTATGTAAATGATTACTGTCAAAAATAAGGTCCATCAGTAAAATACTGTAAAGGAAAATATGATTTTTGTATGATGTACCTTAGGAATCACTTACTTATACAATACCTCATTTTAAAGTGATAAAAAAAATAAATGTGGAATGTGTCCATGGGACACAGATGATGCCCCCACTTGCATATCATATAAAGTTATAAAGGGACATAACTGAAGAACAGTAAAAGTGACGCTACCCAAATTTGTACTTGATCTGAGTTTTGTGGTAATAAGTATTGTGTATAAGTTTCATAACATTTGGCTGAGGCAAACTTAAATTAGAGAACAGAAACAAAATATTCAGCAATTTTTCCATTTGTATTAAAGGGGCATAACTCTAGAACAATAAGTGACACCACCAAAATTCAAATTTGTTCTATATTTTGTGGTAATAAGCATTGTGTACAAGTTTTATAACATTTGGTTGAGGCTGAATGGAAACGAAAAATTCAGCAATTTTTCCATTTGTAAAGGGGCATAACTCTAGAACGGTTAAAGAGACGCCACCAAAATTCAAACTTGATCTGTGTTTTGTGGTAATAAGCATATTGTACAAGTTTCATAACATTTGGTTGAAGCAAACTAAAGTTAAAGAATGGAAACAAAAAATTCAGAAATTTTTTCGGTTGTAAAGGGGCATAACTCTATAACGGTTAAAGTGACGCCACCAAAATTCAAACTTGATCTGTGTTTTGTGGTAATAGGCATTTTGTATAAGTTTCATATCATTTAGTTGAGGCAAACTAAAGTTAGAGAACGGAAACCAACTTTGGGATGTATGGATGGACAAGGGTAAAACTTAATGCCCCCTCCGCTACGGAGGGGGCATAAAAAGATGCAATCTCTCCAATCAAAACTTTTTATCTAGAAGGATGAACTCCTTGACTCCACTGACTGAGAGAATCCTATAGATTCATGTATTCTGTTTGGTTTATTTCAGGTAACAGCATTTTGACAGTAAACTTACAAGATTGGGCAGGAATTAACAAAAATGCTCGCTACAACTACTTCAAACTGATGGATTCTACACACTACAAGCTATCAATCGGTGGCTACAGTGGTGATACAGGAGACTCAATGTCACAAAACAACAACATGCTGTTCGCCACACCAGACAAATTAGACACCCACAGATGTGCCGCAGGCTACCAGGGAGGATGGTGGTTCAATTACTGTACCTACGCATTTCTGAATGGGAAGTATTATTATGGTGGACCCTACACACCTAGTGGACAGTACTATGATGGTATTTACTGGTACAGTTGGGGAGGATATGGATATTCTATGAAGTTTGCACAAATGATGGTGTCAAATTCATAAACTATGCAAATCATGATGATTTCTTTTACAATATATTCACATATGCAAACAAATAAACAAAAGCAAAATTCAACATAAAAGAAACAGCTATCAATTTTGTTCATTTATGCATTTCATTTAAATTTACTTATATATATATATATAATTAGTTTTCAGAGATGCACATTTTTGTACAGAATCTCCAATTGTAAAGGAACAGTTCCTGTCATGATCAATGTAAAATAATTCAGATTCAGCATAACAAGTTTTCAAAACTGTTATTGTTTATGTATATCTAATCTGAGTTGTTCTTTTTAATGCTGATTTAAATATATTTTAAGTGTACCATATTTCATATAATACTTTTACAAAGGAGATAATTCAGTAATATCTAAAAGCAAATCATTGAAAATGTATTAGTCTTCAAACTTCTATGTGCCAACTAACAGAGGGTAACTGTTATTCATGCAACTGAACATAAAATACAAAATTTGTTGATTAATTCTTTTTTACATGCATTTAGTGAATTTTTCATATTTAGTTCATTAGTTATTTTATTTTTTTCAGTTTTAAAATCAATAAATTTTTATTACGCTTCTAGTTGTTTATCTGCATGTACTGTACATATTCAAATACATCCAATTTTCAAACCTCATACACTAAAACACAATTCAAACAACTGAACCCTTGAGACCGAAAAATCTGTCTGTGTGGACAAAAAAATAATATATCCAAATGATAAAAAGGAAATATAAATTGACAAATGTAAACACACAAGAGACAGATTATTTGGTCTACTGAACCCTTCATAGCTGTGCTGTGTAAATGGACCTTAGTATCTAATTTGAACAATGTCACATAGAACTTCTTTGAAGATGTAAACAACCATCATATATATATTGTAATGCTTCAACTCTGCTGATAAAAATATAATGACAAAAAAATGGAGAATGTGTCCCCATGGACACAGATGATGCCCCCGCTTGCATACAACATTATAAAGGGACATAACTCAAGAACAATAAAAGTGACCCTACCCAAATTTGTACTTGATGATGATCAGAGTTTTGTGGTAAAAATTATTGTGTAAAGGTTTCATAATTTTGGTTGGGGCAAACTTAAGTTACAGAACGGAAACTAAAAATTTTGCAATTTTTCGATTTATAAAGGGTCATAACTCGATAATGATTAAAGTTACACCAACAAAATTCAACTTGATCTGTGTTTTGTGGTAAAAAGCATTGTGTATAAGTTTCATAACATTTGGTTGAGGCAACTTAAGTTAGAGAACAGAAACTAAAAATTTTGCATTTTTTTCCATTTATAAAGGGGCATAACTCGAGAATGGTTAACAGTCAGGGGACTTACTTAAATGAGTGATTTTCTAAATCACTGATTCAAGTAACATAATGTCCATAAAGGTTGGAAGTAAGAGTTGTCTTTCTTTAATAATCACCTATTTAAGTAGTACAAATTAATCACTAGACTAAGTGATTTAATTTTATTGTCGCTTTAAATATAGAATACTAATGATCCAGGGACTAATTATGTTGCTAAAATTATCAGAACCAACATCTGTGTTGATAGAATGACCGGGTCATGTCAGGTGATGACCTTGTATTAAATCTAGGATAATGACATAAAAATCACTTGTTTAAGTATCATACCTCAATTTCCTTCCAAAAAATCACTTCTTTAAGTATCATTATTTTAATAACCCCCACTAATTTCAACACCCCCAAACAGTGAAATTTTGATTGCGAAGAGTAGAATTTTATTACATAACCTATAAGATGAAACCTTGAATTTTACAGGAAAAATACTCTGCTGGGAAAAATCTGTTAAGAAAGTATCAGTTCATTATGTAAAGCCATTTTTATAGCATTTTTTCAACTAAAATAGAATTTGCAGCTAAATGATTGCATCAAAGGCATAACCCTTGCTGCTTAAAAGAAGCAAAAAGTTCATTTTTTTCAATTTTACTAATGAAAAGATATTATCTAAACCTATGTGTTTAAAATTTTGGTAAAACTACAAATCACAATTTGCGACAAAACTTCGAATTTGCTACTTAAATAAGTGATTTAAAAATTCGTAAGGGTTCCGCGGAACCCAGTGTCTCGCCTACTTTTGCTGTTAATTGCAGGCTCAACAAAAATGAGGAAAAAAATCAATAAAAATATTCCTTTAGATACTATCTTTAGATTGTAAGAAGCTTATGTCAAAGTTTGGTATAAATCCAGGATAGTTTATGAATCTAATAAATGTTTTAAAAACTTTAACTGCAGACTGTATTTAATGTTAACTGGAAAAAAACTAAGTCCATTTATAAGTAAAATACGGATAAACAGGTACAAATTTTAACAAAATTTCCTTCTAGATACTAGCTTTTGATCATAAACAAGCTTCTGTCCAAAATTTGGTACAAATCCAGGATAGTTTAAGAAAGTTATTAAAATTTTAAAAACTTTAACCACAGAGTGAATGTATTGTTTCCTGGCAGAAAAACTAAGTCCATTTATAAGTAAAATACGGAAAAAAAGAACTTTTTTTTTTAACAAATTTACTTCTGGATACTATGTTATGATCATAAACAAGCTTCTGTCCATGTTAGGTACAAATCCAGGATAGTTTAAGAAAGTTATTAAAATTTTAAAAACTTTAACCACAGAGTGAATGTATTGTTTCTTGGCAGAAAAACTAAGTCCATTTATAAGTAAAATACGGAAAAAATGAAATTTTTTTTTTAACAAATTTACTTCTGGATATTATCTTATGATCATAAACAAGCTTCTGTCCAAGTTTGGTACAAATCCAGGATAGTTTAAGAAAGTTATTAAAATTTTAAAAACTTTAACCACAGAGTGAATGTAATGTTTCCTGGCAGAAAAACTAAGTCCATTTACAAGTAAAATACGGAAAAACAGGAATTTTATTTTTACAAAATTTACTTCTGGATACTATCTTATGATCATAAACAAGCTTCTGTCCAAGTATGGTACAAATCCAGGATAGTTTAAGAAAGTTATTAAAATTTTAAAAACTTTAACCACAGAGTGAATGTAATGTTTCCTGGCAGAAAAACTAAGTCCATTTACAAGTAAAATACGGAAAAACAGGAATTTTATTTTTACAAAATTTACTTCTGGATACTATCTTATGATCATAAACAAGCTTCTGTCCAAGTATGGTAGAAATCCAGGATAGTTTAAGAAGGTTATTAAAATTTCAAAAACTTTAACCACAGAGTGAATATTTGTGGACGCCGCCGACGACAACGACGACGACGACGCCGACGGAATGTAGGATCGCTATGTCTCGCTTTTTCGACTAAAGTCGAAGGCTCGACAAAAATCACTTATTTCAATAAGTCCCCTGACTGGTTAAAGTGACCCAACCAAAATTCAAACTTGATCTGTATATTGTGGTGATAAGCATTGTGTATAAGTTTCATAATATTTGGTTGTGGCAAAATTAAGTTAGAGAACGGAAACTAAAAATTTTGCAATTTTTCCATTTATAAAGGGGCTAACTCTAAAACAGTTAAAGTGATGCCACCAAAATTCAAACTTGATCTGTATTTTGTGATAATAAGCATTGTGTATAAGTTTCATAATATTTGGTTGTGGCAAACTTAAGTTAGAGAACGGAAACTAAAAATTTTGCAATTTTCCCATTTATAAAGGGGCATAACTCGAGAATGGTAAAAGTGACGCCACCAAAATTCAAACTTGATCTGTATTTTGTGGTAATAAGCATTGTGTATAAGTTTCATAACATTTGGTTAAGGCAAACTCAAGCTAGAGAATGGAAACCAATTTTGGGACGTACATACATACTTTACAGACGGACAAGGGTAAAACTTAATGCCCCCTCCGCTACGGCGGGCGCATAATAACATGTATAAAAACAAATCAGTATATTTTGATACAGGAAAAAAGTAATAAATCAAGGAAACCCTGATGGATGACAATATAAATAGGAAGATGTGGTATGAGTGCCAATGAGACAACTCTCCATCCAAGTCACAATGTATAAAAAGTTAACACCACTGTAGCCACCTTTATAGGTCAAAGTACGGCCTTCAACATGGAGCCTTGGCTCACACCAAACAGCAAGCTATAAAAGGCCCCAAAATGACTAGTGTAAAACAATTAAAACAGGAAAACCAACTGTCTAATCTATATAAGAAACGAGAAACACCTATGAACCACACCAACAAATGACAAACGACAACCACTGAACAACAGGCTCCTGACAAGTATAGATTACTGCTGTACAACTTCACTACTGTAACAGATCCAGACTAACTTTTGTAAGTTGCAAAAATGATGGGGTACACTCAATCTACCAAGATAATATAAACAAGTGGCTCTCAAGAGCCTGAATCACTCACCTGTATTTCAGAGGAGAAGATTTTTAAATGTTAGCAAACTTGATGAACAAATTGTGTAAAATTGTCTTTAAAGGGCAATAACTCCTTAAGGGGTCAATTGACAATTTTGGTCACATTAACTTTTTTGTAGATCTTACTTTGCTGAACATTATTGCTGCTTACAGTTTATATATATCTATAATAATATTCAAAATAATAACAAAAAACTGCAAAATTTTGTTAAAACTACCAATTCTGTGGCAGCAACCCAACAATGGGTTGTTTGATTCGTCTGATAATTTCAGGGCCGATAGATCTTCACCAATTAAACAATTTTACCCCATGTTACATTTGCTCTAAAAGATTTAGTTTTTGAGATATAAGCCAAAAACTGCATTTGACCCTTATGTTCTATTTTTAGCCATGGTGGCCATGTTTGCCGATGGATACAAACTTTGGATACAATTTATAAACAAGATACCCTAAGGAGCATTTAGTTAAAGTTTGAAGGTAATTGGCCCAGTAGTTTCAAAGGAGAAGATTTTTAAATGTTAGCAAACTTGATGAACAAATTGTGTAAAACTGTCTTTAAAGGGCAATAACTCCTTAAGGGGTCAATTGACAATTATGGTCATATTAACTTTTTTGTAGATCTTACTTTGCTGAACATTATTGCTGCTTACAGTTTATATATATCTATAATAATATTCAAAATAATAACAAAAAACTGCACAATTTTGTTAAAACTACCAATTCGGTGGCAGAAACCCAACAATGGGTTGTTCGATTCGTCTGAAAATTTCAGACCTGATAGATCTTGACCAATTGAACAATTTTACCCCGGGTCAGATTTGCTCTAAAAGCTTTAGTTTTAGAGATATAAGCCAAAAACTGCATTTGACCCCTATGTTCTATTTTTAGCCATGGCAGCCATGTTTGTCGATGGATCAAAACTTCGGAAACAATTTATAAACTAGATACCCTAAGGAACAATTAGTTAAAGTTTGAAGGTATTTGGCCCAGTAGTTTCAGAGGAGAAGATTTTTTAAATAGTTTACGATGACAGACGACGACAGAAGACGACGGACGCCAAGTGATGGCATAAGCTCACATGGGGCCCTTTGGGCCCCTGTAAGCTAAAAAGAAGATATGGTATGATTGCAAATGAGACAACTCTTCACAAGAGACCAAATGACACAGAAATTAACAACTATTTGTTGCCGAAACGTACATAAATATTATCAAGGAGAAAATTAACAGCTTCAATCATCTCATCACACCTCCAGTAAGTATATCTAGCATATTTTCCTTTCTCATTAGACTATAATAAGTGAACGGCAAAATGTGGGTCAAAACCCAAATTTGAAATCAATTTAAAAAAGTTCACATAATTATGGACAACTAGTAAATTTTATGTTGATCTGATTAAACAACCTTAAACAAGAAATTAACCTGATATGGGAAGGATGAACAGGACACACAGGTTTTAAGAAATTCCTTCTACTATGGCAGATTTGGTATAAAAACAACTAGATGCTCCCAGGAGTCTGAGATTCAATTCACAAAAAATCTTAGGAGAAAAAATACTTGTAAGTCATGAACATTTCAGTATATATCTTATGATCAACATGATCAATTTGTGTTGTAAATTTTCCCCCCTGAAATTTTATTACATTACAATGATGAGGGCTGTAACTCCTGAATGACAAAAATGAAAATAGTCAATATCAAACTTGACCTCCATTTTGTCTTCAGTAACAACATATTAAAATTTTATTGGTTGGATGCTGCTCAAGATATTGCACAGTAACAACATAAGTGGACATTTTTCCATCAATCATAAGGACCATAACTCCTGAATGGAAATAGCAAAACTCGTTATTATTGAACATGACCTAAATTTTGTCATCCATTCCAAAATATTAAAGTAAGAAAAGCTTTGAAAGAACCAATCTCAAATTATTACATGAAAACAACTTAAATCGTGTTTCCAATAATTAACATATTCAACATCCTGTTTCCATACACAATTCTGCTACTTATTTCTTTTTCTCAGTTTTAATTCAAGGGAAATCACTGGCCTTAAATTTCATACAACAAATTTATTGGGATATCATAACAAACCTTCTCCAAAAAAATGCCCAGTCACTCCATCAAGGGATATTCAAGTTTTCATCAGGTGTTTGTGTAATCTTAAGGGAGTAACCATTTAACTTCAAGAGAGGGGGTTATGGTTTTTTGTCTGAGTCAGACATTTTTTTTTTGCCCAAAGCGCAAAGATTTTTTTTTTTTTTTCCATGCTATCAATCAATCAAATTATTTTTTTTTCAAAATTTAACACTATAAGGTGTAATACCACCAAATCATAGTACGTCACATCCGGTTGCATACGAAAATAGGTCGAAAAAAAATATTCCCTTGAATTTGACAGTTGTAGGTAATTGATCCTACATTTCATTGCAGTAAAACATTTCTGAGTCATAAACATATATCTTGGGTATTTCAAAGCACCATTATTTCTTTATTTGGGGTTTCTATAGAATATTTTGGAAACTTGAGGTTACATGGTTACTAAAGCTTGTACACAGGTTAAAAAAGGGGGAAAATTTGATTGGTTAACTTCCAGTGATGGTTATTTTCTTATATGCAATGAAATGTTATGTGAAATTTTTTCTATAGTACTGGACAGGATAAAACTTTACTCATGCCAAGTATTTCTTTATTTGAAACAAAGATAAATTCTGCACAATTTTTTGAAAAGTGCAAATTTAACAAAGACTAATAGGGGAAAATCAATGGTGGTATTACACCATAAGGTATGGGGAAAATCTGGATTCAGAATATTTTTTTTTTTTGTCATATATGCTTGACCACAATATTTTTTTTCATTAAATTGGGGATCAGAATATATTTTTTAGGAAAAAACCATAACCCCCCCTTGAAGTTATATGGTCGTTCCCTAATGTAACACAATTGTTCACATCTTGGTCCTTTGGTCTATGGATAGTTGTCTCATTGGAATTGATACCACATCTCCATAATCATTTTAATGTTTCTTTTTATTCCAAAAAAACCTCTGGTTTGGCATGTATTCTGAGAAATTTTGCAATTTTCTATCTTACTAACCTTGTGACTTTTGTTGTTTGTTCAATACAAATGGATGATCTTGAGGCTTTGTTTGCACCAATAGCTGAAATGGTGGTTTTTGTCTCAATAATTTAGCTCGAAGCTGTGGTTGCTCCAATAGTTTAGCTCGAATCTTTGTTTTCACAGATACTTGAGGTTGAGGAAGTTTTTGCACCAATAGCTGACCCTGAGGCTGTGTTGGCACTGATGGCTGACCTTCAAGATGTGTTTGCACTGATAGTTCACCTTCAGGTTGAATTTGCACTGAAAGGTGACTTTGAGGCTGTGTTTGTACTGATAGCTGACCTTCAGGTCGAATTTGCATTGATAGCTGACTTTGAGGCTGTGTTTGTACTGATAATTGACCTTGTATTGTTATGCTTGCTGGCAATGTATTCTTTTTACTACTCATTGTAATGTTTTGTAATGGTAAACAATGTTCAACTTTTTTTTCAGTGTCAAACATATTTTCATTTTTATCTACAGGCAGAAAAACTTCAGATTCAACCATAGCTTTATTGTTTGATTGGTCACTTTCAATATCCATGGAATCCTCAATTTTTATAGTATTCTGACACTCAGTAAATACTGTCCCAGCACAGAAACTACTGTGCTTACAAACTTCAGTTTCAGATGTATTTTCAATTTTCATTTTATTTGAGGTCTTTGCAGAGGCGATGATGTTTTCAAACTGTCCACATTCTGTTTCAGATACATTTTCTATTTTTATTGGTTTATTGACATTTACATATTCATCAGCTGTTAAATGATCATCTTTTTTTCTAGATGATTCCAACGTTACGAATGATTCCTTTAAACATCTATTTTGTCGATCAGTCACATGGCCTGCACTCTGAGGCTCCAGCGGCAACTTACAAACAGTATCCTGATTTTTAATCACATTGCTACTTTCTGTAGTACTATGAGGAGTGCTACGTAGGACTAATATATATGTAGGATTTGTACTGTTCAGAGTACCAGTAAATGGTACCAATTTTGAAGAAGGGTTCAGTGTTATATTGCTATGTACTAATTTTTTATTTACATTCTGAGATGCAGCGGAGGGTGAAAGAAAATTTTGTAAGATTGTTGACAAATTTAAATGTTGAGACCCTGATGCTGCATTCTGTTGTGTTGTGGATGGACCAAGTGTAAGGCTTACTGTTGAATTTGTAGCTTTTGTAGTAGCTGGCATCTGCAGTTTTGTTGTTGCAATGAAAGTAGGCTTACTAGCTATAGGTACATTGTTCTGAGATTTGGTAGAGGGAACAAGAGTTGTTCCTTTAGTTGACAATGGTGCCATAGTAAATCCTGGTGTGGAGATTTGTTTCTTATAATCAGGAAAATGTGAGATGTTTCCTTTAATGCTATGTGGTTTGGTTAAAGGGTCACATTCTATCCTTGAGTTCATATTCTGGACTAAAGGAACAAGAACTGTTTCCTGAGCCCTCTCATTAAAATTGACTGAAGATTTTGAAAATGCATTCTGAAAGTTTGCAGAAGGAACTGGTTTGACTTTTGTACCTGAACTGGCAACTGTTTGCATTGGTTTTGGCACAGATTGAATCAGTTGACATTTTGTGACTTCAGGAATTGGTGTTGAGTTAGAAGCCAGTAGAGAATCTTTCTCTGCAGAGACTTGATGTTGACTTGCATCTTTATCGACTACTACTTCACCACCAGGGTACTCAAATAATACTTCCATTTCACCATTTTCTGTCTTAAATGTGAGTGTTGAATCTGTTGCATCATGCTCTAAGCCATGATCAATTTCTGATGTTGTCTTTACAGCTTCATCATGTGGTGCAAGTTTTGCTTCAACTTTATTATCGGTATCAACATCTGTTCCTTTCTTATTAATATCAATATTCATAGTGTTGCTGTTTTATCACATCCTTTGCTTTGCTTATATTTTTATTAAAAGCACATCTGTGAAAAAAAGGAAAAGAGCTATTAATTAAAGAGTAGTAATAGAATAATGAATTGCAATATTGTTTATTGTATAAATTTTTTTTTCTCTAATTCTTACCGGTACTCGATTTATCCTTTTCCTGACCTGTTGATTATTTTTATTTAATCAACATGTGGTTCATTTGATCTCAGTTCTTCATTCATGTCATTGGTCAAAATTTGATTATGACGTCAATTTTTCTTGCTTTCCTCTGAATTTCCTATTCTGACAGCATGAATATATATACAGGCGACCATGCCTGATTAATTTTACCTAGAAAGAACACATCTCTTTGCTGACCATTCGAAAGGAAGGATTGAATTTGTCTGCATATCGTTTAAAAATCATTAGAGAAACAGATTCCAACACCAAATCTTGTGCATTATGATATTTATCCACTCTCGACAGTTAAATTTTAAATATTTAAAACTCTCAGCAGGCCTCACATTTTAACATTGAAAATTAAACTGTCTTGAGTGAATAAATATCACACTCACTACAGTGGTAGAATATATATATATCAGGTAAATTTGAAGTACATTCAGGGCTCAACACAACACTAGCAAGTCATGTATTTAAAGTGGGTAAACTGCTAGTTTCGCTAGTTTGGAAATAGAAAGTAGGTTTTTTCAAACTGAACAGCAGATGTACAGAAGTAAAAATAAATATATAGTTGACATCTATACTTATAATACTGATTCCTTCAAACCAGCAAACTTGTACATAATAAATACTACAAAATCATATTTTATGTTATAACTATGAAATACTACTTGTTGTATTATTATATTCTATGTTATAACTATGAAATACTACTTGTTGTATTATTATATTCTATGTTATAACTATGAAATACTACTTGTTGTATTATTATATTCTATGTTATAACTATGAAATACTACTTGTTGTATTATTATATTCTATGTTATGACATACTACTTGTTGTATTATTATATTTTATGTTATGACTATGAAATACTACTTGTTGTATTATTATATTTTATGTTATGACTATGAAATACTACTTGTTGTATTATTATATTTTATGTTATAACTATGAAATACTACTTGTTGTATTATTATATTCTATGTTATAACTATGAAATACTACTTGTTGTATTATTATATTCTATGTTATAACTATGAAATAATACTTGTTGTATTATTATATTTTATGTTATGACATACTACTTGTTGTATTATTATATTTTATGTTATAACTATGAAATACTACTTGTTGTATTATTATATTCTATGTTATAACTATGAAATACTACTTGTTGTATTATTATATTCTATGTTATAACTATGAAATACTACTTGTTGTATTATTATATTCTATGTTATAACTATGAAATACTACTTGTTGTATTATTATATTCTATGTTATAACTATGAAATACTACTTGTTGTATTATTATATTCTATGTTATAACTATGAAATAATACTTGTTGTATTATCAGTCAGGGGTGCTACTTAAACAAGTGATTTCATCATCACTTATTTCAGTGATTTGATAAATTCAGTTATCACCTATTTAAGTGATTTTAGTGTTTTCTTTGATCTTCAAATGCTAATTTCATTGATTTTCCATATTTTCACAATCTTTTCTATAATTTTCCTACATAAATCAATTATCCCTTTTTCTTTGTATATTAATTTCACCAGTGCGCTTGGGCAGTAAGTTAGTGCGCTAAAGCTTTTAAAAGTACCCTTGGGAATTTTTCTGTAATCAAAAATTCATTAACTACTCTTACTATCAGACAAAGATCAACAATATTAGGTAACCTGATTGGTTTTCTTTAGAGTTAGAATGATCTACTTCAAGGTTATGACCTGATCTACAAACTATTCCAGTTTTTGCATATTTTAAAAAAACTGTAAAAGTGTCAGGCTTATCAAGCAAAAGACAATTTCTGCATATACATAGTTGTTTTTTCAATGGAATTGTTGTCTTTTTACCAATAAAAAAATCAAGCTTGTGGGAAAAATATCAAGAAAATGTTATAAACACTTATTAAAGTGATTACATTTTAACTTCTAAAATTACTTGTTTCAGTGATTTTAAAAAGTCTGTGAGAAAATTTTTAATATTTCACAGCCAAAATCACTCGAGGGAGTGATTCTGAAATCACTTGTTTAAGTAGTACCCCTGACTGATTATTATATTCTATGTTATAACTATGAAATAATACTTGTTGTATTATTATATTCTATGTTATAACTATGAAATAATACTTGTTGTATTATTATATTTTAAGTTATAACCACAATCATGACAATGGAATAAATACTTTAAGAATGACGATATGTCCCTTGGACGATGTGGTGGTATGGCCGACACATCCTATGGACGACGTGGAAGTATGGCTGTCGCGTCTCGAAAGCTACTAACACCCTGCATAATATATATATAAAAAGTTCTTAGTCTTAAACTATAAAAATACATTTTTGTAAGGAGATGTGGTATGATTACCAATGAGACAACTATCCATCAAAGTTCAAATGAAGTGGATGTAAGCAATTATAGGCAACTGTACAGCCTTCAACAATGAGAAAACCCCATACCATATAGTCAACTTGGCTATAAAAGGCCTAAACATGACATATGTAAAAAAATCAATTGAGAAAACTAATGGTTTATAACAACAAAAAAATTTGTGAAAAAAAAACAAATATGACAGACATGAACCAACGACAACCACTGAACTACAGCATGTACAGGCTTCTGACCATATATGTCCATTCAAGTTATTAGAAATTTATCGGGTTTGTTTTGCCAGGTGAAAATTTTGCATGTTTGTTGATTTAATGTTGTGGAAAGAAAGAGAGAAGGGGTCTTTATCATCGCATGAAACAAGTGCCTGTAACATGTGAAACAGTGTAATATAGAGTGTATTATCATTTAGCATGTACACAGTTTCATCACAAGCTCAGGTATTTGGGTCTCTTGGAATTTATGAATTAAATATCAATTTTTAACAATGTCATTTTGACTATGCCTGTTCTGCATGGTATGCTGGTGTCAGCAACAAATATAAAGATAAGTTACAAGTATTACAAAACAAATGTGTTAGATTTATAAAAAAATACTGGATAATTAGATCAAAAGTTGACCATAATGTATTGAATAGTATTGGTTATGTTAATATTGAAAATAGTGTTAAACAATTGAGATTAAACCATGTTCATAATATTTATTACCACCATTGTCCTAATTATATGTATACAAATTTTACAAAGGTGAGACATTTTCATCATTTCACACGAAATAGTGAATATAACTTCTGGGTTCCACCAGTAAAGAGTCAACAAAAAGATACATTTTATTTTAATGGCATACAAGATTGGAATATGTTGCCAAATATTATGTTAAAATAATAAAGAAAATAAAGGATTTCAAAATTAGCGTCAAAGAGTACTTGACCAAAAGTTATAGTGCGGCTTCAGCAGACTTCTTTTTATACTATTAAAACTTATTTTTTATTTTATTAAACTTAAATCTCTTTAAATTATTTTTATATGAAGTTTTTATGTCATATTAATTTGTGTAATATCATTTTTTGTATGTCGAAACTATAAGTCGTTTACACGAAGGGACCCCATTGGAAACAAGCCTTAGAGCTTTCATGGGTTATCCCTGATAAAATATCAGCAAATTTTTTCCATGCACTTACATTTTTTGTAAGGATACTACACTCATAAAATGCCATTATATTTTACAAAGTATGTGTTAGTATTGTCTTTATGTATCGTATATAATTGAGTATTGTATTAACTCATATGCTTGATATTTTATTGAATAAAATATTATTATTAATATTATTATTATCTTGTAGTCCAATATTAAATTATGACGTCTTGAAATGCTATTTTTTTTATAGCCCCTATTCCTTTATCTGTACATAGGTTTATATGTTCCTTTATGTTTTAAGGTGTATCAGGAACATATATATTGATATATTACTGTTCCCAGGGTGTATATAATTGCTACAATTATACCCTATACATGGGTAAGTGCTCCACAGTTAATGAATTAATGGAGGAACATACAAGACTCTGAAACTGATCAGATAGCATATTTACCAAATTGGAAACGGTAGTCTCATGTTTAGCATAGCATAAACTGCTCTTTGCTAACAAAACTTCTATAGAATTTTAATTTAAAGCGCATCATGTATTATCTGTTGTAGTTCGTTCTTGGGAAGGGGAGAGCAGCTTGTTTATTACGTATTACACGGAAAATTTTCAGTCTTCTTCCGTGAAGCGTCCAGATATTACACACGATGATGGCAGATTTGTAGCATTTTGTTTTTGTTTTTCTTGCCTGCAGTAATAAATAAGCTGTGGCATAGCATGTTTGTATGTAGAAATGTTGAAGACAAAGGTATCCACAACCTCCTTACAAAAGTCATAAAGTGTTTGGCTTCATCTTGTATTTACTACAGCATGCCGAAGGGGAGCATCCCTTTCCATAGGCATAGTCCAATTGGCAAATAATAATGACGTCTTGAAAGGCTATTTTATTTTTTTGCTTTGACGCCTTCCTGTGTCGAAATGGGATATAAACATGATGAATTTTATGTAAAAACACAGCATGTATAATTTATCTCAATATCTTTACTACAGAGTTTTTTTGGGAGATTTTATTCGTGATTTGTTTTAACAATGTTTAATAGAAAAAAATTTTAGAATCAAAGATGAAGAATAGAGAAAAATGGCATATAAAATTAAAAACATTAAAGAATACTTTGCAGTCCGGTAGTCCAAATAATTATGACGTCTTGAAAGGATATTTTATTTTTTTGCTTTGAAGCCTTCCAATATTCTGTAATCTGTAGGTGTCGCTGTTGACACTGGATTGTCTCTCTTGTAAATATAAGTCTCGCATGTACGATTTTCAATCTGGTAAACAACTCACTTGTACTTTAATACATTTAGGTGGCATCTGTATTAAAATATTAAGAAATAAAAAAGGAAAAAAAAAATATGATTTAACATTTGTAGTAAAAAAAAAAACTAAAAAAATTTCTTAATCAAAATGGCGCGACTCGCGGATAAAATCACCCAACAACCGCATTAGTGTCTCTAGAGACAGAGGAGTTGTCGTTTTTTTCTATTGACAATAAAAGTTCTAAATCAATATGTACCCGTGTTAAAAAATATCTCATGTATACATAGGTTTCTGTCTAGCCTCTTCATAATTTTCACAAAAAAGTAAATAATCAGGGTAGGAAACTCACTGGAAATGTCTACCAGACCACAGGGCTGGCTGCATAAAAAAATTACCTGTCCTGATCAAAATTTACCAGCCCTGAAAATTAATGCAATAAAAATCCAACCCATTTTCCTTCAAGATTCTAAATTATGTTTTTGTGTTTTGAGATGTTTTAATGTACTTTCGATTTCCTCTAATATTTATTTTTTATTTAATAAACGCGATCGCGATTGGACGATTCAATACCAGCTAGCCAATGAGTGCAGATCTTACAAACAACAGGTATCACCATGTTCGGTTCCAATTGGCAGTCATGATTCTTACGTGCTGTTATGAATGGGGTAATACTGAGAACTCATTCCAAAAATAGAAAAAGGTAATCCCAACCTGCAAAAAATAGACCGTCCACCGGACTGTTTATATTTAATTTTTGACCGCCCGATCGTAAAATAGGCCGTCTCGGGCGGTCAGGCGGGCTATAATTTCCAACTCTGAAATAATGTTCCACGGTTTCTAATTGACCACATTCACACTTTGGATCTACATATGAATTGATTTTGTTTTGATAATTTTTTAGGTAATATCCTGATCTTAAATTTCTAATAATTTTTGATGTTTTATGATCTGGAAAATCAAGTGTTAATTTTTCATTGACATTATGGTGGAAATTATAATAGAATCTTACTGTATCAGAATTGTCCCAACGATGTTGCCATTTTTTATTCACTAAAATCCTTGCTGCTGTTTTTATACGCCCGTTTATGGGACGTATTATGGTATACCGTTGTCCGTCTGTCCGTCCGTCCGTCTGTCCGTCTGTCCGTCCGTCTGTCCGTCGTCAACATGTCGGACATTAACTCAAAATTGCTTAAACCAATTTGCATAAAACTTTGGTGAATTGTTTATATCTATTGACGTGAGCTCCCTTTCGTTTTTTATAAAATTTAGATTTTACGTTTCCGAGTTATGGGGTTTTATTCATTAAAAAAAGGGTGATTTTCCAGTTTTCGGACAATAAGTCAAGAATGCTTTCACCAACTTGCAAGAAATTGTGGTGAATTGTTTATATCTATTGACATGAGCTCCCTTTTGATTTTTATAAATTTTAGATTTTACGTTTCCGAGTTACGGGGTTTTATTCATAAAAAAAGGGGGGACTTTCCAGTTATCAGACAAAAACTCACAAATGCTTTCAGCAATTCTTATGAAACTTTGGTGAATTGTTTGTATGTATTGATGTAAGCTCCCTTTAGAATTTTATAAATTTTACATTTTACATTTCTGAGTTATGGGGTTTTATTCATTAAAAAGGGGTGATTTTCCAGTTTTCTGACAATAACTCAAAAATGCTGTCACCAATTCTCATGAAACTTTGGTGAATTGTTTATATCTATTGATGTAAGCTCCCTTTTTATTTTCATAAATTTCTAATATGACATTGAGAATTAATTATACTTTATTTGTTTATAGTCTGACAACAGATTTACTAAGTATTGCACAACAGCAAGAAATCTTTAATTGAACATAAATTCAATTCATATAACCAATTTCAAGTTCTTTGAATACATTTATTCAGACACCTATAATATGTCAAATATTTAATTACAATCCAAATTCAGACCTGAATCAAGCTTGAATATTGTGTCCATTTTTGCCCCAACTGTTCAGGGTTGGACCTCTGCGGGCGTATCTAGCTGCGCTCAGCGAAGCAGTTTATTATATCTTTGTTTTGTAACTATAATATGGGCTTCTTTTTCAATTTCATTCACCTCTTTAGCTTCTTCTTTAGCTAGTTTATCAGCTTTTTCATTTCCTCTGACATCTGCATGTCCTGGGGTCCATTCAAAACTAATTTTTATTCCATGGTGTTTTTGGATAGATTTAATAAGTGAGATTATTTCATGAGAAGTGGATCTGTGATTTTCAATTTTCCAGTTTAATGATAATATTCCAATAGCTAATTGACTGTCTGAAAATTGGAATATCGAAAGGCTATTTTAATTTTTTTGCTTTGACAAATCCTTCGACGGAAGGCGTCAAAGCAAAAAAATAAAATAGCTATTCAAGACGTCATAATTATTTGGACTAGCAGTACCGTAAATCCGTGATCGGATGTATTTCTGCTTAATTATATACAAATTGTATCAAATTTAATATAAATTGATTTATTGACAAATCAAGTTTGAGTAGTTAATCTCATTTCCCAAAAAATATCTGAAATTAATTTTAAAATCAACAAAACATGTGGGTCATCCGTGTTTTTATTGGAAATGTGTTTGTCCAGTAATCCCCCATGTGCAGTAAATATGTATGGAGGGTCATTTTATCACATTTATCACATTTTTATGAAAGGAAAAAGTGATCTATTAATAGACCACTTATAAGGGGATCCAAGATAATCCCAAAAAAAATTTTCAAGTCAGAAATGAGTTTTGTAAGCAATGATATGATTATCGTTAGCTTTAGGAACTGTATTATATATATCACTAGATATTTTCGTAATAAAGGATTTTTGTGTCTTAACATGAAATAGAATTTTTCAGTTTTATTAAGCTATTATCATTCCAAATTAATCCAAAGGAAAGCAGAAAGCTCATGAAGTCAAAATATGACCGATCTACCTATTTTTGTTCATAAAAAGTCATTTTGATCATTTTTAGCTGGGATTCATCTACCTCCCAAAATCTTGTTAGGGACTATAGATAGATTCCTTTGAAAACTCATATATACAATCAGGTATTCAAAAAAGTTGCCAACCAAAAGTTGTTGCCTTTTATGTAATCATTTGCAATTTGCAATATTTTCCCTTGAATAAAAAACAAACTGTTGTCATCCCTACCTGGGACCTGCAGTTATGTTAGATAACCTCTAATGGTATATATGCTGAGGCTGTCAAAACAAAAATGTTTGCTGAAAATTTCTGGCATTTTTCAAATTACAATTGTCAACAAACATGACAAAAGAGATTTTGTTCTGAAAAAAAGTGTTATTAAAAATCTACGAAGTCACTTTGTGTATAATACTGTTGTGCCAATTACAATTTGACACACAAAAATTAAGTCAACATTTTTTTTTCAACCTGAAGCATACCAGTTAAATGTTAAATGGTTCGGTGGGTTTGTTTCTTTTTTCTTTCAGAACCAGTAAATACTACAATATACCTTCCTTCCAAGTTTGTATATACTTTTTCTTCAATCAAGGTTTTTTCCTTCAATCTGATGCTGTGGGATTGATGAATTTCTAATGAGAGGCATCATGTAAGGTCACCGCAAACGGAAAGGCTGTTAGTGAATCAAAGTGCAGGGAGGCAATAATTCAAAAGCAGTACATTTCTGAAGATTTTGATAAAATAAAGGATTTTCTGTCAAAAGAAAGTCTATGTTTACATGTTATGTAATAAAAGTTTGACATTCAAGTAGATGTACATGTATATATATAAAACATATTCATATTTTTGTTAAATTTAAAGATTAGATCATCGTGACTAGTCTTTAATCATAAAAAATGCTGATATTTAATATAATGTTTCAACACCATATTGTCTACTTATGAAATTTCATCAGAAAAAGAAAAAAAAGAAAAATAACATACATTTTATGTAATATTATACCACTGTTTCAGGTTAGGGTGAAGGTGTTAAAACGTTTAAACCTGCTGCATTTTTATGCACCTGTCCTAAGTCAGGAGCCTGTTGTTCAGCATGTTCAGTGGTTGTCGTTTGTTGGTGTGGTTCATAAGTGTTTCTCATTTTTTATATAGATTCATGAGATCAGACCGTTGGTTTTCCTGTTTGAAATGTTTTACAGTAGTCTTTTTGGGGCCCTTTATAGCTTGCTGTTCGGTGTGAGCCAAGGCTCCGTGTTGAAGGCTGTACTTTGACCTATAATTTTTTACTTTTTACACATTGTGACTTGGATGGATAGTTGTCTCATTGGCACTCATACCAAATCTTCTTATTTATATATATGGGACTTGGAACCGCGATGGTCACGCTGAAATGCGATGGTTTGACGCTGAAGTGCGTTTTTGATCACGCTGAAGTGCGATGGTGGCATTGTGACGCTATCTTGTTTGTAACAACGCCGAAGTGCGATTGTGGTTACGCTGAAGTGCGATGGATTACATAAACTATATTTTCAGTGTCGATGAAAAAGTCAATTTGTTTGTTAAAAGCAGCTTTTCATCTTTATTAAGTAAATCATCTAGAATATTAACCCGTTTAATTAAAGTCATGATAAATATTTCCAGTCCTAATTGTAACGTTGAAGTTTACTTTGGACAAAAATAAGCCAACGTTCATACAATTATTCAAAACGCTAAATACAACATGTACAAAGGTTATTTTCTATAAAAACCAGTGCTAATTTCAATGACTGAAAATGTGATACCGGTAGCTGTTTAGAATGCAATATAATAAGGGCCTTATAAACTTATCACCGTCAGTGGTTTTTACTGCAACTGGAGAAAATATGGAATGTTTTGGCATACTAGTATTCGACATGAATACAACTTGTAAACAGATTTTAATACTAACGGAAAAGGGAAATAATTAGTAGACAGGGGAAATTTGATGATTTAGATCCTTTTTCGAAATCTACAGAAGTTTCGTTTTTTACGTACTATGGAGCTTTGAATTCTCTAACTACATATGGGTCCGCAGAGAGTTTTTCCGTATTATGATATTACGGTAAAAGTGGAACTCATGAGAGCTAAGAGCTGAGATTACGTTAAGATAAACTGTTAAAGCAGAATAATGTCCCCATGCAGCAAATTTAAAGAGAACTATCTCTCATTTAGTATGAAACTGTAACTAATGACATTTATAGACCATTGCACTTCAGCGAACAGACCATCGCACTTCAGTGTGACCATCGCACTTCAGCATCCCCATTGCACCTCCGAGTCCTACATATATATATGACATAGGTTTCCACAATTTTATTTAAAATAAAGAAGTTTTTGATTGGCCACTTCAGTTGATTAAAATTTCTGACCAGTTGGAACAGTTTGTCAGATAAAAAAATGAAAACAACACATTATAAATTTTATGGGTCAGAAGCACTTTTCTGGATTTACCTTCATCAGGAATGCTCAAATGAACAAATTACAATTTGATCAGAATTTTGATTGAACTGCAATACATTTTTTTGAAGGTGGAGAGCAACACTTACAATCAAGTCACAGTAAGAAAATTATCAAGTCAATTTGCAATTTCCCCAAAGGTCTTTTATTGTTAAGGAACTGGTCCACATCTTTTATATATATCTTATGTACAATGATGAAGTCTCTCTGTCTCTTATTTACTGGTTTTAGTAATTAATAATAATAACAATAATAATAATTCTTTATTTCAAGAGGGTTACACAGTTAGCTATAAAACTAATCTTCCCTCAGGCCCTCATGAAATACATTGAAATATAACAAACAGAAAATTATAAAATAACCAAACAAACACACCCATAAGAAAAATCATATAAGAAATTGTTATGAAACATACAATTTTCAAAACCGGTAAAAATGATGAATTCATATAGTATTGACATCATTCAAACTGCCTCAACAATGTTTAAAGTTTAGGTAAGTGTGTGAAAAATTATTACCAGTATGCATATAAAAGCAATATATATGCAATTAAAGCAAGGGACCTTCTAGATCTATCAAGCATCTGACTCACTGTATATTTTTGTTTTCTGTTGTAGGAAAGATATAGTTACATGGCAGTTTAACACTGACAACATAAGTAAAAAAAAAGACATGGCAAATTATGAATTATTTTTGGAAGGATCCAATAAACTATTGAGTTTTGTTGTGCAAACTAAAATAGAAAAAAACAAATATGGAACAAAACATATGTAATGTAAAGCTTTTATATATGCAGTAGAGAAAACTGTAATAAATGCAGTTGTACAGGATAATAATTGTTTAGATAATGCAAAATATTTGATAGCAACTATTCTATATAACTGTAGAAGGGTTATAAACAAATAAAAAAATGGATGAGTCTGCGAGAATTGTGATGTGTATTGGTGATATTATAATTAAAAGAGAACCAGATGAAGAAGAAGAAGATGAAAAATATGATGCAACACTTCACAGTGAAAGTGTAAATAGAAAAGCAGGTGTTGATGATTCTAGCTCAACATTTGATAAAGGCAATTATAGTAATTCTGTAATTAAAAGGGAGTCGATTGAGAATGATCACGGAAACTGGATGAATACATGTACATCAGGAAATTTTCCACCTGGTTTATATCCAGCAAAAAATTTCCCTGGTCAACTAAACACACAGGGTACCATTAAAGATCAGAACTATGATGTAATACGACAATTGTTAGCTCAGAGGTCAAATACATTAGAAAAAAATAGGATGACAGATACAAATAAACACCATGACAATATTGAAATGTCACATGATTCCAGCAAAGGAAATAATAAAGATATACAACAGTATATTGCAAGTAACCATAGTAACATGGAAGAAAGAGGCAGGAATTCCAATAGACAAGAAATAAACTCTTCTTTGAAAAAAACCCCAATAACATCATTGGCCGATGTTGTTTATGTAAAACCTTTAAGAGTAACGCAGCCCGGAAAAAATGATGAGTATAACTGCATAGAATGTGGCAAGATGTTGAATCCTCCTTACCATCAACAGTAAGTATGATTTAAATACATTTGTATGCAAAGGCAGAGGCTGTTACCATGGTTACATTAAGGTTAAATGTAGTAAACTTATTTTATTTAACAATTTGTGGACTTTTAAATGTCCATAATGAAATTGTAAATGTACTTCAATGCAAGTTTAAAAAACGACCACAGTTAAACAGTTTGAGAAAAATACAATATTTCTGGTGAATTTCTTATTACAGTTGGGGTAATTTAAAGTTTTTAATAACTGGTCTTCATTTATGAACAATGTTATAACTCCTTGTTGACTGGTCACTATTTTATATATGAGCTAATGTAAGCAGGTTACCATGACCAGTTACCATATGAATTAAGATCACTCACAATTTTATTTGTTCTACATGTTGTAGGTTAACATTCAGTAGAAGTTATGTATTATTTGCAATTTCAGTTCAGTTTGAAAATTTTGGATTTTTTGGGGGAAGGCATTGTAAACAAAACTGCTAATTAAAAATTGCAGGTATAATATAAAAACTGCTATTACCTGGAATGACATTTTTGTACAGCAAAATGGAAGGGAGGCTGTACTTCATTAATATGATACTACCACCCATATTACCCTTAAAAAAAAAATATGTGGTGTCCGACCCTCCCATACATTTTTGTCGAGCCTGCAACATTTATGTTGCGAAAGCGAGACATAGCGATGCTAGATTCTGTCTGCATCGGCAGCGGCATCAACATTTAGGTTCAGTCTGTGGTTAAAGTTTTTTTTAGACTTAAATAACTTTGTCAAACCTTCATGGAATTTTAGAGATTTGGACAGAAGCTTGTTTATCATGTTTATGACCAAATTACAGTATCCAGAGCAAAATTTTGAAAGTATTTATTTTCATTTTTCCATATATATTTTACTGATAAATAAACTTAGTTTTCTTACAGTTAACAAGTAGATACAGTCTGGAGTTAAAGTTTGTTTCACATCAATTACTTTGCCAAACCTTCATACAATTTTATGAAACTTTGGCAGAAGGTTTTTTGTCTCGCCTTGACGGAGTCAAAAAGCGAGACATAGGTATGCTGTTTCCGGCGGCAGCGGTGGCGTCAACAATGTATTAGTTTGTGATTAGATCTAGTTCATGGTGAACCACTAGTGGTAGGTCAATGATATTTGGTATGCAGTTGTATTAGCATTGGCACATCTCATTACCATGGAGATTATTTGGCCCCGCCCCCTCAGTCAAGGTCTATTGACTTTGAAACTTTTCATAGTTTACATGTATTAGTTTGTGATTAGGTCAATTTATGGGGAACCACTAGTGGTAGGTCAATGATATTTGGTATGCAGTTGTATAAGCATTGGCATATCTCATTTCCAAGGAGATTATTTAGCTCCACCCCCTTAGTCATGGTCTATAGACTTTGAAAATTTTGCTAAGTTAACATGTATTAGTTTGTGATTAGGTCAGTTCAAGGAGAACTATTAGTGGTAGGCCAATGTTAATTAGTGTTCAGTTGTATAAGCATTAGCACATCTCATTTCCATGGAGAATATTTGGCCCCACCCCCTCAGTCATGGTGAATTTACTTTGAAACTTTTGCTTAGTTTACATGCATATGAATTAGTTTGTGATTAGATAAGTTTAAGATGAACTGCTAATGTTAAGTCAATGATATTTGGTATGCAAATTTATTGGCATTTGCAAGTATTGTTTCCATGGAGATTATATAGCCCCATCCCTGATCATGGTTCATTGACTTTGAAACTTTTACATAGTTTACAAGTTAATGTTTGTGTTAAGGTTTGTTTAAAGGGAACGACTTATAATAAGTCAATGGTATTTGGTATGCAGTTGTATTAGCATTGGCACATCTCATTCCATGGAGATTGTTTAGCCATGTACCTTCAGTCATGGTTCATCGACTTTGAATATTTGCAAAACTTACATGTCAAAGTATTGCTATTTTAATTTCAACATTTGCATTATCAAAATTACAAAAAGGCGAGACATATCTCTGTGATAACAGTTTATTATGATTAAGAGATAATAAATGAAGAAAAATTTAAAAAATATATTTTTTTCATTTTCAATATTTTTCTGATAGACAGACTTCGTTTTTTTACAGTTTACATTTACAGACAGTCTGGGATTCAACTTTTTTGACATGATAAATTTGTAAACCTTCATGGATTGTTATGAAACTTGGACAGTAGCTAATCTTCCAGACCATGAAATAGCATCTAAAGAAAAAGTTTGAATTTTTTTTTAAATTCTGTATTTTACTGATAAATGGACTCACTTTTTAAGTCAACATTATGATTTTCCATCACTGTATTTGATACCTAGACAACATAAGTGTCCTTACAAACAACGTTATATTGCAGGGTCTTCCAAGTGCTCCACGAAACCTCTTTCTAAAATATTAACATCAATTTTATCAGCAATCAAAGTCAGGCTTCAAAGTTATTGTGAAACTACTTATTCTAGTGGTGGAGTGAATCAGATGTGGATACTAAAAAATTCCAAAGACCTTTTAGAGTGCATACAATCTAAGACTCTTTCATCTTGCAATACATGTAGTATTAAAACATTTGACTTTTCTACACTTTACACAAGTATTCCCCATTCCAAACTAAAAGACAAATTGAAAAAGTTACTCCTGCTTCGTTTCATAAAATAGAATGGCCAATGTGGATACAAGTATCTTGTCTTAGGGAGGGATAAATCATACTTTGTAAAAAATCACTCTGATTCAAACAAAAAATTCTCTGAAACTGACATTGTCAAGATGCTTGATTTCTTGATTGGCAACATATTTGTTACGTTTGGAGGACGTGTTTTTCAACAAGCAATTGACATTCCAATGGGAACTAACTGTGCTCCTCTTCTTGTCGACTTGTTCCTTTATTCATATTAGGCTGACTTCATACAGGAACGTCTTAGACTTTCCGCTACATAGATGTTCTCTTCCTAAATAATTCAAAATTTGGTGACTATGTTGAATGCATCTATCCCATCGAACTTGAGATAAAGGATACAACAGATACAGTTAAGTCTGCCTCATATCTTGACTTTAATCTAGAAATTGACAATGAGGGTCGGTTGAAAACAAAACTTTACGACAAAAGAGGTGATTTCAGCTTCCCAATTGTGAACTTTCCATTTCTATGTAGCAACATTCCAGCAGCGCCTGCATACAGAATATATAATATCTCCCAGTTGATACAATAATCCAGGGTTAGTTTTTCATATCATGATTTCCTTGAAAGAGGGTTGCTGCTCACAAGGAAGCTATTAAACCAAGAGTTCCAAGCTTAAGTGTAGAAGTTGAAATCATCCCTTCGTAGATTTTACGGACGCCATCATGAGTTGGTTGACCGTTATGGAATATCCGTTTCACAGATGATATAGCGGATATGTTCCAGTTGTCGTAACTACAATCCTGTCCCCTTTTCCCAAATGTGACCTAACGAATTAGACTTATTACCGGGTTGGTACTTACATGAGCAACACGATGGGTGCCACATGTGGAGCAGGATCTGCTTACTCTTCCGGAGCACCTAAGATCACCACCAGTTTTTGGTGGGGTTCTTGTAACTCAGTCTTTAGTTTTCTATGTTGTGTTTTGTGTACTGTTGTTTGTCTGCTTGTCTGTTTTTTTTTTTAGCCATGGCGTTGTCAGTTTATTTCGACTTTTGAGTTTGAATGTCCCTTTGGTATCTTTCGCCTCTCTTTTACACTATTACACTGCCAGCTGTCGTAGGCTAGACACAGGGAACCCCTTACAAATTTTTTTCTTGGAATAGCCATAACTTTCATCTTTTGTCAATGTTTGTAGAACATAAATATAATTTTAAACGCAAATATCGGATTTTAATTTTTCTCATCGATATAAGCTATTTACAAATCAGTGCTTCATTTTTGTCCCCTATATGGCATGTTGCGGGGGACTTAGACATACTGGGCATCTGTCTGGTCTTGTTAGCGCTCTCGTGTGCACAATTCTTGCCAGATTTGTATAAAGCTTGATATATATCATAGGTTTATATCAGTATTGTCTCGGACAAGTTCGAAAATTAGTGCGGATCAACAATTTTTATTTAAAAGATTTCTAGAAATGCTCTTTGGAAATGTTTATTTAATAGAAAATTGCGTTGTTAGCGCTCTGATGTGTACAATTCTTGCTAGATTTTTATGAAACTTATATCATAGGTTTGTATTATCAATGTCTCGGACAAATTAGAAAATCAGTGCCCATCAACAATTTTTATAAGAGTTATGCCCCTTGGAAATACCAGTTATATGGAAAATTTCATTGGAAGCTCTCTCACTTGAACAATTTTTGCCAGAGTTTTATCAATTTTATATCATCAATGTCTTTGTCTTGGACAATTTTCAAATTCAGTACTGATCAAATATTTTTTAAAGTCATGCCCCTTTGAAATATTAATTACATTGGAAATTTCATTGCATTGCATTTGCTCTCAAGCCTTCATTTCTCTTAATATAAATATAAGGAGATGTGGTATAATTGCCAATGAGACAACTATCCTCCAAAGTTCAAATGATGTGGATGGAAGCAATTATAGGCAATCGTACAGCCTTCAACAATGAGAAAAACCAATACCGTACATGTGTACTCAGCTATAAAAGGCCCTGACATGAAAAATATGAAACATTCAATTGAGAAAACTAACAGCCTAATTTATAACAAAACAATTTATGAAAAACAAATATGGCAGACATGAACCAGTGACAACCACTGAACTACAGACTCCTGACTTGAGACAGGCACATAAAGAATGTGGTGGGGTTACACATGTTTGTGAGAACTCAAACCTCTCCTAATCTGGGACAGTGGTGTAACAGCACAACATAAGAACAAACTATAAAAATCAGTCGAAAAAGGCTTAACTCATCAGATAGATACAAAGAAAAACATCAAACAAAAATACAGACAAGACATGGCAGTGTATATATCCATCCCTCATCCCTAACAATAAAAAAAGACACTAAGTATAGGTCTGAGAGTACTTGCAGTTACTGACAGCTAGTTCAAAGCCAATAGCAGCTAAAAAAAAAAACATCATGACCATGTCTAAGACTTGAACATGTTAAATATTTATAAAAAAATTTAAAAACAAAAAAAAAAAGTTTTTTTTTTCAGTTATTGCCCTTGGACAACATATTAAATTTTAATTTTTTATATTAATTTAACCTACAAGTATTTACAAATTGGTGTTTTATTTTTTCAGTTTATGGCAGTGTAAAAGTTGCTCCTTTGCCAGTGTTTGTATGATTTCATTCAAAGCCCACTATAACAGATGTCATAATGGTTCTTTGGGTCCATTGAACAAAGTTAACCAACCATGCATACAGGATATGTCTGTGGACACCACTTGGCTTTTGTGTAGAAATTGTAAATCTTTTTATACTTGCAATCCAAAAAAAATGGGTACGTACTATATGTACTTATATGTATTTTTAACTTGTACTTTCCTATAAATTTAATCTCTGGTATCAAGGGTCCATGTCCTTAACCATTCCTGCTAAGGGATCTTTTTTCCCATAATTTTGATATGACCACTACAATATTTACATATAAAACATAATATCAGCAATTCCACAACAATTCAAACACCTGCTGATGTTTTAAAATCTTAGACTACATGTATGTTGTAAATTTTTGTTACCGTAATCGGCCTTGTAAAGTCTGCACCGGTATATTGTCCAAACCCCCCTTTTCGCCAAGGAATATTCAGAGAAAAAAAACTGTTACTTCTTAAAAACATCTAGTGAAACTCTGGTAATTTCAAAGCATGCGTGATCGCTTGCGGTATTTTCATGGAAAACCCTATTTTCCATCATCCAGTAGAAGTTGAAAAGGCTTGTAAATGGTTCTAGAACTCTTCATGAGTGTTAAATTAAACCAAAATCAATAGAAAAACAATTGTACAAGTTGTGAATGACATTAACCAGAAATCAAAATAGAATGTTTAATAGCAAACAATTACTGTGTGAGAGTGTGGAAAATCCGTGCTTAAGAGATATCACTTAAGAATACGACTATGAAACTAAAAACAGTTCCGTCTTTTTGTGAAATACTATCAGATATATTCATCACATTAATGTTTGATGGACATATAGCTATAACAAAACATGCAGCAGTATGTAACACCAAAACAGAACAAATAACTGATTACGTTTTGTAGTTTATACATCGTTATACTTATACATAAGCTGGCTGACTTCTTCATTTTTTTCGTAGCGTTATTAACAAGCGGATTCCAGTTAAATGTATGCAATTCTGTGAAAAGAAATGATATAATTGTAAAGAAGCATATGATTTTGATACATATCAGATAATATTGGATTTTTAAAATTAAAATTGCATATAAATATGGATTAGGTAAATTATTAGTTTTGAAAAGAAATAAAGGCGCCCTCTATAATTACAATAACAAACATGGCGGAATATAAACAAACCTAGAGAAATCAAGTTTTTCCCCTATTCCTTGCTTATAGTACATATATACTCTATAATCTGAACCCCTGCCTGGAAATTTTAATTTTGGAGTAAAATACAACGTAAAATACACGACTGAATTCGGTAATGTTATTGAGTTTAAGTAATGTTTTCTCTATATAGACTTGATCTTTTATCAAATTAGGAAATACTAAGCAACAACTTTTGGTCAGTGTTACTAACAAATTATTCTATTTTGCATTATGGTAAAAAAGAAACCTTTTTCTACTATCGCAATTAACATCCTAAGATTCAGAAAATCCAACTGAAGGAATACCCAAATGAAAACTATCAAGAAAGACAACTGTCGTAAATAATCTCCCACCCATTCCCTTGACTCAAAAAATCCAACTGAAGGAATACCCAAATGAAAACTATCAAGAAAGACAACTCTCGTAAATAATCTTCCACCCATTCCCTTGACTCAACTTATTTACAATGATTGACACTTATGTGTTTTACATAGATTTGTATGTTGTCTTTTTACAAAGATTGTTTTACATAGAATTTTTGTTTTCTTTGCCAAAATAAACTTTTTATATAAAATTATTCTTACAGATGATCATTTAAATAAATGTGCTAATGGAAACAAGAACTGTATTCAATCAGGTAGGTCTAATATACAAAAAAACAATAAGTTCACATTTGGTAATTGAAATCTATCCATTCCATTCTTACATTAGAGCATATAACATAATATCCGCTAACATTTGCATAAGACTAAGAAAATAAGGTACAGGCGAGACATTTCTCTTTGTCAACCGCTTATTATTTTGTATTAAGATAAGGAGATGTGGTATGATTGCCAATGAGACAACTATCCACCAAAGTGCAAATGAAGTGAATGAAGCCCTCTACTTGCATGTACTTTTTGTTGACCTCCCCAAAATAAAAGTTTAATATTGCCATGTGTGATTGACCTATTCCATCTATTCAGATGAAACAAAGTATCCATCAACAAATCTAGTTTTTAACTCAATTTTGAAGTAGTCTCAATTAGTAGGGTGCCCAGTGTCCAAAAAGTCCTCTAGTTAATGAGTTTCAGTTAACGAATAACACACGGCTATTTTTGTTTGCAAATTATAGGAAAATCATTATATTTTACAATCATGATTGTCGTAAGTTCCCATGGTCATGAATCGATTTTCTAAATTTCGTGTTTTTACAGGGTACCTCCAAATACTGTATTGTACAGGAAATCTTTAACATGAAAAATAAAATTATTACACTCTTTGTTGTTTGTTAAAATAGTACTTATAATATAGTTTATACATTAGATATATCATATAACAAAAGCGGAAAGTATTTAAGTGATTTTAGTATAATTATTTCTAGCATTTTAGTCAGACTAAAATTTTACCTTAAATTTACCACATTTACATCGAAGGCCAAATTATTATGTGTATCATCACAATAATTTTTACTCTGATTAAAGCAATAAGACACGGTGCATGTGTGTGTGTCAAATTTCATGTGCGAAATAAAAGTAGTTTTGAAGAAATTATCATTAAAAACACGAATTAAGTCAACATTTTGGCATAGATTAAACATGAATTATCCCGTGACATCAATCATTTTGTTGCTTACACTATTAGGTCATTAACAAGGACAGTGGTCACTCATAACATTTCTCATTATGGCTTGTTGTGTGGTTGATTTATTTGTTTTGAATAGCAAGCTAACTTTGTAAATTATTATTTTCTTCGGAGGAATATGTTTTTGTATGTTTTTTAATAAAATACTTTTAACTATTTATTGAAATGATATTTTTGTTATAATTGTAGTATAAGAATCAAATCGATAGGTTTCGTAACACATCCGGAATCAGGAATATGGCACATCAAGTCTATGTTATGGTCTTGCATGATGTTTTGGACCTAAACCCCCCTTGGTGTGAAAGACAATTGTTCGAGCAAACCACTGAAGCCCATGACCTATATGTGCCAAGCTAGCAGCATGAAACTTTTTTCCGGATTGACCATTTTGTTCATCTGTTACTACGCATTCTTATTTATTAGCAACTTTGCTGCGCGAAAATTAATTTTCACTTTTGTACACATTTATATCCTTAAATATCCTGCATTTCATGTTGCAGAGTATTCATTTTCATCCCGTCTTGTGCAAAGTCACTGATTTTCATACCAGGTCAAGTTATTGTTTTACAAAATCCTCCTCTCCTCCCTCCTTTAGAAATCAAATGGTCAGTTCCTTAATGAAAGCTAATGAAAGGACGTTATCAATTTATAGTGTGAGGCCTATATATCCGGGTCTTTCATAGCCGACCATACAGTATGGGTTTTTCTCATTATTGAAAGCTGTATGGTTGCCTATAACTGCTTACTTCCACATCTCCTTATTTTTATATTATACAAGTATTACATAAAATTAACATTATCAATGTTCCATGCAAATGAGGTAAAGACAGATGAACTTGGTCACAAAGACATGCACACTTTGCTACCATTAATTCTATACACCAAATATATTTTACCCACTACTTCATGTACTTACAGTATCTTAGATAAGGACTTGACCACTAAAACTTAACCTTGTTCACTGATTCATGAAATGAGGTCGAGGCCAGGTGAACCATGTTTGACCAACATGTTGACCTTGCAAGGATGCCATATATTAGTAACCAAATATTGTTATCCTAGAACTCATGATAAAAGAGATGAGAAGGATCCTGGTCACGGCACCAATGTAGATTAATGGGTTGCGTTGTGTATTTTGATCGTAAGCTTAACTAAAGCGTGACAGATAGAACTACGTCTGCCATTATAAGTTTCTATTCAATAAACATAATTCACATCACAATAACGCGACGTCACAAAGATAGCGGCCGCACCGCAAAAGGGTACGTTTAACATTAGCGCAATTCTTAACATTACCAAAGGGACATTAAAACTCACGAGTGAGACATTCACAAGACAAAAAAAAAACAGTTTTTTAGCAGTCACTAAACCATGAAAATGAGCTCAAGGAAAATAATTATATGACAGACGGGAACTTTGTAACACAATGGATCTATATACAGTCAAGGGTGCAAATTAAATAAGTTATTAGAGAAAAATAACATACATGTGTTATTACAGATACTTTCATGAGTTGTCTACTCTTTTTTTCTTAATCTGTAGTAACATATGTTTGTTATTAGTTTAATATATCATAAATATTTTCATTTTTAGTGGGCACTTGCCACTTGGGAATTCTTGAAACTTTGCACAGCTTAACCTTGATAACTAATTTTCCAATTCAATTGATACGATTTTGATCAACCATAGTAAACTAATGAGACAAGGCTTTTAAGGGATAAACTAAGCTGTAATAACAAGGCTTAGTTATTACAGGCATGTAATTTTTATATGTAACACTTAAGAATTACTTGGAATCTTGCGCAGAACCTCATTACATGCTCTGATCAATATTTCTTACAATAAATTAAAATACATTGTGATATATGTCTGTGCAAAGGCTTTGAAGAGATGTAGAGAGGCTGTAATAACACCCTTTAGTTATTACAGGCATATATTTTCTGTAATAACATAGGAGTGCTATGCATGGTTGGCAAAATATGAACTGTATATCTTTCTAAAGTTTAGTATACATAAAGACAATAATAATATCAATAGAACTTGTATACAATTTAACAAAATAAAGGATGTATATTGCCCCTCTGAAACATGTAACATACATATGTTATCACAGTTTATTTATTTTCAGTCCACAATAACAAATGTATGTTATTTTTCTCTAATAACTTATTTAAGTTACACTCTTGACTGATATACAAAGTATGGTTCATCCCATTCCTGTACCCTCTGAAATATAAAGATATACAAATAGTTTACGGTGTTGCCGCCTCCACCATCAGATTGTATGCTGTATGCCTCGCATTCTGCAACTTGCTTCGAATGCAATTTAAAAAAAGCAACTGAAATTAGCTCTCTAATCTAAACCTGGTCAGTGGGCTTTCTTTCAACTCAACAGTCGACAATGAAACGTAATAGCTACTGCTAGCTTAGGCAATTTTTCTATGTTGTTTCAATCTGATTGAAATTCTGAACTATATTAACTAGCATGCTCGTATACATAAACTCATATGAGGATAACGAAATCAGAGATCTATATTTTAATTAGATTGATGTTGTTACAACCCTCTTTTTGTATATAATCTTTAACTTCATGTCAACACACCTAATCGCTATTTATTTCATTCCGGATAAGTTCTAAAATTACACAACTTTTTCATCCAGTTGAAGCTATCTGGGGCCCTGTTTAAACAATGCACCATGCATGATACTTTTTAATGAGACCTGTTTAAAACATCGTAAATACTTCAAACAAAATATTTTTTTGACTATAATTTGAGTTTTGAAAAAGTGGATCATAATCTATCAAAGTTTCCTATTGATAGCTTTCTAAATTTTTCCCTCCCTCAGCTCGTTACTGATGACCTTTGTTGTTTACCCTGTTGACCCAAACAGGAAGTTGTCTAAATGACTGTTTTTTCCGGATTGGACTAAATAGTGATAAGGTGTATTGTAGGCCAATAAATGTTATTTCTATAAAGCATAGATATACTCAGACCTGCTAATTCAATTCATTATACGTTAATATCACACCAGTTTTGGTACAATTTTATGTGCTTCCACACTCACCAAAAGAAAACTGGATATCTTCCCTGAAAATTATTACGAACACCTATCAAAAGACGGAAAAATAGCATTTTGGAAGGACAACTTATACATGTTAATATCTAAAAAACATCTCAAGAGATCACTTGTATTGAATCTTATGAAAAAATTCTGAATTTGGAAATTTTAATAGGTCAAGGTCACTGTTGTTTAACAGCTGAATGAAAATTGTTAATGTGCACCCTATTAGTATGAATGTCAATCTCGAACCATATTTGTCAACATGTACGTATATCAAATTATCCTTATAAGAAACTACAGTTATGATCCTTTGAATTATTTGAATTTATTTTGCTATAAAGGCATATATGTAGGGGTGACCAGCTGTCTAAACGTGACTCTGCATTTTCCTTGAAATTTGAGGTTTGATCTTTGGCCCAGATTTAAGAAAATCGTGAACACTGTAGACAACGACGACATCAATATTTCGATGAGGCTTGTTCTCCTCTTTCCAATGATATCAAATACAGCCGTGTGTTATTCCGTTAACCCAAATCAATAAAATTCATTGACTGGACACCCTACTAAATGGAATTTATTCCTAATTTGTCAAGAGAGTAATTTCAATTTAGAGCTGTACACTTGTCTATTGTTTGAGACTATGTAAAAGAATGAATGAATGAATGAATGAATGAAGGAAGGAAGGAAGGAAGGAAGGAAGGAAGGAAGGAAGGAAGGAAGGAAAGAAGGAAGGAAAGAAGGAACCAACCAACCAACGAATAAATAAAAACAAACAAACAAACAAACAAATGCAAAACATGATACAGCAACACAAACAAATTGTATATGGCTAAAAAGAGATTTTTTTTTCTAAATGAAAATTTTATTAAGCCTCATGCCTACAAAGTTTTCATCAGATTGTCTCAAAACGAAATTGCAAAAAAAAAAATCATTTAAATAGTGTTTTTATGACATAAATATTAGAAAAATTCTTTAGGCTCTGAAACACAATGAAAAAAAGTCTTCAGAAATATTATGCTAACCTGCTTTAATGGATTTTATGTTAGTGTGCTATTGATAATGTTAGTGGAGCATCTGTTAGCTCTGTTTTACTTGTTTTCAATGCAAGTATTTGTAGAAATATTATTTATTAAACAAACTTACTTTGAAAACTATATTAGACACAATTATTACAGGTAAAACTGACAGTACTGCCACTACACAAACTGCACCTTTAAATCCTGTATCAGAACTAGTAACTCCTTTACAGAATGTCCATAGTCAGGTAAATTCATTACAGGTAAGTCTTTCATTACGGTATAAGTTTTGATGTCTTTATCTCATTTTTCTTTTCAAATATGATAAATCTTGCCTCGGTATTAAGGTAGTAAGTAGCCTGATTGGCTTTATTGCAAGTAATTTGATACTGATTGTGTCAAATATAACACACATGCTTTTAATGTCTAGTGTTTACTGCTTTCAAGAACAGGGCTTAGTAATTCTTTATCTCTTTTGAGAATTCGAAAATGTAATTTATTAACTAATTGGACTATGATGTCTTATTTAAGACACAAATAAAATATTAATTTAATTTGCTATTATAATAGACATTCATAGTACCTATGGAAGGCATTTTGAAAATAGAGTAACTACATACAGAAGAAATTTTGGAGACCAGAATTCATTTGTAACTTGCTGAACAAAGTATTTCACACCCGCTCATACTGGCAAACTAAAATAGCCTTCCTTTTTTTTATTGAACAGACTTTATCATCATTAGTCCTTTATCTAGGTAATATCTCTGGCAAACTAAAATAGCCTTCCTTTGTATTTATTGAACAGACTTTATCATCATTAGTCCTTTATCTAGGTAATATCTCTGGCAAACTAAAATAGCCTTCCTTTGTATTTATTGAACAGACTTTATCATCATTAGTCCTTTATCTAGGTAATATCTCTTGCCAATTACAATAGCATTAATGCATTAAGCATTCTACTTCATGTACACCAACTGGTTTTTTTATAACAGGCTAGTAATTCTATTCTCCATGGTATGTTAAATGAAGGATACAGTGCTTACAAGATTCTACAGAAAAGTAAGTGAATTAGGTACTGTAAATTCAGAAATTATTGCGAGGTTTTTATTAATGCGAATAATGCGACTTATTGAGTATAGCAATAATAAGAATTCACATTCTTATATCAAACACATTTATACGTATGTAGCTTTTCCTAAAATTGCAATAATTAAACATGCTTTTCTGTTCTTTTTTCAAAATTCCCAATAATAAATGCACGCAATAATTTCTGAATTTACAATATCTCAAACACCTTGAAAATCACAAAAAAAGAATAAGTACATGTTCATGTCTTTAACCAAATTAAATTGACTTCACATTTGAATGCACCTTCATCAATTTTTGTCTCGCCTTGTGTATTAGTTTGTGATTAGGTCTAGTTTATGGTGAACCACTAGTTGTAGGTCAATGATATTTGGTATGCAGTTGTATTAGCATTGGCACATCCCATTTCCATGGAGATTATTTGGCACTGCCCCCTCAGTCATGGTCTATTGACATTGAAACTTTTGCTTAGTTTACATGTATTAGTTTGTGATTAGGTCAGTTTAAGGGGAACCATTAGTGGTAGGCCTATGATAATTGTTATGCAGTTGTATAAGCATTAGCACATCTCATTTCCATAGAGAAAATTTGGTCCTTACCCTCCAGTCATGGTCTATTGACTTTGAAAATTTGGTTAGTTAACATGTATTATTTGTTATTATATCAGTTAAAGATGAATTACTATTGTTAAGTCAATGATATTTGGTATGCAGATGTATTGACATTTGCAATTCTCATTTCCATGAGGAATATATAGCACCACCCCCTCATCATGGTTAATTGACTTTGAAACTTTTGCATACATGTAGTTTACAAGTTAATGTTTGTGTTTAGGATTGTTAAAAGGGAACGACTTATGATTAGTCAATTGTATTTGATATGCAATTGTATTAGCATTGGCACATTTCATTTCTATGGAGATTGTTTAGCCATGCATCCTCAGTCATGGTTCATTGACTTTGAATATTTGCATAACTTTCATGTTAAAGTATTGCTATTTTGAATTCAACATTTGCATTATCAAAATAACAAAAAGGCAAGACATATCTCTGTGTTAACAGTTTATTAATATTCCTACTTGAATCAAAAGCAGCATTGTGATTAAAAAGCATCATCAGTTGTGACACTAACTATTTCTATGACTCATAATTCCTAGATAAAATGCCATAGTCACCAATAAAACAGAACTTCCAAAATAATCAAAACACAACTAAAGCATGTTTACAAGAGACTAAATGGGCAAGAGATTTTCATGAAATTTTCACTATCAAACTCAGAAATATTTGCAGTTTCTTATGGTTACTGTTAAATGATTTTCATTTTTTTGTTTTAAGAGTTCATGATTTAATTGCAAACTTTACAAAATTCAAGATTTTATAACTGATATCTAACAGATATGTCTGGTGAACATCTGGAGGATTTATAATATTATAAAATAAGAAATTATTGCATGTATTTATTATCTAGAATTTTGACGAAATGGACATAAATGTAGATTTATTATTGCGATTTAAGGAAAAGCTGGATGCAGATCTTCATCAGATATCAGAATGCAAGTTCTTATTATTGCAACACTTGTCCCGTTGCATTATTCCAATTAATTAAAACCTCACAACAATATTTACAGTTTTTTGCAATTTTTTAAATCAGGGGCTAAAAGGTGACTTTATGATGCCATCTCCTTACAACCTAATAGGAAAGTGAAACATTGCCTCATGCTTACAAGGTTTTGAAATTGAAAGCAATAACCATTTACAATGCAATATTATATTATCATTTGAATTTTATATTGGCAGTGCTTACAGAAGCAAATCGTGCAGAGTCAAAGGATTCATCAACAGCTCCCGTAAAAATACCAGCAGTTAATCAGAACATTGATCCAAAAGAAAATCCCGCGGTACAAAAGTCCGAATTTCCCAGTCAGTCATATACACCACATCAAGATATATCTTCAGATGGACAAGATTCAGTACGGTATGGAATAATCCATCGTTAAAAATAAAGAAGATAACAAATTGAAGGATAACAAAAATATAAGAGCTAGAACTAGATATACTTCATCAACCATTATATCTTTTAAATGTTTCTAATGTTTATCCCTCTGCTTTTAACGAACATCAATGTAAAATTTTACTTGAAGAAAAATTCAAAGACTATATTAGACTTGTAGAGGTTGTTTTGTAGAATTAAGCAAAAGTAATAATGTATTAACTAAGCTTTATTTCAATTTGACATTTAGGTCGACAGAACCAAGAGAAAAACTGACTTCCATTGCCTCTTATCTTAATACAACTCAAAGATTTACGAAAGTTGTCAATGTTTTGCATCAAAAACCTGGACTCCAGTCTCAAAAAGTGCCAGGTGTTTCGAAAGAAACTGCTGTACCAAGATTATTGCTGGCTAACAATGATAAAAGAACTGCAGTACCAAGATTGTTGCTGGCTAACAATGATGGCAGGACTGCAGTATCACCACATGAAGATTTAACCTCTGAAAATTTTCCTCCTCATTTCAAATCTGAGAATTCAGTTCCAACATATTTGAAACCCTCTATCACACCTGGAAATTCTGATGTTTTAAGCCATCTTCCTCAAAATCCAACTCAGGGTATGGCCCCAGGATATACCTTGAATCATGCTCCCAGTACTTTAAACACTGTTCCAGGATTGTCAACAGAACCTTCTATAGTATTGCTTAATGGAGTACCACAATATAAGTTGTTTACATATAATCCAGCTGGCATATATCAGAATACATCACCAACGTCAACGGTTTATTCCACTGCAACACACCAGAATACACCAAATACATTTTCACAGGGACAGTCCTTAGGACCATCAGAAACACATTTAACTTCCATGTCAGAAAATAACTCACTACATTCATGTATGCCTCAACAGCTAAATACCAGTAGAGAGGATTCAGTTCAGGAAAATATGGCCGCTTCCTGTTCTGCTCAAGTAAAAGTTGAGAGTACAGATACTTCTGAAAATATCCACTTTTCTGCTGGACCAGTTAAAACTGAGAGAATACCAGTACCTGTTGATGAAAATGTTGAGTTGGAAAAAGATGGCACAAGAGGTGAAAATAATGTTGGATTTGGATTTAGGCATGTATTACAAGGATTTGCTACACCAGCTGGTACTGCTAACTACCAAAATATCAACAATCAGCCAGTTAGTATAGTCAAATTTGTGCGACAACAAAATACATTGCAGATGCAAGGAATAACAACACAGACAAATATCAACAATTCACAGCAACTTCTACAAGGTTTTTATAATAAGATTTTTATATGAAGATCTGTATGGGGTTCAAAATAGCCCAAAAATAAATAGCATAATTGGTTGCTTAAATATAAAGAATAGAGAATAATGTCTAAAATTTTCAAAAATACAGAAAAAATAAAGAATACAGAATTGAAGGACCTCTTAAATGTTTTCTAATTTAAATAAGGTAGTGTACAATATGAAAAATTCAATTGAGAAATCTAATGGCCTAATTTATAACGAAACAATATACGAAAAAAAACAAATATGACAAAAATGAACCAAGAACAATCACTCAACTGCAGGCTCTTGACTTGGGACAGGCACATAAAGAATGTGTCCTGGTGAAACATGTTTGCTGGCGCAAAACCCTCACACTAGCCTGGGACAGTGTTGTAATGGTACAACATGAAAACAAACTATAAAAATCAGTTAAAAAAACTATTTCAAGTCGCAGTTCACAAAACACCAATTAGAAAACCAAAGCCCGAACAACATGAAACCTATATTAAAAAACCGGAGTAGACATTGATACACAGACATGATAGATGTTACAAAATGTTACTTCAATATGATTTTATTGGACTGCAAATGCAAAGACAGGAGAGCAACACTTGCAGATTAGTAGTTTAGTATGCAATTATTTTTTTGATACTTAAAAAAAATTCTCAGGAGAAACAAGAACACTTAAGGTCTGCAGATTCTGCTCCACTAATTACACCCATCATGTTGCTCCTGTCAGTGAGTCATATCTAGTTATTCTTAGCAGTATAAACTATGCATTGGAGTAGTTCTTGCCATCCTTCCAGTTGATGGTTTGAATTAAGACTTATCATTTGTTATTTTAAAAGGTAAAATATTGTATAAGTTTTAACAGAATATTATTATTTTACAAATGTTAATTATACATACTAAAAAAATGAAAATGGCAATTGCAACCTTCTCCAGTTATTCATTTAAATAGAAATAAGAAGATGTGATATGAGTGCCAATGAGACAACTCTCCATCCAAGTCAAAATTTATAAAAGTAAACCATTATAGGTCAAAGTAAGATAAAGTTTATGTTATGGGGTCGTTTTATTTTTAGATTTTAATAACTTTTTCTTTTAGGTGCAGCTCTAAGTCAGATGATAGCACCAGTACTAGAACTTAAAGATGGAAAAGTACAACTAAAACTCTGTCTGAGGTATATATGTATCAGTTATGATTTTCATTTGCAAAAAGAGACAATAAATTTAATTTACAAAGTGATGTAAAAGTAAGATACTGCAATCAGATATGAAAATTAATATTCCACTTATTATTTATAACAACAGCCGATTGCGAGGCAGATTGATATTTTTAATGATTTTACAAAACAAATGCCATGCAAGCAATTATTGGTTTAAAACCACTTAAACAAGCCATCATGACACATTGTTATCAAATTATAATATCCCCGCTCAGTAGGGAAAAGGAGAGAAAGGAGGAGGGGGGATACAGATTTCTATCCATACATACCACAAATATATCTTGGAAGTTTTCCAAGGAACTGCAAAATAGAGCTTCCTGAACATTGCTAGCACTCTTCATATGACTTATTGATGTCAGTCTGCTTTATATCTGCAATATCAACATTGGATTTTCATATCACATTCTGACAAAACAGGCTCTGGGGAGAAATTTCTTCTCTGCAAACAGTAGTAAGCAAAATAACAGTGCATATGTTTAAACCTACCATGTTAATTTGGTGTGTTTCAGACAAAACCTTGATTTCTTTATTACAGACAACCGAATCAGATGGCTGGAGGACTGATCCAAAGTCAATCCAATAATTTTGTATCATTGCCTTTAAACTCAGTTAATGAGAGGGGTCAACACCAGACTAAGCAAAGTATAAATCAGACAAGCAACTTAGCTGAAGACTCAGTATTGCCAAGTTCCCAGAGAGAACAAGGTATGATCTTTATTTACATTCCAGCAGACGGTATGTTGTGAAGACAATAAAGAGAAATAAAAATAAATGTTAAAGGCTTCTCCAGATCTGAGCATCAACTTGCGATTTACACACACAAAGATTACTAACTTTATTGTTTTGATGTAAAATGTACAAGTAATTTGTTAATTTATCAATAGGTTAAAGTTCAAGGTCACTGTTCCTAGATATAGAAAAGAAAGATTGTTTCTGGATGGTAACTTGAGTTTAACTTGATTGATTGGAATGAAACTTGTACTGATGGAAGATAAAGGAAAGGGAAAGATTTTGGGGTCAATAAGTCGAGGGTCAACAACACATTAACAAAAAGAATATTTGTTTAAAAGGGGAATTCAGGATTGTACATTTAGTTTCATTTTTGGGTTTATAACTCGTAAAGGTTGAAGATATAGAAAAGGGAAAGAATACTAATGATTTCAGATCAAAAGATCAAGGTCATAGTCCCAATTGCCCAAATAGATTATAAATAAAGAAAACAAATAATTGCAATCTGTTGTTTCTGGTTGAAGTTTAAAGAAATACTTGTTGGATTTTAATTACAGTGTTTTTTTTTTTCTCACTTAGAAACAAATCATATGAAAAGAAAAACAGAAGATTTGCTGAATACTACAGGTAAATATGATAGTAAAGTATTGAACTGTAAGCAAAGCTGACACAATTTTAAAAAACATAAAACTTACCATACTAGACTTTTCCAAAATAGATTAAATAAAGAAAAGAATAGTTGCAATTTGTTGTTTCTGGTTGAAGTTTTGAGAATCACTTGTTGGATTTTAATTTAACTGTTTTTAAACCTGTTTTCATTTAGAAACAAATCATAAGAAGAGAAAAGCAGAAGATTTACTGAATACAACAGGTAAATATGAAAATTATTTAATTGTAGTGACACAATTAAAACATAAAGCTTGCCATACTAGATTTTTAAAAACCATTTAGCAAAAATATTTACATTTCCATATGTCAGAGCATGTGATAAAGATTCATCAATTTCATGTTTTGAAGATCATTAAAGATTTTATTTGATTTTGTACAAGGTGTGTTTAAATTGAGCTGTGTCAGGTAAAAATCAACGTTACCCTTCTCTCTACAAAGTCTGTGACTTGAAAATTTAGTTGTTATACGAACCCTAAATAACAGACTATGAATTCATCTTTTATTTCGTATTTAAATATTCCAAAATCAATCAAAGTCTTATACATGGACTTTCACTAAAAAGCTGTGTATAAATTTAACAGAGAGTTGAAATATTAATGATCAAATATGCAAAATACATACACAATTTTAAACAACATAAAAAACTGTACTTAATAAGCTATGTTCCTTGGAAGCACTTTTCCTTCTGGATTAATCTTCATCAGGAGTGCTAATAGTAAACTTTTCAGTTTTAGGAGTGGTAGAAACTTTTTGCACTTACACATGTTATCAGAGTTGTTGAAAACTTCGTCTTTTTAATTATAAAAAAATATCTGAGTTTGTTCATTTGTTTTTTACTTTGTAGGACAAAAGAGACTACAATTAGTGGATGTGAATAAGAAAATAAGAGGTAAGTTCCCTTATAAATATATATAAATACAATAAGATTTTAAGGCACAGAGGGGAAAATATAAGAAAACAATTTTTTGAGAAATCTATAATAGTAAATGAGGAGACCTGTTGTTTTTTTGTGTGTCTCTTTTCCGTGTTCCATATCAAATCAATCAACATGGTCCTCTACCTTAAAGATAGCATGCAAACTGTTGTTGTTATCATCCCTGATGGTAATTTATTTTTGATTATTTGAGCAATTATCTGAAAACAAAATGAATTCCGATGGTCCTTTTCTTCATAACCATCAGTTTCAAATTTTATCCCTGCCTCCTCTTCACTCTTAATGTGTCTGCCCATAGGAATCTCGGACTATAAAAAACTAGGCTTATAACAAAATTGGTCTCGGACCCTTGGCCTGTCATTGAATCAGCTTATTACAAATTCAGATTATAAGAGAAATTTAGGACTAAATGAAAATATTTAGTTTATTTGAAGACAATAAATGAAATTAAATTAAATTTTATACAATTTACAGAATTACTAATGTAAAATTCAAATATTAAAAGATATTTTGAAGAATATTGGTTTGAATTAGCTGATACTTATACATATCTGATATAAAAAATGAGATTGGATTACTTGGGCCATGGATTTTTGATTTGTGCGTTTTTTCATATGAAATTTTAGTTCCAAATATGATATTGCTCATCTGTTTTAAACATACAATGCATGCCATCATCATATAATTTTGTAAAAAGGGGGGTATATCAATGGACAAACAGGAAAATAAATGGTAATTTCAAGAACGAGAAAAAAAACAGCTACACTTTTCTTTTTGATCAACTTTCAGGAAACATGGTGAATAATGAGCTTTAAGCATGAAAACGTGAAATAAAATTTCAAAAACGTCACTCATTATATAGAAACTAAAAGAATAATGTAGACAAAAGAAGGAATAAGCTATTTCTGCTCCTCTTTAAAAATGCACAAAACCAAGTAAGAAAACAATGACTGGTTTAGAAAGCTTTTACAAGCAGAGAAAACTGTCAACCTAATTCACATACAAGACTTCATAATATAAAAATAGGCATACTAAAAATCCAGGCTTAAAATAGACGTATTATTTCAATTCAATCACAAGCCTGCGATGTTGCAGGATTGTTCTAGTTAAATAAATCTATGTGGCTAATATTTATGAGGTAGAACTCCATATATGGTTATCGAAAATATTACCCCTTTTTTTCAAGTTTGGTGAGGGTTGAGTGCTTGTAACCCTGTTAAACAAGCTTTTTTAAGGCTTTAAAATGAAATTCACAGCTAGAATGTCTTTGGTTGGGTTTTATTTATTGTATTTGTAAATTTGAGTTGTTGTTGGGTTTTCAACCCATTCAACAACTGCAATATTTCCAGAATTTAATGTTATTTGATAACATGCAATTGTTTAAAGTGCAGATCTTTGTCAAATGAATATCATGAGATTAAATATAAATGTCAATCACAATGGACAATTAAATTAATGGTACCAATTTTACTGCCCCACATGCCTGTTTGGACAATTAATTACTCTTAAAGTTAAACATCTATATAATATGTCAAGCTACAAATTGCCAAGAAATTAACATACAACTGTGGATTCATTTATTTTCGTTAGTACCAATTGTTGTGGATTGTGGACAACTTGACTTTTCGTGGACATGTGATTTCATGGTTTTGCCAAAGTTTGCATACAATCTGACAGAAATTTGTATTTCGTTGAACATTTAAATTTGTGTTTCACCATTACCCATGAAATCCACGAAAATTGGTATTCAACATATAATAATCAGTGTTCCAGCTTGATCGTTTTCACAGGGTGGTCCGCCCGTCCTTTCCAGACTGCCTCCCTGTGCCCTTTTTCTGATGCCCTGTACCCTTTTTAAGATGCCCTGCACTTTTTCGCAAGTTCATGCCTTTATTGTCATAATATTTTGATGAAAATATTATAATTCTACCTGTCTTCTTGTTTCTGACAAGTTTATGATCCTCAGCTATAAATTAACATTTAAAGCAGGTATTATAAGTTGTGATTACAGGTAATCCGCTTATCGCCATTGAATCATGTATGGGTCACTAATCCATTAATTAAACCTCTTAATTGACCATTATTTTAATTTTTCCCAGTAAAATCGGTCAGTCTGCATTTCAATTTCAATATTTCTTAAAAGACCACAACTTGCAGTTCGTTTATCCATAGATGTTTTTTTTTTTGTAAATTGACAAAACAGATGGTTTGCATTTTGATTTCGTCAAAATTTCTCCAAAGATCACTTTGCAGCTCGGATGACATAGTTTCATCATTTGAATGTATTTTCGTCACATTTTATATAACTTTTCATTAAAATCATTCGACAACATCAATTATAAAGATAAAACTTAATTCAAAACGTTCTAAAAGTACAATGTATTTTCAAGAGTCAAACAAACATGTGCTTTCTTTATCATATACCGCACATGCGTGAACGTATTTTTTTTTTTATAAATTTAATAGACACTAAAACGTAAAATACGAAATCACTTAGTATCAAATTAAATGAGAGACAAATATATTTCTTACTGACCAACTTAATTTAAGAAATGACAATTTCCTGCCTTTTTGTTAAACACAAACCAATCCGTAGATGAATCCGGATTCATTCTAAATTTATCAATCTGTGTGCTAAAGTGCCCTTTTCCTGATTGGCTCCCTGCCCTTTTGAAATCCTAGCTGGAACACTGATAATGAATCCACAGTATGATAATCTATTTTTTTGCTTTTTTTTAATCAGAAATGTTAAATCATAAGATCAGAAAAAGAGAAGATATACATTCAGAAACTGAGGGTAAATATAATCAAAAAGAAAAATGAAGATACTGTTAGCAGTGCTGACACATTTAAAACATAAAACCTGTCACACAGGATCTGATCCTGCACTTCAGAAAGAGATTATTTATACCTTGCTTATATCATTGCTCACACATTTAGAATATAAAACCTGTCAAACTAATCTGATCAGAAAGAGATTATTTATACCTTGCTCATATCATTGAAGATGACGATGGATTTATGACATTGTGCATTTGGTAGATTTGCATCCAAGATTTAGGTTCTTCAAAATGTTATATTATTTCGTACTAGATTATTTGGATTGCCAAATGTATGCTTGTTATAGTTTGACCTTAAAAAAGGATTTTTACTATTTGAATTAAGGATGTACTTAGGTGAAATTAAATAAATCTAGAATTTAAAATTGATACCATAAGTCAGAAGAGCATTTGTTAAGGAACAAAATAAGCTAAAAATATTGATAGGTAGTGGAGCTCCTTTTCAAGGTATTTGATTTTTTTTTAATTGCAGGAAAAGGCTGACTCAGACTTTAACCTTAAATTTGCATTGGTATTATTTGGGTCGCAAATCGAAAGAAAAGATATCTGGAATCTGCTTAAATTTTGGCAAACACCTTTTATGAGCTATTGAAATCTTGTATGAAAAGAAAAATGGGTGTTATGGGGCAAATATTTTACCCTGTATCGTAGAAAAACCCCAAGGAGTCCAAACATCTGACAAAAATTTCTAAACCTGACCTAAGAACATCCTTAAAGGATAAATGTAAATGCAGAATTGACCATTGAGAGAAAAACCAAACCTTCAATGGCAATATTATGTGCATACTCAGAACAAGAAAAAATTTACATTAAATACAATTGATAGGTTCTGTAAGCAATAACATTTAGTGGTCAATCATTTTTTGGTAGGGATGAACAGCTGAGACATCAAGTACACACCATTTTTATATATTTTGAATAACAAAAATATATAGCCTATGAAAAAAAAAGCAACTAAAACTATCATGATAACGCTATTTCATGGAGAAATAAAAAAAAAAAATTGACAAATATCTTATGTTTTACAACTGTGGTTTTAATTTCATCTGTAGAAAATTTTGAAATTGATTAGTTTTAGTTACTTTTGATTTAATAAGGAACCTTATGATATATTTCATCTTAATTTCTCGACCTACAATTACCAACCCTAGAAAAGGTTACCTACTCCAGCCCCTCATCCCTACCACTCATTACATAGTAATTGCCCCCTGAGACATGAACAAATTAACAATAAATACAAAAGTGGTTCTACAAGTAAGGGCTATTCCATTAAAATATATATGGGAGGGTAGGAAGGGACGTTCAAAATATCCCTACAACCAAGAACTATTTTTTAGATAATTTTTCATAATGGTAATAGACGCATACTGAAAAAAGACCCATGACCCACATTCAATAATTAAACTTCCCTTCCTACCCTCCCACACACATTTTAATGGAATAGCCCTAAAGATTTCTATGATTTTAACAATGGACAAAATGGTATACTATACATACATATATATAATATATATATTGACCAGAAATTATCATATTTGTTGTCACATCTTTTCTTCAATTTTTTTTTCACACAGTATTTGGTCTGATGAAAAAACAAGCAGCAGCAGGTAAATATAAATATAAAAATGTAATTCTTGAACTGTTTTCGGAGCTGATACATTTTGATTATTTTTCTGACATACTAACCATTGTGGTAGAATTTATTTCTTTTTTCTGCCATACTGTTCTATTCCTGTTCTTCCCAAAAACCATTGTGGAAGAATTAATTGTTTCTGCCATACTGTTCTACTTTTGTTCTTCATAAAAACCATTATGCAGGAAATGATTATTTTTTTGCCATACTGTTCTATTCATGTTCTCCACAAAAACCATTGTAGTAGAATTGATTATTTCTCGGCCATATTGTTCTACTCCTTTCTTCCAAAAAAAAGATTTTTTAAACAGTGCTCATGCCAGTGAAGATTAACATGTGATTAATTTTCATCAGATATTGAAGATCCTTCAAAATGTAACTGTAAATTCAGATATTATTGTGAGGTTTTAGTAATGTGAATAAAGCAACTGGGTGAGTATTGCAATATTAAGAAAACACATTCAGATATCTAAAACATATATGTATGCAGATTTTTCTCAAGTCGCAATAATTAATCTCACATTTTTGTCATTTCTGCAAAAATCGCAATAATAAATGCACAAAATAATCTCTGAATTTAAAGTAAATGATTTTGTATTTTAAAAATGTATTTAAATTCTAATTTGGAATTCCAAATATGTGTTTTAATAGTTTGACCTTTATAAAGGATGCTTGCTATTTGAATTAAAGTATTAAAATGAAAATGTAGAATTTGAATTGAGACAGAAACCTAACTTTCAATGGCAAATATTATGTGCATATTCTGGACAAAGGAAACATTAAAAATAAATACAACAGGTATGTATTGCTGTCATGAAATAGAAGTTCCTTCATAATATAAGTTCCAAGTGGAATACATATTCTGTAATATTATTTCCATTGGAACAAATATTACAGTATATGGAATAAAGGGTAAAGAATATTTGTTCCAATAGGAACAGATATTATGACATTGTTTAAATCAAATTTTCCAGGGGAACTTCTGTTAGGCATAGCAAATATACGTTGACACTGCAAGCAAAGACATTTCGAGGTCAACATACAGATTTCAACAATAGACAAAATTCTATACAGTGTATACATTTCAAGCTCTGCATTGACCAGAAATCATCATATTTGTTGTCTTATCATTTCTTTTACTTTTTTTCATAGTAACAAATCGTATAAAGAAAACAGAAGATTTACCGGAAACTGGAGGTAAATATAACTATAAAAAACTATTGTATGGTTATAATAGCAGATCTCACACATTAAAAACATACAATGTGTGGTGATGATCTATTCATGCTCTTCAAAAAATCATTGAAGAGGAATTGATTATTTTTCATCACATATTGAAGATCCTCCAAAATGTTATATGATTTGTATAAGATGTCAAAATTTGATTATGACATCAAATTTTGTTGCATTCCTCTGAATTTCCTAATATGATGTCATGAAAAAGGCGACCATGCCTGATGATGTCACATAGAAAGAACACATCTTTTTTATATGATTGCAAAAAAATTTTTGCGTCGTATAATGCTATGATGTCGTCGTCTGCGTCGTCGTGCGAATACACATTTGGGTTCCGGACAATAACTTTAGTTTAAGTGAATGGATCTCTATGAATTTTTACCAGGTTCAATACCACAAAAGGAAGGTTGGGATTGATTTTGGGGTTGATGGTACCAACAGTTTAGGAATTAGGGACCAAAAAGGGACCAAAAACAAGCATTTTTGTAGTTTCAGGACAATAATTTGTGTGTAAGTGTATCGATCTCTCTGAAATTATGCTACAAGGTTCCATATCACAAAGAGAAGGCTGGGATTGAGTTTGGGTTAAAGGCCCCAAATGTTTAGGAATTAGGGGCAAAAAAGGGGCCAAAAACAAGCATTTTTCTAGTTTCCAGACAATAACTAGTGTATGGATCGCTCTGATATTCTACTACATGGTTCCATACCATAAAGAGAAGGCTGGGATTGAGTTCTGGGATAATTACTGTAAATTCAGAAATTATTGCGTGCATTTATTATTGCGATTTTGTCATTTTAGACTAAAATGCGATTTTAATTTTTGCAATATTGAGAAAAGTCCTATTTAATTCATATAAAAAATTTCAAAATGCGAGTTTAAATTATTGCGATTATAACCCTGTCGCATTTTTCGCAATAATAAAAACATCGCAATAATTTCTGAATTTACAGTACTCCAAAAGGGAGGTGGGAGTTCAAAAAGTTGGGGGGATTTTTTTTTTCAATTTTTTTGAAGGGGTTCATTTTTTTTTCTGCAAAATTTTTGAAATTTCAAATTTTTGAAATCTTCAATTGCACAGTATTGCGCAATAGCAAGAAATCTTCAATTGCACAGTATTGCACAATAGCACAGTATTGGCCAAAAGCTAGAAATCTTCTATTGCACAGTATTGCGCAATAGCACAGTATTGCACAATAGCACAGTATTGCGCAATAGCAAGAAATCTTCAATTTCACAGTATTGTGCAATATCACAGTATTGCGCAATAACAAGAAATCGTCAATTGCACAGTATTGTACAATAGCAAGAAATCTTCAACTGCACAGTATTGCGCAATACCAAGAAATTTCAATTGCACAGTATTGCGCAATAGCAAGAAATCTTCAATTGCACAGTATTATGCAATATCACAGTATTGCGCAATAGCAAGAAATCGTCAATTGCACAGTATTGCACAATAGCAAGAAATCTTCAACTGCACAGTATTGTGCAATAGCAAGAAATCTTTAATTGCACAGTATTGGGCAATAGCAAAAAATCTTCAATTGCACAGTATTGCGCAACAACACAGTATTGCGCAATAGCAAGAAATCTTCAATTGCACAGTATTGCGCAATAGCAAGACATCTTCAATTGAAAACAAATACAAATGTTTTAACCAATTTCAATTGGATAAATTAAGTTTTTAATTTTTGGGGGTTCTAACCTTGTATAATTTTTTGGGATATTGGGTCCCATTTTTAAATTGGTCTACATTGAGGTCAAAAGGGTCCAAAATTAAACTTTATTTGATTTCATCAAAAACTGAATTATTGCAGCTGTATGATTTGCTGAATCTTATTGTGCATTTAGATTTTTGTCGAGCCTGCGACTTTTGTCGCAGAAAGCTCGACATAGGGATAGCGATCCGGCGGCGGCGGCGGCGGCGGCGTTAGCTAACTTCTTAAAAGCTTTATATTTTAGAAGATGGAAGACCTGGATGCTTCATACTTTGTATATGGATGCCTCATGTTACGAAGTTTCCGTCAGTCACATGTCCAATGTCCTTGACCTCATTTTCATGGTTCAGTGACTACTTGAAAAAAAAGTTCAGATTTTTTGTAATGTTAAATTCTCTCTTATTATAAGTAATAGGATAACTATATTTGGTATGTGCGTACCTTGCAAGGTCCTCATGCCCGTCAGACAGTTTTCACTTGACCTCGACCTCATTTCATGGATCAGTGAACAAGGTTAAGTTTTGGTGGTCAAGTCCATATCTCAGATACTATAAGCAATAGGTCTAGTATATTCGGTGTATGGAAGGACTGTAAGGTGTACATGTCCAACTGGCAGGTGTCATCTGACCTTGACCTCATTTTCATGGTTCAGTGGTTATAGTTAAGTTTTTGTGTTTTGGTCTGTTTTTCTTATACTGTATGCAATAGGTCTACTATATTTGGTGTATGGAATGATTGTAAGGTGTACATGTCTAGCTGGCAGGTGTCATCTGACCTTGACCTCATTTTCATGGTTCAGTGGTCAAAGTTAAGTTTTTGAGTTTTGGTCTTTCTTTCTAATACTGCATGCAATAGGTCAGCTATATTTGGTGTATGGAATGATTGTAAGGTGTACATGTCTAGCTGGCAGGTGTCATCTTACCTTGACCTCATTTTCATGGTTCAGTGGTCAAAGTTAAGTTTTTGAGTTTTGGTCTTTTTTTCTAATACTATATGCAATAGTTCAACTATATTTGGTGTATGGAAATATTTTATGATCTATATGTCAGTTACGCAGGTTTTATTTGACCTTGACCTCATTTTCAAGGTTCATTGCTCAGTGTTAAGTTTTTGTGTTTTCGTCTGTTTTTCTTAAACTATAAGCAATAGGTCAACTATATTTGTTGTATGGAAGAATTGTTAGCTGTACATGCCTGCCTAGCATGGTTCATCTGACCTTGACCTCATTTTCATGGTTCATTGGTCAATGTTTAGTTTACTTGCTTAATGTTAAGTTTATGTGACAGTTGTAATAAAGCTTTATATTTAGGACTATCAACATAATATCAATGATTAGTTAAGAAGGCGAGACATTTCAGCGTGTGCACTCTTGTTAATTTGGGTCCTATTTTCAAATTAGTTCATATTAAGGTTTGAAGGGTCCAAAATTAAACTTTGTTTGATTTCAACTAAATTTAAATTATTGATGTTTATATGCTGAATCTAACCATGTTGTTAGATTTTGGATATCAGACCATTTTAGGTAAATTAAATGTCCCATTTCAAATTTTTAAGATCTTTGACCATATTTGTTTTGTGTCAGAAACCTATATTATGTCAAAAATTTGATCACAATCCAAATTCAGACAGTACTGTGCTCAGTGAAGCATTTTATGGTAGATCAATCGAATAGAAGGATTAAAACTGTCTGTATATTGTCCAAAAATCATTAGAGAAACAGATTCCACAACCAAATATCGTTTAACACTTGATGCAGTTGTAGAATCTACTCTTATACAAATGTGCAAGATGCAATGTACACAGCCATGCTCATTTAACAACACTAATATTAGACTAGAAATGCCTCATTTTAAGAAGAAGTAGAAACACATTGCAATGAAATATTATTAGACCTATGCAAAAATATGCCATGTTTGTTTTTATATTGTAGGACAAAAGAAATCTGATAAATTTAGTGATGTTAATTTCAAAATAAGAAGTAAGTTCCTTATAAATACAAATTAACTTTAAGGATGTACTTTATAGGTCAGGTTTAGGAATTTGTGTCGGATGTTCAGATTCCCTGGTTTTTGTCGAGCCTGCAACTTTTGTCGCAGAAAGCTCGACATAGGGATAGTGAGCCGACGGCGGCTACAGCGGCGGCGGCGTTAGCTAACTTCTTAAAAGCTTTATATTTTAGAAGGTGGAAGATCTGGATGCTTCATACTTTGTATATGGATGCCTCATGTTACGAAGTTTCCGTCAGTCACATGTCCAATGTCCTTGACCTCATTTTCATGGTTCAGTGACTACTTGAAAAAAAAGTTAAGATTTTTTGTAATGTTAAGTTCTCTCTTATTATAAATAATAGGATAACTATATTTGGTATGTGCGTACCTTGCAAGGTCCTCATGCCCAACAGACAGTTTTCACTTGACCTCGACCTCATTTCATTGATCAGTGAACAAGGTTAAGTTTTGATGGTCAAGTCCATATCTCAGATTCTATAAGCAATAGGTCTAGTATATTCGGTGTATGGAAGGACTGTAAGGTGTACATGTCCAGCTGGCAGGTGTCATCTGACCTTGACCTCATTTTCATGGTTCAGTGGTTATAGTTAAGTTTTTGTGTTTTGGTCTGTTTTTCTTATACTGTATGCAATAGGTCTACTATATTTGGTGTATGGAATGATTGTAAGGTGTACATGTCTAGCTGGCAGGTGTCATCTGACCTTGACCTCATTTTCATGGTTCAGTGGTCAAAGTTAAGTTTTTGAGTTTTGGTCTTTTTTTCTAATACTATATGCAATAGTTCAACTATATTTGGTGTATGGAAATATTTTATGATCTATATGTCAGTCACACAGGTTTTATTTGACCTTGACCTCATTTTCAAGGTTCATTGCTCTGTGTTAAGTTTTTGTGTTTTGGTCTGTTTTTCTTAAACTATAAGCAATAGGTCAACTATATTTGTTGTATGGAAGAATTGTTAGCTGTACATGCCTGCCTAGCATGGTTCATCTGACCTTCACCTCATTTTCATGGTTCATTGTTCAATGGTTAGTTTACTTGGTTAATGTTAAGTTTATGTGACAGTTGTAATAAAGCTTTATATTTAGGACTATCAACATAATATCAATGATTAGTAAAGAAGGCGAGACATTTCAATGTGTGCACTCTTGTTTAACTATGATACAGGGTAAAATATTTTGCCACATTACATACATTTTTCTTTTCATATAAGACTTCAATAGCTCATAAAAGGTCATTTACCAAAATTTAAGCAGATTCTAGATTTCTTTTCTTTTGATATGAGACCCAACTAATACCAAAGCAAATATAAGGTAAAAGTCTGAGTCAGCCTTTTTCCCGCCATTTAAAAAAAATAATTATCTCGAAAAAAAGCTCTATAACCTATCAATATTTTTAGCTTATTTAGTTCCTTAACTAATGCTCTTCTGAACAAGGGACGAAAGATACCAGAGGGACAGTCAAACTCATAGATCGAAAACAAACTGACAACACCATGTCCAAAAATAAAAAGACAAACAGACAAATAATAGTACAGATGACACAACATAGAAAACTAAAGACTAAGCAACACTAACCCCATCAAAAACTGGGGGTGATCTCAGGTGCTCCGGAAGTGTAAGCAGATCCTGCTCCACATGTGGCACCCGACTTATAGTATCAATTTTAAATTCTATATTTTTTTAATTTCACCTAAGTACATCCTTAAGGCATAGTGGGGAAAACACATGAAATTAGTTTTGGAGAAATTTGATAAATATATGAGATAGATCTCCAAATAGGGTACATTAAAGTGTGCAACGTTTATTCCCAGTTTAGAGAATATTGAAATCTCTGAAACCTTTTTAACCCTGTCAAGTACTAAAAATGTTATTCATGTCCTAAGTCAGCAGGTTGTAGAACAGGGTTTTTGGGACCAAGTATTGGTGAATGAGTCTAAGGTGTGGGTCTATCAAATGACAAACCTATGATTATTGCTATCTGCTGCTTTTAAGAGTAATATTTTTAGGTGTTATACCACCAAATCATAGTACGTCACATCCGGTTGCATACGAAAAAGGGTTGAAAAAAAATATTCCCTTGAATTTGGCAGTTGTAGGAAATAAAGCCTACATTTCGTTGCATTTAAACATTTCTGAGTCATAAACATATATCTTGGGTGTTTCAAAGCTCCAATCTTTTTTAATTGGTGTTTTTATACACCTGTCAAAATTTTGACGGGACGTATTATGGTATACAAATGTCCGGTGTCTGTCTGTCTGTCTGTTTGTCCGTCTGTCCGGTGTCCACATGTCGCACCGTAACTTGAGAACAACTTATCCAAATTTCATGAAACTTAAGATAGTTGTTTCTTATGATGGTCAAACGATCTGTATACTTTTTGGTGAAAATAAGATTAAAGATTTTTGAGTTACGGGACTTTGTAACTAAAACAGGGGGGTGTTTTTTTCACATGTCGTGCCGTATCTCAAAAACGATTTATGATTATTGCTTAAAACTTTACACACTTCTTAGTTATATTAATCTAAAGATCTGTATACTTTTTGGTGATGATTCAAAATTTTATTTTAGAGTTATTGAATTTTTTGTAAAAAAAAAAGGGGGGGGGGGGGGTTTCACATGTCGCGCCGTATCTCAAAAACGATTTATGATTATTGCTTAAAACTTTACACTCTTCTTAATTATATTAATCTAAAGATCTGTATACTTTTTAGTGATGATTCAAAATTTTATTTTAGAGTTATTGATTTTTTTATAAAAAAGGGGGGTTTTCACTTGTCGCGCCGTTTCTCAGAAATGATTTATGATTATTGCATAAAACCTCACACAAAAGACGACGGGCATTTGATGCGCTCGTGGCGCAGCTGTTTATTAGAATATTTTGGAAACTTGAGGTTACATGGTTACAGGAAAAAAAGGGATGAAAATTTGATTGGTTAATTTCCAGTAATGGTTATTGTCTTATATGCAATGAAATGTTATGTGAAATTTTGTCTGTAATACTGGACAGGATAAAACTTTACTCATGCCAAGTATTTCTTTAATTGAAACAAAGATAAATTCTGCAAACTGTTTTGAAAATTAGTGCAAATTTAACAAAGACTAATAAGGGAGAAACAATGTTGGTATTACACCAGAAGCCAGTTAGATATACAGACTCCCTATAGCCCCTTATTTCTATTTTGTGACTGCATGATATTGCTTTTCACATGCTCAAGATTTAAAAAGAAAAAAATATAAGATCTCAAAATCAGAATATAACAGGAAACATTTTAGATTACTTTTTTAACATCAGTTAATGTTAAATTATTAAACATTAGCAGTACATATATATAATAATTTAATTTGGTTAGCTTTTATTGTTGAAATAAAAACTTTTCTGAATTATAATATATATACGTTTACGCCTAATGTATTTTTCAATAAATTAGGATTAATAATTTGAGAAAAAATAAGTATAAAAATAAATATCTTATTTTTAAATATATACAAGAAAAAAATTAAATAAATAAAAATGACAGAAATTAATAACTATAAAATTTGTTTCCTTTATTTTTCTTAAGGTCTTTCCAATTATGAATCAATTCCTGTATTGGCCACAGGGACGCTTGCTTGTAGGATATGTCCAAAAGAATTTTGGCATCTTGATAGTCTGCTACAACATCATGAGATGGAACTTCCTGAAAAAAGGACTGACTGTGGCCATAATCTATATTATCTTCTTGATTGTCATGTGTGCCAAAGTAGGAAGGGTATATGGGCAAGAAGAGGAGACTGGATCACATGTTTTTGTGAAACTTGTGATAGGAGCTTTACATCTCTCCGTCAATTTAATCATCATGTAATCGTACTCCATGGGGAGAAAAAACAGTGCACTTTTTGTAAAATAGACTTTACAATAAAAAGAGATTTCAAAGATCATGTTTGTGGAAGATTGAAAAAATTAAATCAAAGTTATAAGATGGATAAGTTTGCATTTTGTTATCAGAATGATGGATCTTTATTACAAAAACCAGCGAAACGGCAAAAGTTGAATGTGTTGCAAGACATGATTTTTACAGATGAAGAATTAATTCATACTGAAAAAAGAAATAGCAACATGTCAGAAAATGTTCACAATATTATCACACACACTTATGGTAACTGTGAGGTCAGAAGTGTAAATGGGTGTAGTCGAAAAGTTCAAAAGGTCAATGGAAGTAGTGATACTAACAATGGTATAATTAGTAATAATTATGAAGCAGAATGTGACAACGGTACACATAATTTAGCAGAAGGTGACAACGGTACACATAATTTAGCAGAAGGTGACAACGGTACACATAATTTAGCAGAAGGTGACAACGGTACAAATAATTTAGCAGAAGTCGACAATGGTACACATAATCTAGCAGAAGGTGACAGTGGTACACATAATCTTGCAGAAGTCGACAATGGTACACATTATCTAGCAGAAGGTGACAACGGTACACATAATTTAGCAGAAGTCGACAATGGTACACATTATCTAGCAGAAGGTGACAGTGGTACACATAATCTTGCAGAAGTTGACAATAGTACACATAATCTAGCAGAAGGTGACAACGGTACACATTATCTAGCAGAATATGTCAATGAAGATGCATGTGATACAGTAACCGCTGATGACAGTGAAGCTACCGAATATCTTTTAAAAGATTGTAACCCAATAGAACAAAGAGACTTCAAACCTACCCCTGGTATATGCGATCTATTGATAGTTGACACTAGTAAAATAAAAGTCAGAAATGTCAACAGTAGTGACATTATAACAGAAAGATTTAACAACTTTGTATATGAGAGTGTTGACACAAGCCATACTGACATAGAGAGTGCTAGTACAAGTTACACTTTATCAGACAGTATTAGTAACACTGAGGAAAAGAGGGTAAACATAGACAGTGCATCTGAGATTGTGAAAACTCCAATAGAATTAATCATAGACAGTAACACTTTAACAGATAGCATCATCAAAAGTGAAACTGAAGCAGAGATTGTCACTAGAATTAACACTGAAGCAGAGATTGTCACCAGAAGTAACACTGAAGTAGAGATTTTCACTAATAGTAACACTGAAGCAGAGATTGTCACCAGAAGTAACAATGAAGCAGAGATTGTCACTAATAGTAACACTGAAGCAGAGATTGTCAACAGAAGTAACACTCAAGCAGATATTGTCAATAAAAGAATCACTGAAGCAGAGATTGTCACTAATAGTAATACTGAAGCAGAGATCATCAATAGAAGAATCACTGAAGCAGAGATTGTCACTAATAGTAACACTGAAGCAGAGATTGTCAACAGAAGTAACACTCAAGCAGATATTGTCAATAAAAGAATCACTGAAGCAGAGATTGTCACTAATAGTAATACTGAAGCAGAGATCATCAATAGAAGAATCACTGAAGCAGAGATTGTCACTAATAGTAACACTGAAGCAGAGATTGTCACTAATAGTAACACTGAAGCAGAGATTGTCACTAATAGTAACACTGAAGCAGAGATTGTCACTGATAGTAACACTGAAGCAGAGATTGTCACTAATAGTAATACTGAAGCAGAGATTGTCACAAGAAGTGATACTGAAGCAGAGATATTCAATAGAAGAATCACTGAAGCAGAGATTGTCAATAGAAGAATCACTGAAGCAGAGATTGTCACTACATGTAATAGTAACACTGAAGCAGAGGTTGTCAACAGAAGTAACATGGAAGCAGAGATTGTCATTAGAAGAATCACTGAGGCAGAGATTTTCACTAATAGAAACACTGAAGCAGAGATTGTCAACAGAAGAAACACTGAAGAAGAGATTGTCAATAGAAGAATCACTGAAGCAGAGATTGTCACTAATAGTGACACTGTACCAGAGAGTTTCAATAGAAATAACACTGTACCAGAGAGTTTCAATAGAAATAACACTGTACCAGAGAGTTTCAATAGAAGCAACAATGAAATCAAGATTATTTTTAGACGTAATACTGTACCTGAGAATTTTGAAAGTCGTTGTACCCAAAATAATGAGATTCAATTGCATGATTCATTAGTTAAAGATCAGGTAAAAAAAACAAATGTAAATTGTTTATGCAGCCCATGTAAAGTATTTTTTACTTCTCTTAGCAAGTTAAATGCACATGTTTGTTATGTTCACAGAAAGGGACTTCAGTGTGTAATTTGTAATACATATTTTATATCGTATAAAGATATGTGTAATCATGAATGTGCTCGAGTGTTTTTACAAATGAAACTTAATCCTTTGACTAGAATAGTTTTACATTTTGGGTCAGAAGATAAAATATCAGAAAGTACAGAGTATGGTAGTGATCAATGGCACATTGTCGTAAAAGATAATCCAACGACATTAGAAGAGACTAAAAATAAAGAAATACGTGTATCATGTTATTGCAGAAAATGCAAAATAGGGTTAATTTCTCTTTCTCAATTAAATGATCACATCTTCAATGTGCATACAAAAAGAGAAGAGTGTATATTTTGTAAGATGGATTTTAAATCAACTGAAGAAATGGGCAATCATTTTTGTGAAAAATTGAATACAAAGTTGAAAAACAACATTTTAACAGAAATAACTGTGTGTCCTATTTGGGATGCTAACACCAAAAATCACAAAAAAGGAGTTGAAGTGATTACATTGCCATGGCTGAAAATGAAAGTAAAGACTCTACGACAGCTTGCACAGGAGAAGTTAGATGAAAAAGTTATGTTTAAAAAAAGACAATTTGAAAAAAAGACTAAAGAACAAAAAAAAGTGGCAACGAACAAAATTTCGCCAAAGGAAACACAATATGTCAATAGAAAATCCTGTCCAGTTTGCCCTTTGTTTTTTAAAGCAGAATCTAATCAAAGTCTTTACGAACATTTTTATAAAAAACACCAAAAAGACACAAAGTACTGTCGTTTTTGCCAACAGGCATTTCTTGCTGACAATCATGAATGCAAGAAAGAAGAAGAGGAAAGTTATATGAAAAGGAAAGAAAATAAAAACAAAATAATAGAAGAACTAGTTGGAGAAGAAAGCATCAAATTGCAAAAATGTCCGCAATGCTCATATATGAAATACTTCTGTAAAGAAAACATTCATAATCAAGCTTGTACTAAAAACGCCTGCATTCCTTGTAAAAACTGCTGTGAATGTGAAGGTATAAACTGTTTTTACTGTGGAAAAATTTTTCATTCTGAAAGTTTGACCTGGAGACATGTGGATCAAAGGCACAGGTCAACAAAAACCGGTATTTTTCACTGTTACTTATGTAACCTCTCAATCAACACTTTAGAACAATTGCAACTTCATGTAAAGAATGTTCATCCTCTCATGGATGCCTTAACATGTCAAGAGATTTTTCGTAAAAGATCGAAATATAGAAAATGTCGCCAGAAAAAAAGGAGCGTTGAACAATTATCAGCAGATCATGAAAAGCAAAGGAAGAAATATCAGGAAAAACACAAAGATAGGTACAAATGTGATGTTTGTCAAGAAAAGTTCACTTACTTTATGATGATGAAGAAGCATATTGCAAATGAACATAACGGTGAAAATTTTGGCTGTAATGATTGTAACATGTGGTTTAAGGATAAAAGAACATTAAAAAGACACCAAATGAAGGAACATTTGAAAGGATGTGTAAAAGAGCAATCTACCTGTTATGTTTGTAACCTGAAGTTTCGCAGTGATATAAGTTTGAAAAGACATAAGTTAAAGGAACATTTAATTGAGGACAAACACCTTTCCAAGTCTAGGGAAAATGTTGCTTGTGAGCAATGTGGTAAAATTGTGACGAGAAGGAGTATGAGGTTACATTTACTTGTTCATCGAGAAAAAGAGTTTATGTGTGAATATTGCGGAGAGAAGTTTCGTAGACGTGATGTAATGAAACAGCATAGGCAAATACATTTAAGAAAAAAAAATGTGGTCAAGTCCGAAACATCTGGGTATGAATGCTTAATATGTGGGTTGATTTTATCTACCAATGGTGCATTAAAAAGACATTTTAGTTGGAAACATTCAAGTGCAAAGTTTTCTATACCATGCAAAACCTGTGGCAGATTATATGCAAGTAAACCTGTGTTATCCATACATATGAAACTGAAGCATTCACACCAACCTTTTTACTGTGAAATATGTAATAAGAGATTCTATTACAATTACATGCTTAAAAACCATGTAAAGATCGTGCATGAAAATTTTAAGCCTTTTCAATGTGACATTTGTAATTTCAGGTGTTATATGAAATCTGCACTAGTATCACATATGAAATACAATCATTAATTCAGCTTTATCGTATTGCTGGCTGTTGTTTATGTGCATTGGTTAATCCAGGGAGCTGTTCTGAGGTTGGTTAACCCCCTTTTGTTTTCGATTAAAAAAAAATGATGTGAACGTTTCATGGTGTTTCAGGGTTGAAATCTCCCCCCTTTTAAATGGCTGGATCCGTGACTGATGTGTACTGAATGATAGAAGCATATACCAACCTGTAATTATTTAAATTTTAGTGCAATTGAACCATTATTATGCTAATGTTAGTCATAGAAAAGAACAATGAATGTTAGATTTTTTAAAATGTGATTTTGTCATGTGTTTCTCATTCTATATAGCGAATAACTTATTATACCAAAATTTTTGTAAGCAGAGGTGTATATTGATTTTTATGTCAATTCATCCATCTTCACTTTTGTATCCACAATGGCACCTAAAACGAGATTGGATCACTTTGAAACTTGCACTGAATCTTAAGTCATTTCTATTTTATTTTTTTATCCAACCTATTTTTAGCTCACCTGGTCCAAAGGGCCAAGTGAGCTTTTCTCAACACTTGGTGTCCAGCGTCTTCTATTAACTTTTTCAAATATCTTCTTCTCTGAAATTACTAGGCCAAATTTAACTAAACTTGGCCACAATCATCTTTGGGGTATCTTGTTTAAAAGATGTGTCCGAAGACCCATCTTCGCTAGCCAAGGATTACGATCCAGTCCCCTCCTCTACTCTATTTTGAAAACCACAATAAATAGAGAAAATCTGACAGCGGCAAATATGTTTAGAATATTGTCCATTTAAGTCAAAACTATAAGATGACTTCTTATAGGAGTTATTGCCCTTAAATGACAAATTTTACCATTTTTTTTTCATTGTTGCTTATTTTCTTTAAAACTATAATAGATAGAGAGAAACTCTTAATTATAAAAATGATCAGCAAGACAATATCAACAAATAAGTCAATAGGCTGAAATTATCAGATGACTCCTTATAGAGTTATTGCCCTTAACAGACGATTTTTACCATTTTTTGGTGTTTTTGCATATTATCTTAAAGACTACTGTAACAATAGATTGATAGAAACTTTAAAAGTAAAAATGATTAAGCAAGACAATATCTACCAATAAGTAACAATAGAAATTCTTCAGTCGACTCGTTATTGGAGTTATTGCTCTTTATTGACGATTTTTACCAATTTTTAGTGTTTTTTACTATTATCTTTAAGACTACGATAGATAGATAGAAACTTTAAAAAACAACAGTGATCAGCAAGACACAATCTACAATAACTCAACATGGTCAAAATTGTTTGTCAATTCATTATTGGAGTTTTTGCTCTTTAGTAACAATTTTTACCAATTTTTGGGGGTTTTGCCTATTATCTTGAAAACTTTAAAAGATAGATAGAAACTACTTTTAATAACAAAAATGATCAACAAGACAAAAGTTAGTAGGTTCATTATAGGAGTGATTGCCCTTAAATGATGACTTTTTTTTAACCCTCTTGTGTTTTTTTGGCAAAAAATAAAGAAGATGGAGAGAAATTGTAAACTGAAAAATTTATCAGATCAACTGAAAGGGATTTTTGTAATTAAATCTATTCTAGTCTACTGTTGAAGATGCACATAGACCTATGTGAGCAACACAGGCTCTTTATAGCCTCTAGTTAAGTTTATCTAGAGCAGAATTTACAAAAAGGATATAAAACATTTTTTCAATGAACTTTCATACAATCTGTATTTACAGTAGGTGTTGAAATCATAAAGATTCTGTTTTTTATTGGTTCTAAGACAAACAACCTGATTCTGTTTCTTTTACATGTTTCCAATCTAAATATAAGCAACCCAAGCATAGAATATTTTAGCACTGACTGCCAACCTAATTGTTTTTGGAACCAAATATGTTTGGAGGCCTTTGCCCAAAAAATATGGACTTTGCCATATTAATATAAAAAAGAGGTATAAGTATGAATATGTGACTCTTCTGTTTTTAAAGTTAGCCAAATGAATTAATATTCCATATATATATATATATATATTTCTCTAATTCTTAGATGATTTATCCTTTTTCTGACCTGTTGATTATTTTTATTGAGTCCACATGTTTTTTTTTTTATTCCTTTCATCTGAATTTCCTATTGTAATGTCATGAAAGAAAGGCGTCCATGTCTGATGACGTTATACAGAAAAAAACACATCTGTTTGCAAATCATTGGAAATAAGGGATTAAGTTTGTCAGCAAATTGTCTAAAAATCATACAATATTTCTCCACTGTCACCAATTAAATTTTAGATATTTTAAGCGCTCAGTAAGCCTTGCTTTTAAAATTTAAAAATTTAATTGTCTAGAGTGCATAAATATTGTATCACACATTGATGCAGGGGTTCAAATTAATGTGAGTCTGAGGTCCAGGACCTGTCTTTTCTAGGAGAGGACTTTTCATTTTTAGATAACAAAAGCCAAGGACCTACCATTTTTTACACTGATGCTTGATTTCTTATGGAGGACCCTTCACTTAAAATTTCAAATGGTTTTGGACCTTTTATAATTTAAAGCAAATTTGAATGATGCAGTGATAGAATCTATTATATATAAGTACATGTAAATATAGCTTGAGATTAATGACATCATGATGACATTATTATATTTGGTTCTTGATTTTCAATTGATTGTGTGGCCTATTTTACTTTGATGTCTAAAAAGATAAATAATTTTACATATAAGTTTTTTGTATCATATGTAACTATTTTTTCTCTGTTATGTTTCGATTTCAATCATGATATTAAAGTTGATTTTACACAGTAAAATATGAATATGTGACCCTTATGTAAAATGTTGTATACTTAATTGTTTAAATTTAACATTGTATTAAGTGACTGTTATTTTGTATTTTTATGTGTGAAAGAACACATTTGAATAAAAGAAGGAGAGAATGATGAGACTATTGGTGTGTTAAAACATAAATATTAGAGAATAATGGGTATTAAATATAAAGAGTTGGGGAAAAAATTACCTAAAAATTTGAAGAATACAGAAATAAAGGACCCCCACCCCCACCCCCTTTCCAGAAACTCTTATATGTCCTTAACCAATTCAATTTTTTTAAACTGATAGTTTACATCACGAAAACAAACAATAATGCAAAATTTAAAATGGAAGAGTTTAATAAACAGATCATACCTTGATTGATTGATTGATTTTTGATTGCTTAACGTCCAGTTGCAAATATTTCATGCATGTTCAAGACAACAGATCATACAGAAAAGCCAGCAAAGTTAGGAATAGGAAGTTTCTTTACTATTATAAAACTAAAGCTTAGATTCAAAGGTTTTTAATTGCAATTCTAAATTTTTTGAAGAAAAAAAAATTGTTTCAGAATTGAAGTGAACCAAATATTTTGTTACCTTTGAAAACCAGTAGGAAAAATTTGGTATTACTGTTTTAGTGGACTAAAACTTGTGTCTCCTGTTTATCTCAAGAAGTCATTCCAGTAAAGAACTGAAGGTGTAACAAACACATTATTTTACTGAAAAGGTAAAATGTTTAGTTTACATCAAAAAGTCAGAGGGAAAAATATGTCATTAGCACGAAAAAAAGTAACAAAAAATAGGTTTTATAACCTTAATATAAAACGGTTAGGTCCTTATGACCTTTTGCATGGACAAATTTTTTATTGCATTGGAAATATTTGGCTGTTGCAAAAATAATATATCTGGTATTATGTACACACAAAAAATATTTGACCTTTAATGTCAATGTTATCTTTTATTGTACCGAGACATCGTCCTGATGCCAAATATCAAAAGCCAGTGTCAAAAGATGAAAAAAAGGTACAGCCTGGACAAGATTGTATGAGAAGCAGAAACCAGACGAAACCCTACTAAAACGTAATCTCCCTCCGTCAAGGGGTGACATAATAAAAGCAGCATTGAGTTTTTTTTAAAAAAGGGGTCTTGTGTCTGTTACCAAAAAATGTGTTTCTATTAAAGGAAAAAAGTTTCAATGTACAAAGAAATTTTCTGCACATAAGATCTGGTTTTCACGCTCCAATCTCATTGGAAAATGGGTGGCTTCTCGGTAGGATATCAATATTTAGTTCCTTAATATTGATGTCCTAATGAGGAGCCAACCATTTTTTAATAACATCGTCTGTGCTATAAAAACGGAGTCATGATACTAAAGGGAAAATCAAAAGTCTAGGAAAAAGAGACTACAAAATACAACAAAGAAAACTATAGACTGAGCAACACAAACCCCACCGAAATCCGAGTGTGATCTCAGGTGCTCCAGAAGGGTAAGCATACACTGCTGCACATATGGCACCCGTTGTGTTACTCATATGGCAAGTACATATTCGGTCTAAAGATATGCAGTCTAAATTTAAAGGCTCACAGATAATCTAAACCTGATCTCAAACTCTAAATCTAATGTTTTATAAAGAGACTATCCATTATTTGTGTTCTACACCAGATATTCCAAAGGACAAAAAACTTCAAAGAAAAAATCTACAGATAACCATCGATGAAGTTCCTATGGTGGAAAAGGTACAGGAACATTCGGCGAGATTAGATCGCCTAGTTATTTTTGCAACCCTTTAATTTCTGGTTCAGTTGAATGAAAAAGGTACACAGAGGAGTATGCGAAATCTTCAGAAAAGAAAGGACACTTATCTGTATACATGTATAACCTGATCGGAATAACGGACAAAAAACCGTATAGGTACACGTCAAGACAATCCTTAAAAATTCCGTTACAGGAAAAGCATACTGACGGTATGTTAATTTTTCAAATCAATTCAAATCTTTATTGCCATTACACTATATATTTATAGCATATGACACAACATAACAAAATAAACATAAACAATATCATCAAGATCATTAATATACATAATAAAAGTAAATATTTCAAGAGTCCCCTGTCCTCAGTTCTATAGACTGTTTTAAAAAGGATCCTAGCTTATTTACCTGAATGTTTGATCTTGGGTTTAGTATATATGTAATTTTATCTATATCATTTAAATCAGTAAAGTGCATCTTCTCATTTATCAAAAAATAAAAATAAACTTTTCTATTATTACTGCACAATATAAAAAGAAATGAATTTCATCTTCAATTTGTTTGCAGTTTTTGCATAATCTTTTTTCTCTTGGTATTTTAAGACATCTTCCCTTTTCTATTAATAAATTGTGGTCACTTATTCTAAATTTTGTTATCAGTTTTTTAAATTCAAATTTTGAGCAAATTAAATATTTTCTTCTGTTTTATTTAGTTTTACATGTTTATAAATAGTGAGTTTGCTGTTATCCTTTATATCTGATATTTTATCATTTACTAGTTTTTCATAAAAATGCTTCAATTTTATTTGTTCTCTTATAGTTTTAGTTATCTTTTTGTGAGGGATATTTCTTTAAAGTGTCCTAATCCATACCGGTTTCTCCTAAGACATGTTTTACATATGTTAATAAAAGTTCAAAATACTTTACTTGCTGACATGGACCCATACCGTTAATTTATACTTTCTCTCGTATTAACGCGAAAAAAAAACGTGGTTGTACTTGAAATGATTCGATCAATTCACTCGAAAAAAAACACCAACAATATCGACCAGACACTTTACCTACCGTAATACTTTTCATTGCAAAAATGATAATGGATGGCTGTTAAGCGTTAAATGAATATTCAGGACGAGATCATTTTATTGCGATATGAAAATTAACCCTGCTTTTTACTAAACCAACTCGCTGAACCAGATTCCTTACCTGCTATATTTATGTAGTTCACAAGTTAACAGTCTATAGGAAGACATGTCACTGTGCCTTCCCAGACACAGTATTTCTATTCTAGACCGACCAATCTTATCTCTATTTAAAATAAAATATTGTTGTAAACAAAATAAACCATAAGGTGGAATTTTTACTCAACAAAAAAAATACACAAGGATCAGAGATAAATGATATAAACAATGAAGAGCTGCGCCATGAGCGCATGATACGCCCGTCGCTTTTTCAGAGAATAAGTTCCAATTATATAACTCATCAATGTCCTATCAGAAATTTATTAAAAAAAACGTAAGGGATATTATTTTAATAGATATAAAACAGTCACCAAAGTTTCATGAAAACTACTCGAAGCACTTTTGAGTTATTGTCCTAAAACTGGGAAATCACCTCTTTTTATGAATAAAATTACATAACTCGGAAACGTAAAATCTAGTATTTATAAAAATCGAAAGGGAGCTCACGTCAATAGATATAAACCAATTCACCAAAGTTTCATGCAAATTGGTTAAAACGTTTTTGAGTTATTGTCCGACATGTTGGCGACGGACGGACGGACAACGGTATACCATAATACGTCCCATAAATGGGCGTATAAAACAGGCAGGTATATTCCAGTGAAATATTCTGCAGATCCCAATATTAAACTCATTGACAAACCTATAATAAACATGAACACCTTTTGTAGGGTCGAATAGAACTCAATATTGTTAGGACTATGTATCAACACGATGATTCATTCTGGTCTTGACATCTGAAAATGGTAGATGTACGCTTTTAGAGGGAGGATTGGGGTCTGATAAAGTGGTCTTTTTGTACACTTAAGAAAATGGTTGACAATAATGGATGACCGCTAACGTAATGCCGCTTAGGAGAGATACAGAAAATACTAACTTTCTTTGGCAGGCGTTTTAAGTCACGACCTCCCACAACTGATGCGAACAGAGAAGGGTTGACATACTTAAGATCTGGATATAGGGACAAAAAATGTTGGGATGTGAGATATAGGAAAAAATAAAGTGTGATCTGGGTAAAAGTTGGAATTGGAAATTTTTTTTCAAAGAAGGATTCGGGAAAATATGCACCCTCGTGTCAGCTAGTCCATCCCCTCAACAATCTAATTAAAATATAGATCTCTGATTTCGTTATACTCATATGTAGTATAACGAAATCAGAGATCTATATTTTAATTAGATTGTCCCCTCAAGAGACATCTGAAGTGGTTTCATTGCAACTTGTATATGTTCATCTGTATTTCAGGCGCCATTGATTAGTCAGTTTAGTTATCAGAATCTGAGACTACTATGACACAGTGTTATAATAGTCAGAATCTTGTTAGAATTGAGGCCCGTGTTGGTAAATCATAAAAATAGATATGATTCATATTTTTTCTTATGTTGTGAAAATGCTGTGTTTTGTACTGCTTTAAAACCCACCATAGTTTCTGTTTTGCAATACAGTTTTGTCTTACCTGTCACTAGGCCACAAAATATTGACAAAATTTCAGATTGCTGTTCGAATCCATAAAAACCAATTCATACTTCGCGCCACGAATTAAATTGCATTATTTCCCTTTTATCCTCACAACAGCGTAAACAAAAAGATCTTTTATGTTGCGAAGGTGTTAACCTGCTTCACAAAGACGAAAATCTGTTCGATTTTAAAGGTAAGTATTACTTACTTTAGAGGTCGGAATGAAATTTAATTTGCTAGTGAAGTATATTGGGCATCACATACAATGTAATGTTTTCAATCATTTCATATATGGAATACCTAAGTAGGTTATTTCCCTTTAAACATGTTAAACATTGCAAAGCAATAGTAAAGTATAATGGCTTTGAAAACGAATAACTGCTTGACGTGAACAAATTATATTGTAAACTAAATTACAGATCACATGCGATCTTGCTAATTCTTGGTATGCATCGTCCTCGATATGCACGAACTATTTGCCACTGGAATTTAACCAAACAGGCATATTATATATATTTTTATTTATATAGTAGTTCTACCAGCTAACTAATTATGATAATTTATCTCGTTTCTAGATGTTTGGGACCAACTGGCGATTTGTCATTTTTTAATGTTCTATTAAAGGATTCCACTATAGTCAAGTCAAGGATTTTTATAGTATATAAATCTGGCTTGGTCGAATATTGTCAAAATTCTTTTTTTTATGTCTATAGAACCAGTTATCTTTTAGTCGGTAAAGCTTTTCAGTATGATATAGAGGGCATTTTTAGGGGTATAAACACAAATTAGACAAAAAGCTCATTTACAAAAAAGAAGATTAGATATGGTGTTGGCGGTTCTGATTTTGCAGAACACCCATAATTATTCTAAATTGTAAACATGCTAAATATGTCTGGTATAGATCTACCGATATTTGAAGTTGCCTATGTTTTCAGTTCAGACCTCACCCGACTTATATAGATGTCATGTATTATCATTTAATTTTTCTTTCACGCTTAATTTTTTTCAGATGGTATCTGAAGCGCATGTTTTAAGTATTCTTCGTAATTTGGAAAAATGCTGGACTTTAGAGCAATATCTTGATTTTACTATAAAAGCCAAAGATGGAAGTATCCAGTGTCATCAAATCCTGTTTTCCAGTTTATGTAAACTTTCTCATAAAAAAGAAACAGCAACATCTTGTGAAAATTCTTTGAATGTAGAAACATGTCTCAATAATGTAGCACATTTTCTATCAATGCTCTATAAATCAACAATAAAACCTCAGGATTTTACCGACATTTTTTTATCAACAGCAAAAATGTTTGGGTTGCCAATACCACATCTGACAAAGGGCACAAGAAAACAAAGCTGTTTACACGAAGAATTTGTTAAACAACGAAATTTGACCTTTGGTGACACACTAGCAAATGCAAGAAAGAACAATATATTATCTGATATAACTATTCTCATACAAAAACAGAAATTTTTCTGTCATAAGGTTATTTTAGCGGCTTTTTCTGCATATTTTGACGCCATGTTTTCTTCGAAGCTCAGCGAGCTTCATCAAGATGAAGTTATAATTCATGATGTAGATAAAAAGACGTTCAGTAAGATTCTTGACTTTATGTATACTGGGGAAATTACAGTTACAATACAGAATGTTCAGGATTTGATGTCTACCTCATCATATTTGCAAATTCCTTTACTTCAAGCTCAATGTGAACGTTTTATGGTACGCCATATTGAAATTGACAATTGCATTGACGTGGTAAAACTCGGCGATGCAGTTGGATCTGATTATCTGATGTCTAAAGGGATCAGCTTTGTGTGTCGCCATTTTAGTACTGTGTCTAATAACAAAGAATTCCTTACACTTACAAAAATCATGATAAATAGAATCTTGCAAAATGACCAGATAAATGCAGAAAATGAATATACGATCTTAAAAGTTTTACTATTATGGATTAAACACCAGAAAGATAAAGTCGAAATTACTGATCTTATGAAAAATGTTAGACTTTCACTAGTTTTAGAAAGTGCGTTAGAAAAAACTTTGGAAAATCCTTTGGTAAAAAAAGACCGAAACTGTGTTCAGTATGTCAATGATGTAATAAAAAACAAGATCAATAAAACTGAACAAACCAGAACATTTGAAACAGAAGACGTCATGGTTGTTATGTGGTCCTCTAGTTATATACCAGGACTTCATTTAGCATGCTTTAGTTTTGTAAACAACACTTGGTACCAGTTACCGGGGTTACCAAATCATTCGACAGGAGGTTCGTATGGCGCATGTTCCAACGACAGTGATATTTATATATGCGGAGGTAGTGGAAATCCAACAGCTTTTCACCGATTCAATTTTCCTTCAAATAAATGGCAGAAATTAGGTCCAATTGAGTTTAAATATGGACGCGCAGACCATGCCATGGTCATAAAAAATGATAATCTGTATATGATTGGTGGAAGTCAGGATAGAATCGTAGTATGGCCATTTGTAGATAAATACAATATAACGGATAAGTCATGGAATCGCATGGGTGCTCTCAGTATTGCAGTATCTAATCCTTCATGTGCAATATTTAATGAAAGCATTATAGTGTTTGGGGGTAATAAATCCTTTGGTGAGTTTGTTTCTGCTATTCAGGTATACGATTTAACAACTAACTCGTGCACCTCGTTTTCAAAGTTACCAATAATGTGCAGTTTTAGTGGACTAGTAATGAATGAAGATGTAGCATACATTGTTGGTCCTAAAGGCGATGTGGTTTTATATGAACATGGTAAAGATCCGGTTGTTTTAGGTTCAGTGCACAAACAAACAATGTTTGGATTCGGTACAGCATTTTATAATGGTAAAGTGTTTGTAATAGGTGGAAGCTCGGATCGCATGGAGTCAACTGAATCAAGGGCGTTTGATATCGTGTCTAAAACTACTTCTATTACAAATAGGAACATGAAAGTACCTGCTAAAAAGGAATCAAACCAGTATTTCATGATCATCCACAACATTCGCAAATCATTACTTATACCAGACAATCTATACAAAGATTGACATGCAGGGCCGTAGCACAATGGAGGGAAATTAATTACTTTCACATGTGGAGCAGGACCTGCTGGCCCTTCTGGAGCACCTGCTATCATCCCGGTTTTTTGTGGAGTGTGTGTTGCTCAGACTTTAGAGTTATATGTTGAATTTTGTAGACTGTTGTTTGTCTTTTGGTCGTTTTTCGCCATGGCGTTTGTCAGTTTGTCTTCGACTTATATGAGTTTGAATGTCCGTTTGAAATCTTCCGCCTTTACTTTAAAACGGCAATGATACATGGATGCGAAGAATTGTTTATTTACGTAACGTAACTTACAGAATTTAACATTATAATCATGGAAGTAAGAATGATAGTTGATATTGTATGACTTCACGCAACAGTCGTACGAAAGCGTAGAAATTCATCTTTTCTTGAAAACCGTCGAACCACAATTCAGAATTGTACTCCAGCGCGAACTAGTCTATAGGAAACTATAAAGATTACTGACAGCTATTTCCGAATGTTTATTTAACTTTGAATCTACTTCTTATCCTTCCATTTACTTCTGTTTGCTGTGAAAGGTCATTTTCAAGTTGAATGTGTTAATATTAATCCTCATCGCTGAGGACTTGCAATATTGCACGTTCACATGAACACAGATATGGAGAGGATGTTAAAAGCATTTGATATTTCTGGCAATATTTAAGACAAGAAAATTTTATTGAACGCTGATACGGAACACTAAATGTTATAACAATAGAAATAAAAAAAAATCATAATTTACAATGTACTCTGACAATTGTTTATATTATAGTGTTCTCTTTATGCTCAATTCCACTCAAACATATTGTGAGGAATAACGACTCTTTTCATCTGTAGTCTTATTATAATTCATTTTTTTACGGGAATGATAAAACGTATTAATACACATTTTGGTATGCATGAGGTTATAGTAATTTAATAGACAAACGTGATGCTAAGATAGAATCAATAATCATGGGAGACTGGTTTCTTCAAAATTGATAGCAATGACGTTTATAGGTGGTAATAGTTAACCTGTTAATATAACGTCCATACGGTTATAATCTCTAAATATGATGCCAATATCCCTTTTGGTCATCAAATGAAGACGTCATTATATAGGGAAACCCATTGAAAAGACAATGACGAACACTCCGTATTTCAAGGAAGACAACGTCACAGCAATCTAGCATGGCTGAGTAAATAAGACCAATCAGTTTGACAGCGATCTCAGATAATTCTATTTTACCCCCCCCCCCCCCCCCCCAAAAAAAAAAAAGATTAATAAATGGATTCTTTAAACGTCAGAGTGATAATTATTGTTTATTACAAGTCGTCTATATAATCAGTGTATAGATCAAATATATTATAATAGTTATATACATGGTCTGCATTTTCGATAGACGTTCAGAATTTGTCAAACGTTTTAACTGGAGAAACGGCTGTCTTCTGTTTGACATTGAAATACTCTTGACGTCTGCAGAAAATACAGACCGTAACTGCACATGTGGTCATAATTACAAAATACAATACAATATCGATTGATTGATTGTTGTAAGCTTTACGTTCAGTTATAAATATTTCATGCATGTTCAGGCCGACAATAACGAAAAAATCCTACACTGAAGCTGATACGGGTGGGGTGTTATATACCCATGGTCCATCCTTTCATATATTTAACATCATGAACTAGAGGCTCTAAAGAGCATGTGTCGCTCGCATTGGTCTATGTGCATATTCAACAAAGGACAATCTTCAACATTGTAGATGAGAATAGAATTCATGACAAAAATCTCTTTTTTGTTGATCTTGTATTGCTGATCATTTATTCTGTTTAGTTTCTATATATATGGCTATCTATCAGTGCATCATAAGCCTATTTGGCTGGCTGAAAATCAATTGTATATTTGAATATGATTGTTTGTTACAATTCAAGTTGCACTTTAATATAAAAATATTTTGTTCTTGCTCAAAACACAAAAGAGGGTAACTTGAAAAAATTCCTTGATTAAGGGCAATCACTCCTATAAAGAGTGGCAGTCTACTATTTATATCAGCAAAATTTGACGTGTTAGTAGAACTTGACTTGCTAATAATTTTTGTGATTTTAAAGTGTCATATAAGGTAAAACGCCAAAAAAAAAATCCATATTATCATAATTGAAAATCTTGTCTTGCTGATCATTTTTGCTTATTTCATTTTATACTATCTATTATAATTTTTAAGATACACTGTATAAGGCAAAAACGCAAATAATTGATATTAATTTTCATCAAAGGGCAATAACTCTAATAAGGAGTAGACTGATGATTTCGACCATAAGACTTATTTGTAGAACTTGTCTTGCTGATCATTTTTGCAATTTAAAGTTTCTCTCTATCTATTATAGTTTTCAAGAAATAGGAAAAAAATGGTAAAATTTGTCATTTAAGGGCAATAACTCCTATAAGTTGTTTGACAGTTTTGGCGTATATAAACAATTTGAAGAGCTCAACATTCCGAACATTTTTGTCTTTGTCAGATTTTCTCTACTTATAACCTTTTTCAAAATATTAGACAAATCTTGCAATTTACCCCTATGTTCTAGTTTTAGCCATATCGGTCATCTTGGTTGGCAGGTGGGATCATCGGACTCTTTTTTAAAACTAGATACCCCAATGATAATTGTGGCCAAGTTTGGTTAAATTTGGCCAAGTAGTTTTAAAGGAGAATATTTTTGTAAAAGTTAACAGACGACGACGGACGACGGACGCCAAGTGATGAGAAAAGCTCACTTGGCCCATTGGGCCATGTGAGCTAAAACGGACATCGGTATAGAACTTATTTAAAGGAGTTACCCTACAATAAACATTGAACTTTATGTTTGTGCAGCCGTCTGTGCATGCCAGATAGTATGGTGATTCCATCACATATCCACAAATCTGAGTACATTTCTGCATGGCCACTCGTCTGTCTAAATGTCCATTAGTCTGTCGATCTTGATGGCCAGTAGTCTGTTAACATGTCAACCAATCTGTGTATATGTCCAAAGATCCGTTTACATGTTCAACAGATTGTGTATATATACTAACCAGTCTGTCGACAGGCCTACAAGTCTGTTTACATATCCACCAGTCTGTGTCACAGGCTCCTGTCTCTGAATTTTTTTCCTTATATACTATAGTACCTTTATATAACACAAGGTACTTAACTCGTATTTTTGAAAAATGTAACCCGGTCGCGAACTTCTGTTATATTTCGATTTCTCGGTTATCTACCCACTAAAACTTGTTATGCCATAAATTTAAATTGATTTATCTACACAATGGTGTATAACACGCCTACCTTTTTTGTCGGGATCATTAGCAGGCCTCCCCAAGTATTTCAACCGTAATTATTTCGTATTCCCACAGCTCAGCCGATTGGAGTAAATGATTAATTATAAAATGTATTTCAAAAATACCTGTTGGTTTTTGTCTGAATAGAGCTTATCATCCAGATAGTAAATTTGTAAAAGATTCCGTGAAAAAAAATCTAACAAGTGTTATATTAAGGTATATAGGAAAAAAATTCAGAGACAAGTGCCTGTGGTCTGTGCGCCTCCGCAAGTCTCTCTATATGTTAACCACTCTGTCTACATAACAACCAGTCATTTGACATGTTCATTAGTCTATCTACGTGTCCGCCAGTTCGTCTACGTGTCCACCAGTCAGTCAACATGTTCACCCACCGGTAAAGTTATGTGTCCATTAGTCTGTCGACATGTCTAAAAGTCTGTCTATGGGTCCACCAGTCTGTTAACATCTCCACATGCAGTCTGTTAACATCTCCACATGCAGTTTGTTTCCATCCTGTAATGGATAATTAATTTCCAACTGACGTCACCGACGTTACTACAAGGGGGAAATTAGATTTCGCGTTACTAGGGGGAAAGAATAGGCCTGATCCTTGTCCAAAAAAAATCTTAATAATAACCTTTTTTGCATTTTAAGTTGATTCAAGGAACAAAATGAATTAAAACAATAGAACAGAATTTGATTTATATCTTTTGATATACTTTTCAAAAATATGAGTTAAGAACAACTGAATCTAGTCATGTCACAGGACTTAGGTTCTAGCTTTCTTCAATGCCAAAGTCTCATCAGACTCTGCACATGAGGCACCGTCTGATAGGCCTGTCAATGTACACTCATTGGATTTGTATCTTGGTTTTTAAGTTGAAAAAAGTTTTTTCAAATGCAATCAATATGATTGCCAATGAGAAAACTCTCTGCAAGAGACCAAAATGACACAGAAATTAACAACTATATGTCACGGTATTGCAAGTATTGTTTTTTTCTTCATATGATCAAATATGATTTTGTGAATTTTATGGTACATAATTTTTTTTTTATTTAAAAAATATTTTTTGTTAAAAAAATTACCAGTATGGTATTTATTATAAAGCAACAGAATAAGGTCGGAAAACAAGGTACTGATTTGTCTTGGTCCCAAAATGTCTCCTGCTGCGTTGCCAAACTGTCTATTAATCATGTCTATGAAATATGTCTCCTACGGTGCCAAACTGTCTATTAAATTTGGAGCCCAATGTTTTCCGAGCTGGTGACGAACTGTCTTGAAAAGTTACCTTATATACAAAGCGCATCCATCGCTGAATGATTCATCAGTAAGACTGGTTTCTGAGAAAAGTATGCCTTTTACCTCTTAAAAAGTACTTGACAAAGAACCAGTTTTAAAGTATCGATTGCAAGTAAACATGTCAAATTAATACTTGTTTTTATCTTATTTTCTTGTTTTTTGTTTATAATTACTTTGTTCATCAAAATTGGATTAAATTTATTTTCTGCAGAATAATTTTACTTGTCCCGTCGGACAAGCTTGATATAGCTTTTCAGGCGCGTAGCTGCCTTTACGCAAAAAATCATTTGCTTGCACATTTTTTTTCACAAAAAAAATAATTCTTAAATTAAATTACGAATGAGTAGGAAGACAGGTCAACCGGGCTAACTATCCAGCTGACACTCCAAGTCAGTATTGGAAGCGAGTCTTGTATTTCTCCTTTCTTGACTATTTCATTGAGGAACTCACAGGACGTTTACTGGATAACTCTGATCGTTTTCAAGGCCAGAACCTTATACCTGCACGTTTGGAATCTTTGACAGCAGAGTGCATAGATAAACTATACGAAACATTTAGACACGACTTGACCGACAATCAAGAAACCTTCAACTCTGAGGTAAAGAGATGACAGAGACGCTGGTCGGGTCCAGATGTTATAGAGTAGCCCAAATCTCTGATGTCGTCTCTAGCAGTGACTAAAAAGGAACTATATCCTTCAATAGTTTGCAATCGTGTCAATCCTAGTTACAATGCCAGTAACTACATCAACTACTGAACGGTCATTTAGTGCATTACGGCGACTGAAAACTTATCTCCGTTCAACCATGGTATAGGACAGACTATCTTCGTTGGCGCTCATACATGTTCACAGAGAAATGAATATCGACACCGAGAGAGTTCTGCGATCATTTGCCTTGGCAAAAAATAGATACACGGACTTTGGATATTAACTATACTTTAAGTTTTACATGCAGTATTAACATTTAATAATACAGGCTCAATACAATAACCTTGAAAACATCTTAGATTTATATCCCTCACTTATAAGTCAAGACTTAAAAGTCGCCGTTTGATTTCGTAAATTCCCATTGTCCATTCGTCCAAAAGACTATTAATTCACCTTGGGTATCTGTGTCCCAAGTGACCTTCTACCGTTGTCGTAGAAACCCCTCCTTTGATTCGAAAATGACCTTTGTTAGAAACGCTACGGTCGGGTGTCTTGCAAGAAGCAGGACCTGCTTACCCTTCCGGAGCACTGGAGGTCGCCACATTTCTTTTTTGGGGTTCGTGTTTTTTATATGTATTTAGTTTCAATATTGAATGTTTTTGTTTGTTCTTTTGTGCCTTATCTGTTCCCGGGTTGGTCATGTGTCCATTGATTGCCCTTCTATTGATAAACGCTTCGGTTGACTTGTCGACTGATCTTCCCGTTTTTTAAAACTTATTTTATATTTGAAAACAACCATGTTAATAAGGAGTAATGTGAATTTCATAAGCATGGCATACTAGTACCTGGAAAATGACCGAAAAATAATAATTTTCTACATAAAAAGGTCCCAAATATTTTTTGGCCTCGCTCCGCTCGGCGATACAAGACTTATGCTTGCACTTTATTTTAGGCCAGCTACGCCCCTGCTTTTACTTGTCCGACCTTTTTTCCTCTGGTACCGGACAATCGGACAAGCGTTATTGTCGAGGCCTGCAACACACCTAGTCAAGATTTAATACGAGCTGAAAATAGTCACAAAGCAGACATGTCGCCCAACACATCATTTTAATTTCTTACTCTAAACTGATGAGTCATTGCTTTTTCTTCTATACATAAATAAATTCAGATTTAAAAAAAATTCGTTTGACCAACGACATCCTGTATTCGAGACGAAACTTCTACTTTCTACTTCAAGACAATAGAGGCCTGTTGTCAATATTGGAAAGTTATCTTTTTATGGGGGGGGGGGGGGAGATATACACATCACGAGTTTTACTCGCTTGGTTTCTTGTGCGGTTTGTCACCCAATTTATGTATACCTTACATCTCGCATTAGCAAAACATCTATGCAGGCCTAAAATTTGTTTTTGATGATTTTTAAATATTAAATGTGTAATAAACAACAATGTCAAAGCAATTGAAGACATAATATAATTAAAAGTTTAGTATGCTTTATTTTTCACAAAGTACTTCTAACATTGATGACTTGACTGTTGTTCTTCAATGGTAATACTTATAGTCAAATTTCTGACCACATGGAACAGTTTGATTTGATGAGATTGCAATTGGGTCAGTATCGAATGAACTGCAATGTAGAGAGGAACACCTACAATCGATTCACTGTTATAGATGCATGAGAATTTTTGATATTGTCTCATGTAGATACGAAAGCATTCATAAAAACAGAACAGCTTACAACATAGGAGACAAAAATAACAGATGTGACCTATGACAAATATAGTCATCTTTTGGTTATATCCATTTACATGATTAAGGAACGTTGACTTAGAACGAGTACGCAGTTGGTATCACGGTACAAAAGTTACCATAAAGTAGTGACTTCAAAATGATATGCTGCATGTTATACTAATATTTCCATGGTTTTATGTCTCCCGGTTTCTTTAAATTCAGTTTTTTTTTTTTACTAACTTAGAGATAACGTTTCGAGATATTTCTTATTAATTACAGTTTTCACGCAGCCGATACCAGAAGCTTTCTCTGGCAGGACATCTGCTGATATTGACGAGGTTGATGTTAGAAGATCAAAGGTAATGCAGTCCCCATATGAATGGTCAGAGTCCATACCACCAAGGACAATAATTGAATTATTCTTTAACACTGCACCAAAGCTATAGCGGTCAAATCCGGGTATTTTTCCTTTATCTTCCGTTGTACCGTCTGCTGAAAATACGATAACATCACCATCTGGGCATACGAGATAAATTTTATGGTCATGTGATATTGCAGACGATAACCTACAGTATACGGGAAGTTCACACACTATATTGCACGTTTTTAGTCTAGTATCAAAGCATTGAACAGTTTTTGTGTCAAAATCTTCGCGTGTAACGCCTCCAAACAAATATATTTTCTCTCTATCTACCGCAACGGACGCAGAACGCACAGCAACCGAAAGATATCCGGCATCTTCCCAACTTCCAGTTGCTATACTATATTGTTCAATACTCATTAAAGTTCGGAAGTCGTCGTCATTATTGTCATCATACCCTCCTAATACGTAAACATGTTCCCCAACTGCCACCATTGCATGGCGTCGGCGTCCAAGCAACATAGGTTCGCAATAAACCCATTTGTTTTGAGTACTTATATAGCAGAGCATAGCATTCATTTTTGTGCTGCCACCGGAAATATAAATAGCATTGCCATATGAACAAGTTGCAAATTCTACACCCGGATCATGTGGCATAGATGCCAACGAGAACCATTTACTTCTCTTTTCACTGTAACATATCACACGCTGTGTTGTCTTTGAATTGTCATCTGTTCCACCAACACAAACCACTACCTCCTCAAAGTCACCGAAATTCCGAAAACTCATTCGAGGCGAAACAAACTCTTGTCTTCTGGCGGGCAACAAATGGTATCGTTTGGCTTCTTCTAAAACATCCCGACAGGGTTGGTTGTGCTTAATCAACTTATTGTGTTCGAGCACATCGATTAAATATTCCGGTTGTATAAGGGGGAGACGCAGTTTTTCAAAAATTCGGGGAAGGTCTTTCTTTCTGTTATCAACATTAGAATGTACCCACCTCATAACAGCTTCGCATACCAGCTCTTCACTTTTAATGTTCAAATTGTTATTATCAATTATTTGCAATAATTCGTCACAATCTATAGCCAAAAAATCTTCAGTTTTCCATATTTGTTCAAAATAATACAATATAAATTGGAAAGCCCTCTCCGCAAGACACGAACAGCCGTGACCTTGGGCTAACTTCCAGGCACCTAAAGAATTTTCAGGATCAAGTTTCCCCACCATATATTCTTCACATCTCTCTTGCAGACATTTTATCTGTAACATAACTGCCGCTTGCAGAAGGGAATCAACATTTTCTGTATCTATAACATCTTGTCCACCGTAGATAAATTTTAGGATCTTCTCGAATGCCCCACTTTCAACATTTTGAAGGTGAACGACGCCATCTCGGCATTCCTTCATTCCGGAAGCGAACATTGCACTAAAGTACGGTGACATAATTGACAAGACTATACGATGACAGTTAAATGTTTTATCATCAATAATAATTTTAATGTCGGTAAACTCTTCATTACTTAGTGCCTGTGCAAGGCCATGACATATTTCTTTATGGTAACGTACTCGCCATGCTTCACAACTGTCATCAGTCCAGTTCATTCCATTGTTGTCATTCATTTTAAGCAATCTAAAAAATTAAGACAGTTAACATAAACCTATGAGGTAATTTTTCGTTATCTTTAACTGGTTGCTTAATTATAAAAAGACATCTTTCCAATCTAATTAAAATATAGAAATCGGATTTCGTTATACTACATACGGTGTATTCAAATCAAATCCTATTTTGCCTTGCAGGTATCATAGTTGAAGGCAAATTAAGAATCTTTTTGTTTTAATAAGATTGCACGTGAAATAAATAACATAAAAACATGTTGCACTAAAATACCTCTTTACCACCTTCTTGGAGGATCATGGTGGGCCATTAATAGAATCAAAATTACAATTTATCAAAGATTATTAATAATGAATAATAATAATAATAACGTGAACGACGATGTTATGATAATGATATCGACAATGACGATGACGACGACAATGATCATACATCACTGAAAAGTTGAAAACCAATGTCTAGTGTATATTTCCTTTACTACTTTCCAAACTGAGAATAAACATTAAGAGGCTTATAAAAAGTGAAAGCGTAGCAGTTACAGGTTAGCTAGATTGCACACCCTTTTTTTATTTATGCTTATTCATTTCTTCTCTATCACTTTTTATAATTGCATGTTGGGTTATGCTAATAATCAACGTTCTATAATATAACTATCAATAAAAGCAGAGACATATATACACATGTGTGTATATATGTCTCTGATAAAAGTAAGTGGACGTTAATAATTTGTACATGATCCTTTTTCTATTCGTTACCACCACATATCACTTAATAAAAGTAACAAGGGCCCTTAATTACATTGTACAATGTAGTGGTAAGGTAACTTAGGTTGAGCCGCTGGAATAGGTCACTTTTTCGAGCTTGAAAATATATCAAAAGGTCAATAAATTAAGATGAAATATATCATAAGGTTGCTGATTATATCAGAATTAAGTGTCTAAAACTAATCCCTCTAGTTTTGATATTTTTCACAGATGCAATTAAAACCACAATTGGAAACACATAAGATATTTGCCAAATCTCAGATTTCAGCTCTCTCAATTAATGAAATATCATAATCATGATAGAAAAACGTGCATTTAATCAAGGATTTGTATAGTAAGACTATAAGTCACTTTTTCGAGCTTGAAAATATATCAAAAGGTCAATAAATTAAGATGGAATATATCATAAGGTTGCTCAGTGATTAAATCAGAAGTGTCTAAAACTAATCAGACTATAGTTTCGATATTTTTCACAGATGCAATTAAAACCACTGTTGGAAACACAAGATATTTTCCAAATCTCAGATTTCAGCTCTCTCAATGAAATATCATAATCATGATAGTAACACGTGTATTGTTTAATCAAAAATTTGTATAGTAAGTCTTACTATACAAATCCTTGATTTTATTAAAAAATATATATGGTGTGTTTTTCATTTATTCAAAATATATGAAAAGGGTGGGGTACTGGATGTCTCAGTTGCTCATCCCTACCAAAAAATGATTAGAATGTCTTATGTCTACAACAATTTAAATAAAATTATGTTTTACAATTATCTTTTTTTGTGTTAATACCTTTACTCTTCGTGTTGTCTATAAACTTTGTTGTTTACGTTGGTTACACACGTTTTTATGTACTTAAATAATGATTGATTGATTGGTTGACACACCTTGTGATTAATATATAATTTCTGAGAAGTGTCATCAGTTGTTTTAATCCAATTAAAATTTTATAAGAAAGATTAAACATCTTCAATACAAATAACTTACATTGAGGAGCGGTTGACTCATTTCTCAAGGGAGACAATTTGTGATTTGAGACATCATGTGACCATCATATGCCTTCCGGATTCATTTGTGAAACGGAAATCGCTTGAAATGGAGCTATCGTGGATATTAAAAGGAATGTGCTTGTCTTTAATGACAAGATTTGCCCAGGTAGTATTAAAAAAAGTCGAAGTAGTTTAATGTCTGCAGTTGTTGCTTAGGAAGAATCATCGAGGAACTCGACACTTGTTTATCACGTTCAAAGATGTTCATGTTTATATAATAATATTTATGAAATACAGTTATTTAATAATTTGTCAAATGAAAATTACACATGAGACAACCAAAGTTATTATAGTGTTTGTTGACATGAACAGAATTATGCCATGGCAATGACGACATGTTGTACATTAATTATTACAAAATATACACATTTATTTACTTAATTACACAATGTGACATTGTTTACTTTTTGGGAACTTTGTCAAAAGATTGTCACCGGTTTGTTAAGGGTTTAATTTGATAATACATTAAGATTTTTTAAGACACTAAAGATGCAATTAGCGATTTGTGTAGGTCTGGATGGGTTTTACAGAATAGAGACTGGCTACAGAAAAATAGGCCAAAAAATAAAGAATAGAGAAAAATGGCATGAAGAATAAAGAAATAAAGACCCTCATTTGAAACGTGTTTGTGAATGATACCACATCAGAATTAGATGCTATTATAGCTATAGGATGAATTGGGACTACTTTTTCTGAGACTTTTACATTTTACATGGTAACAAGAGATCTCTGACATGATCTGTTTGACCTAGATTTTCTGAACATATTTCTGAATGTATTTTTATTTCAAATGTACATTATTATTTATAAAACTAGATATTTGAATTTCTGTTTTATGTTAAGTCTACTTTTTGACAATTATGATCTACTTACATCATGTACATGTACAAGTACCACAAGAAAAAACTTGATATTAAACCATGGTAACCAGAGGGTTGAGACTTGAAGAGACTATTACACTAAACATTACATCACATTATAGTCCTTTGAATTATAACTAAATGAAGCATTTGTCATTTGTTTCTTGAACATGTTAAATGAGCTAGTTAAAGAATTGAAAATTTTGATTCTATCACAGGTCTTAGGGACAGGACAACCTTTTACCCTTTTCCTTTTTTCAAAAATCAATTATTTTTGGTTTTGTTAATTTCTATTTGAAACTTAAAAAAGACAAAAAAATAACAAATTTGGAAAAACAGAGAAGAGCAAACAAAAATTTGTCCTGTCCCAGAGAAAAGGTGGATTTTATATGAATTTAATTTAATTTATAATAAACTTTAAGATGGATCATTTACCAGTTTATTTAATTTTGATGTGATGCTTTTTTAAAACTCAACGAAATTATGCATGTAAAGACTTCAAATTAAATTAACTTACCAGTGATAATAAAATGGCAATATTTCTATACTTTTATGATAAATTATATTGTCATGATTGTTTCAAACCTTTGAGGTGGAAAGAATATTTTTTACTTTTTATCCCAGAAAGAATTGTAAGTTCAAAAGATGATACATATACATTGTTTATATATCTAAATGCTTCAAGATTAATATTGTAATAAAACATGTAAAACTGAAACATGAAAACCTATTTCAAATTTTAGTCATAACATACTTGTAAAACATATAAAAACACAGGATATGGGGTATCCATCCATGACACAAAATCAGTACATGCACAGCTAAAAAAAAAGAAAAAAAAAAGCAAAGGAACAGTGCTTTTATCATGTTTATTGCTGTTTTTCATCTCAAAGTTACAGTGAGGCCTTCAACATGTATGCTTATGATAAATACCTTCATACAGGAACCACATTTATTAATCATGTTAATCTTTCATTATTACAACATTAAAATGCTAAATTATATTTTGATTTTTAAGGTATTTTTAGCAAAAACTTTCAGACTTTGATTATAATTTTATGAAACAACTTGATTTTATTTTTAGGGTGTAACGTTCTGTCCAAGAGAAACATGTTATGATAATGACTGTAAGTACTTAGGGAGGGAACAGAAATTTTGTTCTACTTTATATAATTTTTGTACACAATCTAAACATGCTAAAGTAATATTTTTGTTAATGATTTGGATTCATAATGGCATTTGGCATGCAACTTGTCCAGAAATAAATATCGGATTGTTTATTATAAATTCACTAGTACATGTACTATCCCAACTAGTTCTTAGTATCATTAATAATTTTCTATTGATATTCAGTCTCTATTCAAATTTAATTCCTCTTTAAAATTCTTCATACTAAGAAAAAAGATTGTGTATGTCTGTTTATAGTTTCCGTACCCTCCCTTATTTTTGTGACTACCTTTTCTCTTCTCATCTCGATTTTTAGTTTAGAAACTGGAAGATTGAGAATATCAAAAGGAAGATTGTTTCCTTGTATACATGTAGTTTGTATAAAATATTTTTGAAAAACGTTTTTGGGTAAAGATTGCATGAAATGCAATCAAAACCCTATGGTCATGATGGTACTGACTTAATATCTAAATCTTCCAAGGTTTATCACTACCTTTCATAGTTTAGACAAAACAGTGCAGTGAAGTGATCATTCTTTAGATCCTATCCAGTCAATGTCAAGCAATTAATTAATGCCAAAAAAGAGAGAAATTTTTAGTGTTCATTGCTTCTTTTTATTAGAGATACATTGTAAATGATTATGAAATTTCACACCCAACACCTAGAAAGTCAGAATTACTAAATATTTCTTCTTTGCCATCCCTTGACTTTGGTAAATCTGGTTAAGATTACAGGTAAACTTATATAGGTAAAAGGCGCAAATGTCTGGTCACTTTGGTTCAGGTGTATCAAAGTTTAAAGCACAAGTGTCTTGTGTTACAGGTAAAAAAGTGCAAACATCCTGTGCCCTTTTCATCTTTATAAGTGTGGGTGACATGTCCCCTTAGGGTGTATATTTAGCAAAATGAAACTAGAAATTATATTTTCCAATTCATTATACTAATGCACTACCTTAAAATGCATTTTTTTCAATCTTTGGATTGATTCAAATAAAGGCTGAGAAATAAACAAGGTATCCAAAAATTTGCGAAACTGTATTCTGCTTATATAGCTAACTGTAGTTTCATACATTATTGCTAAATATATAAATTTGACACAGATTAAACATTGAGAGTCATTTTCAGAGGATAAACAAATTATTATTATTATATGAAATTATTCAAGAAAAGGAAAATCTTTAAATTTGTTTATCCTCTGAAAATGACTCTCGATGTTTAAACTGTGTCAAATTTATATATTTAGCAATAATGTATGAAACTACAGTTTTTATTTACTATTTTGTGTAGAAATAAGCATGTTGAAGGCTGTACTTTGACCTATAATGGTTTACTTTTACAAATTGTGACTTGGATGGAGAGTTGTCACATTGGCACTCATACCACATCTTATATCTATAAACATTCATATTGCCAAGTATTGCCCTGTATTATCCATTTCATGCAGTATTGGCCAACCTGACAAAACCAGGTCCAAGGTAATACTTTGCCAACCCTGGTATATATGTATATATTGCTCCCAAAAATAACCAGTCTTAAAACATGTAAAACTTGAAACCATCAATACTGATACATGTAGCTACAACATATGAAACTGAGTTCTGTTATTTCAGATTATTGCTGTGATGGGTGGTGTTGTCAAAATTATAGTGTTTATCGAGTTTGGTGTAAGTAAACAACTTAACATTAGTATGTAATATTTATAAAACCTAAATATGTTTTTTGGTAGTACATTATTTGTAAATAAGAGTTAATGTACAGTTTTAAATGAGTTCACCCACAGTTTTCGGTGGGGTTCTTGTTGCTCGGTCTGTAGTTTTCTGATTGATGTTTTGTTGTTGTTTATCCTTTCGCCATTTTTATACGACTGCAAAAAATTTTTGCGATCGTATATTGGTATGACGTTGGCGTCGTCGTCCGGCGTCGTCCGAAGACACATTGGTTTTCGCACTCTAACTTTAGTTTAAGTGAATGGATCTCTATGAAATTTTACCATAAGGTTCAATACCACAAAAGGAAGGTTGGGATTGATTTTGGGGGTTATGGTACCAACAGTTAAGGAATTAGGGGCCAAAAATAAGCATTTTTGTAACTTCCAGACATAACTTGTGTGTTAGTGTATGGATCTCTCTGACATTGTACCACAAGGTTCCATATCACACAGGGAATGCTGGGATTAATTTTGGGGGTAATTGCATCAAAATATTAGGAATTAGGGGCCAAAAAAGGGGCAAAAAACAAGCATTTTTTTAGTTTCATGACAATAACTTGTGTGTAAGTGTATGGATCTTTCTGAAATTGTACTACAAGGTTCCATATCACAAAGGGAAAGCTGGAATTGAGTTTGGGGGTAATTGCCCAAAACGTTTAGGAATAAGGGGCCAAAAATAAGCATTTTTCTAGTTTCCAGACAATAACTTGTGTTCAAGTGTATGGATCTCTCTGAAATTGTACCACAAGGTTCCATATCACACAGGGAATGCTGGGATTGATTTTGGGGTAATTGCCCAAAACGTTTAGGAATAAGGGGCCAAAAAGGGGCCAAAAATAAGCATTTTTCTAGTTTCCAGACAATTACTTGTGTTCAAGTGTATGGATCTCTCTGAAATTGTACTGCAAGGTACCATACCACAAAGGGAAGGCTGGGATTGAGTTTGGGGGTGATGAATCATAAGGGAGTTCAAAAAATTTGGGGGGGGGGTTTTTTTTTTTTTCCTTTTTTTTTTCTTTTAAAATTTTCCATTTTAAGTTGGTTATTTCTGTTTTATATTTAAAAGCAAATAATAACGATATGGTAGGAGATACACACCAAACAGGATGTGTAAATTATTATAAAATAAGTATTGTGCAATAGCAAGAAATTTTCAATTGCACAGTATTGCACAATAGCAAGAAATCTTCAATTGCACAGTATTGCGCAATAGCAAGAAATCTTCAATTGCACAGTATTGTGCAATAGCAAGAAATATCAAATAGCACAATATTGCGCAATAGCAAGAAATTGTCAATTGTACAGTATTGCGCAATAGCAAGAAATATTCAATTGCACAGTATTGTACAAAAGAAGATACTTCGTATAAATTGCTTATTTCTTGACCAATTTCAATGGGGTTTTATTCTTGAATTCTTGGGGTTCTTTAATATGCTGATTCTAACCATGTATTAAGTTTTTGGATTTTGGGCCCCGTTTTTAAATTGGTCCACATTGAGGTCCAAAGGGTCCAAAATTAAACTTTGTTTGATTTCATCAAAAATTGAATTATTGGGGTTCTTTGATATGCCAAATCTAACCTTGTATTTAGATTCTTAATTTTTGGTTCTGTTTTCAAATTGGTCTACATTAAGGTCCAAAGGGTCCAAAATTAAACTTAGTTTGATTTTAACAAAAATTGAATTCTTAGGATTCTTTGATAGCTGAATCTAAACATGTATTTAGATTTTTGATTATGGGCCCAGTTTTTAAGTTGGTCCAAATCGGGGTCCAAAATTAAACTTTGTTTGATTTCAACAAAAATTGAATATATGGGGTTGCTGAATCTAACCATGTATTTAGATTTTTGATTTTTGGGCCCCATTATCAACTTTGTCCACATTGAGGTCAAAAGGGTCCAAAATTAAACTTTGTTTGATTTCATCAAAAATTGAATTCTTGGGGTTCTTTGATATGCTGAATCTAACCATGTATTTAGATTTTGGATATTGGACCATAGTAGTAGAATGTCCAATTTAAAATTTTTAAGTTCTTAGACCACATTCATCCTGTGTCAGAAACCTATACTGTGTCAAATAATTAATAACAATCCAAATTCAGAGCTGTATCAAGCTTGAATGTTGTGTCCATACTTGCCCCAACTGTTCAGGGTTCGACCTCTGCGGTCGTATCAAGCTGCGCCCTGCGGAGCATTTTATTATTTTTGGTAATGTTATTGTCTATTTTTATTGGACTTGTGATTTTTAAATGCCTCCTTGGTCAAAATGTTGGTATGTATCCTCTTTTTTTTTATATGTTCATTTTTGGATAACCTTCATTTATTAGGAATTTTTGAATAATTAGTTGATATTAAAGGGCAGTCAAAAGCAGGATAAATACATGGTTAGGGAGCTACCATTTGATTTTTAGAAGGGGGGGGGGGGGGCTAGGATGAATAATTTTGTCCTGCATTTTTATTTTTCACTCTATTCGGTCCTGTCTTTTTTTTTAATAGCTTATCCTGACTTTTTTTACATTAATTGTCATCCTGCCTTTTTTTGGCCAAGTTGCTCATCCTGCCTTTTTGTCGAGCCTTCGACTTTAGTCGAAAAAGCGAGACATAGCGATCCTACATTCCGTTGTCGGCGACAGCGGGGTCCACAAATATTCACTCTGTGGTTACAAGTTTTTGAAATTTTTTACTTTCTTAAACTATCCTGGATTTGTACCAAACTTGGACAGATTGTTTATGATCATAAGATAGTATCCAGAAGGAAATTTTGTTAAAATTTTGTACCTGTTTATCCGTATTTTACTTATAAATGGACTTAGTTTTTCTTCCAGTTAACATTAAATACAGCCTGCAGTTAAAGTTTTTAAAACATTTATAAGATTCATAAACTATCCTGGATTTATACCAAACTTTGACAGAAGCTTCTTACAATCAAAAGATAGAATCTAAAGGAATATTTTTATTGATCTTTTTCCTCATTTTGTTGAGCCTGTGATTAACAACAAAAGTAGGCGAGACACTGGGTTCCGCGGAACCCTTACAAATTTTTTTTAAAATTTCATCCTATACCCCCCCCATAAAAATCAAATGGTAGTTCCCTTGAATTTTTTAAATATAGAAAATAAAGATAAACCATAGGACATTCTTAAATATCTTCAAATAAGGACGAATATAACCATGGTTTAAAGAATAAAGGGAAATAAAATGCTCCGCAGGGCGCAGCTTGATACGACCGCAGAGGTCGAACCCTGAACAGTTGGGGCAAGTATGGACACAACATTCAAGCTTGATACAGCTCTGAATTTGGATTGTGATTAAATATTTGACACAGCATAGGTTTCTGACACAGAATGAATGTGGTCTAAGAACTTAAAAATTTTAAATTGGACATTCACCTATTATGGTCCAATATCCAAAATCTAAATACATGGTTAGATTCAGCATATCAAAGAACCCCAAGAATTCAATTTTTGATGAAATCAAACAAAGTTTAATTTTGGACCCTTTTGACCTCAATGTGGACAAAGTTGATAACGGGGCCCAAAAATCTAAATACATGGTTAGATTCAGCATATCAAAGAACCCCATATATTCAATTTTTGTTGAAATCAAACAAAGTTTAATTTTGGACCCCGATTTGGACCAACTTGAAAACTGGGCCCATAATCAAAAATCTAAATACATGTTTAGATTCAGCATATCAAAGAACACTAAAAATTCAATTTTTGTTAAAATCAAACTAAGTTTAATTTTGGACCCTTTGGACCTTAATGTAGACCAATTTGAAAACGGAACCAAAAATTAAGAATCTAAATACACGGTTAGATTCCGCATATCAAAGAACCCCAATAATTCAATTTTTGATGAAATCAAACAAAGTTAAATTTTGGACCCTTTGGACCTCAATGTGGACCAATTTATAAACGGGGCCCAAAATCCAAAAACTTAATACACGGTTATATTCAGCATATTAAAGAACCCCAAGATTTCAAGAATAAAACCCCATTGAAATTGATCAAGAAATAAGCAATTTATAAGAAGTATCTTCTTTTGCACAATACTGTGCAATTGAATATTTCTTGCTATTGCGCAATACTGTACAATTGACAATTTCTTGCTATTGTGCAATATTGTGCTATTGGATATTTCTTGCTATTGCGCAATACTGTGCAATTGAAGATTTCTTGCTATTGTGCAATACTGTGCAATTGAAGATTTCTTGCTATTGTGCAATACTGTGCAATTGAAAATTTCTTGCTATTGCACAATACTTATTATATAAAAATTTACACATCCTGTTTGGTGTGTATCTCCTACCATATCATTATTATTTGCTTTTAAATATAAATCAGAAATAACCAACTTAAAATGGAAAATTTTAAAAGAAAAAAAAAAGGAAAAAAAGAAAAAAAAAGAAAAAAAAAAATCCCCCCCCCCCCAAATTTTTGGAATCCCCTTATGATTCATCACCCCCAAACTCAATCCCAGCCTTCCCTTTGTGGTATGGTACCTTGCAGTACAATTTCAGAGAGATCCATACACTTGAACACAAGTTATTGTCTTGAAACTAGAAAAATGCTTATTTTTGGCCCCTTTTTGGCCCCCAATTCCTAAACGTTTCAGGCAATTACCCCCGAACTCAATTCCAGCTTTCCCTTTGTGCTATGAAACCTTGTAGTACAATTTCAGAAATATCCAAACACTTACACACAAGTTATTGTCATGAAACTAGAAAAATGCTTGTTTTTTGCCCCTTTTTTGGCCCCTAATTCCTAAAATTTTGAGGCAATTACCCCCAAAATCAATTACAGCCTTCCCTTTGTGATATGGAACCTTGTGGTACAATGTCAGAGAGATTCATACACTTACACACAAGTTATTGTCTGAAAGTTACAAAAATGCTTATTTTTGGCCCCTTTTTCCTTAACCGTTGGTACCATAACCCCCAAAATCAATCCCAACCTTCCTTTCGTGGTATTGAACCTTATGGTAAAATTTCATGGAGATCCATTCACTTAAACTAAAGTTAGAGTGCGAAAACCAATGTGTCTTCGGACGACGCCGGACGACGACGACGCCAACGTCATACCAATATACAACCAAAAATTTTTTAATTTTTGCGGTCGTATAAAAAGAGAAAGAAACAGTGGTCCACAAAACTATTTCAGGAAGGGTTAGCAATTCCTGCTTAACTAGTGTACCCATCATGTTGCTTATTAGATAAAAAAAATCCAGTGATAAGTCATTCTTTTGTAAGTAGTGGTAGTGATGACTTTAAACATACAAATTATGCAGTAAAAAAAATGGGTCTAAGCTTCCCTGTGGATGTCGGTCCACTCAGAGAATTATTTAATACTCCTTGTCATACAATAAATTTATTTTTGTTTTTTCAGGGTTCTGGTGTTTATGGGTAGTGGTATTTTTACTCATTGTTAGCTGTGTGATTTGTATCCGACGCAGAAGAATGGCCAGAGCTCGTTATGTTAGAATTGCACAAGTTCCTACTGGTGGCTACAACACAATTGTTACTAATCAAAGTCAGACACAGTACACACATGTTCAGACACCGAGATATTATCAACCACCAACAGCTCCTATGCCACCACAGTATCAACAAACAGAGATTCCGGTAAAAAGCTTTAGATTACTAATTACCTGGCAATTGTATTTTCACTTTCTTATCAAATGTTAAAGAAAGGGAAACTGCATTGACCTTTTTTTAGACAATTTTTAATTTAATGAAAGTGCTAGGATTATCATTTATGTCAAGGATTTTTTTTTTTTTTAAGTTGAAAGATTTTTTATGTTGTCTTTTATACTAATTCCTTTTTTAAACTTGATTTAAGCCATTATTGTTAATGATACATTTTTTTTTTACAGAAACAACCACCACCCCCTTACCAGCAATGAGCAGTGCACAGTATGGAAGATAATGGAAAGGGTATTTATTGACCAATCAGAATAATTTGAGGTTTTAGGATTGCTATTAAAGATGCAGTGAATCAAAATGTATGACATTTAAATGATTATATTACTTATTATTAATTTTAACTCATATTTTGTACATTGTTACATATGCTATTCAGATTTGTTTGTTAAGTTTTGTTATAGAATAATACAATAAGTCATTGAACTTATTTGGAACAGGAAATACAATTGAATTATTATTCTAGTATTCAATTTTTATTTTTGCAAAGTATGGATATGATATTAGTAGCTGTACATTATGTAACGATCAATTGATTATTCAAAACCATTTTTATCAAATTATGCTACATTAATTGTCAACAGAACAATGTATCTTAGGGAGCTACCATTTGATTTTTATGGGGGGCTAGGATGAAATTTGAAAAAAATAGGCAGGATGAGACACTTTGCAAAAAAAAAAAAGGCAGGATGACAATTTAGGTAAAAAAAGTCAGGATAAACTAATAAAGAAAAGGCAGGACCGAATAGAGTGCAAAATAAAAAGGCAGGACAGAGATTACAACTAAAAAAAAAATGCAAGACAAAATATTTCATCCTAGGCCCCCCCCCCCCCCCCCCCCCCCCCATAAAAATCAAATGGTATCTCCCTTATGCATACAATACTTATTTTAATACTATGAAAAGTAAAGATCAGCAGTTTACTATTTAACAAGAAAAATATTTCATAACAAAATTCTCCACTTTCATATCTATTTCATTTTATATAATCTTGAGCATGTTTATTATTTCAGTTTTATTTGTACATCTTGATACTTAAGTAATTTGATTTATACTACAACTAGCTGTGTTAAGTTTGAAATTTGTGTTACAATTTAAATAGCTATCACTGTTTTGATTCAAGTTGCAGTATAAAAACAATATTAGGTCAATGTCAGAAAAATATAAACTTTTTTGTATTCAGCACAAAACTGGGGAAGAGCTCGGTAAAACATTGCCCTTCCCCAGTTTCTCAGCCTCACACAAAAAAGTTTATATTTTTCTGACATTGACCTAATATTGTATATTTTCATAGTGAATTATCAATATATTTAAAATTTATTTGTATACATATGGTTCTTACTATTTTTTTTCACAGTGAACAAATACACGACAAAAGCTGTATTTCATGATGCATACAAATTTTTATGTTTTTCTTTGCTTTGGAGAAATATAGCTATTTTATATTGTCTGTCATATGGTTAAACAGAAATCTGCATTTTACTAATGTATAAAAACCCAAGTAAATAGCTTTAAAGGAAATTTATCAGAATGTTGTTAGTTAACGAAATAAATATTTGTACATTTTACTTCCTTGTTTTATCAATAAACTATAATATTTTGTTTGAAGTAAGATATGTACAATATAAAGGCCATTAGCATTCCTTACATTGCAATCGGGTGAGTAAACTAGTGCTCTGGCTCTTAAAATTCCTGCAATTGAGAGACACACAATGAATTTATATTTTGTCCGGCAAATATGACAGTTTTGGAAGCCTTGCAAGGAGCCTCTTTACTCATGTAATGAATGCATATATGTACGTATTTTAAGTTATTGAATATTTAGTTAAGAGTTATTTATTGATTGATTGATTGATTGATGTTTAACTCCACATTCAGTACTATTGTGATTTTTCATGGCCATCAGTTTTTATTGGTGGAGGAAGCCAGAGTGCCCAGAGAGAACCACCGACCTTATATGAAAACTGACAATCATAGTCAATAAAGATTGGAGTCGAGCACCTGCCACGTGCAGGATTTGAACTCACAGGCTAGTGATACAGTAGTTTGACTACTTAAACCACTGGACCTCTGAGGCCCCCTATTAAGAGTTATTATTTACTTCCTTCAAAGTTAAGTCATCAATCCTTTCAACATTGTTAATTTCACTGCTGAGTGAAGAATATTATAAAGTCGGGTCACTCGTTAAAAAAATGTTTTGATATCAATATTAGACTCTCACAATTGACATTTTTGCCCCCATATTGTAAAATTTTACATAGTTTCTTGGTTAAAATTGGATATGAAAAAACCCTTTTCCAAATGAAATTATTTCACATTCACAAATTTTTTAACATAACATCTGTTGGGGCAAGGGTGTCCCACAGGTCTAGATATCAATAAAGATCTCAAAATATGGGTTTTTTTTTTTGCAATTTTTTCCAAAATTCAAGAATTTTGTTTGCCAGAGCAATATTTGCTTAGCAAGACTTGTGATCACAAAATTCAAGAACAGTGATATGGGTGTATTTGACAGACATTTTGAACATCTGTAGATGTTTTTTTTGCTAGTCATTATACTTGGGACAATTTTGCAATTAAAATAAAAACAAACAGTGGCCACCTACCTTCTCTTTTTTCAGCTTTTTTTCCTACCAGAATACCATACAACTGTTAACAAGAGAGACAAAAGATAGCAAAGGGACATTCAAACTTATCAGTTGAAAATGAACTGACATCATGATGGCAAAAAAAGACCAAAATACAAACAATAGTACACAAACAACAACATAAAACTAAAGACTGAGCAACACGAACCCCACTAAAGATGAGAACAATCTCAGGTGGTCCAGAAGGGTAAGCAGATCTTGCTCCACATGTGGCAACTGTCCTGCTGCTTAAGTACAAACCTGATGGAGAGTAATTCGGTAAGTCACATTTGGGGAAAAAGAGGGCAGGATTGTGGTTATGACGATTTGAACATATCCGTCATCATCTAATCCATGACGGTCAACCAACTAGTGATCAAGTCAAATTTTCGAAAGGATGATTTCAACTTTACAACTTTAAAACGCTTGTTTCAATAGCTTCCTTGTGAGCAGCAAACCCCAATCATTGAAATCATGATAGATATCGCAAGCCCTGGAATAATGTATCAACTAGGAGATATATACTCCATATGCTGGCGCTGCTGGAATATTGATCCATAGAAATGGAGAGTTCCCAATTGGTCAACAAGTGATCAATTCTACCATATATCTATCAAAAGATGTTCGAATAAATGTGGACACAGATGATGCCCCCGCTTGCATATCATATAGTTATAAAGGGACATAACTGAAGAACGGTAAAAGTGACGCTACCCAAATTTGAACTTGATCAGAGTTTTGTGGTAATAAGCATTGTGTATAAGTTTCATAACATTTGGTAGAGGCAAACTAAAGTTAGAAAACGGAAACAAAAATTTGTACTTGATCTTAGTTTTGTGGTAATGAATATTGTGTATAGGTTTCATAATGTTTGGTTGGGGCAAACTTAAGTTACAGAATGGAAACTAAAAATTTTGCAATCTTTCGATTTATAAAGGGGCATAACTCAATAATGGTTAAAGTGACACGACCTAAATTCAACTTGATCTGTGTTTTATCAGTGGAAGTCAAAATTAAACATTGAATTGTATAAAGCATTGATTGTAGTTGATTCAACTATAATCATGGACAAAGGAAGATAACTCCAATTTTAAAAATTACTTGATATTTAGAAGAAACTAAAAATTTTGCAATTTTTCCATTTATAAAGGGGCATAACTCTAGAACGGTTAAAGTGACTCCACCAAAATTCGAATTTGATCTGTGTTTTGTGGTAATAAGCATTGTGTATAAGTTTCATAACATTTGGTTGAGGCAAACTCAAGTGAGAGAACTGAAACCAATTTTGGGAGGTACGTATGTAGACGGAAAAGGGTAAAACTTAATGCCCCCACCGCTACGGCGAGGGGCATAAAAATATGTATGTTAATTTCAAGTCTTAAATTGTTTAAAGAGCTTAATAAACTTTGTTTAGTTGACTCACTTGATGCTGTGTTCAGCAAATCAATGTCAATTTCAAGTCTTAAATTGTTTAAAGAGCTTAATCAACTTCAGTTGCAAGATATGAACAGGTCTATAGTTGCCTGTTCTATCCAGCTCACAAAAAAATCATTCAAATTGAGGTAAAACGATGATTTACATACTTTTTTAATCTATGACTCTTTAATATAAGAAGTTTATTGTCAATTTTGGTTATTTGACTTATTTGAAGGGTTACTTTGAACTGTTTTGCCTTTTAAAGATTTCCTAGCTCTATCTATCATAGTTGCTATGAAAAACCAAAAAAAATGGTAAAAATAATCTTTCAAGGCAAACAGCTCCAATAAGGGATTAATTAATGATTTTGCTCACGTTGAATTATTAGTTCTTACTATGCTGAACATTTTTGGCAAATAAGTTTCTACCCATCCTAGTTTCAGCAAAAAACTAAAAAAAATTGTAAAAAATTATCTTTCAAGGGCCACAACTATAATGATTAATTGAGACACATATAATTATTTGAAGGTCTTACTTTGCTGTTTGAAGTTTCTATCATAGTTCCTGCAAAAAAATGGTCTTTCAATGGTTATTACTCCTATATTAAAAGGTTTAAATGACAATTTCAGTCATGATGACTTATTTGTAGGTCTTACTTTGCTTAACATTTTTAGTCATCTGACAAAGTTTTTGTATATCTATCATAGTTTCAGAACTAAACTTAAAAAGTTTAACAAAAATAGGCTTCTAAGGGAAGTAACTCCTTCAGGGATCAATGGACTAATTCAATCCTATGGCTTATTGGTAGATCTTGCTTTGCTGAATATTTTGCTATTAAAAATTTCTTTTTATCTATAATAGATTTCAAGATCATAAACAAATACTGAGAAATTTCTAAAAGTTATTATTTTAGGAGCAACAACTCTAAATTGGGTTGTCGGATTCATCTGATAATTTTCTAGCAAATAAATCTTGACCTGCTAATTTTTTGTCATGTCATTTTTGCTCCAACTGATTTAAGTTTTTAAAATATAAGGCAATAAAATGCTCCCAGCAGGGCGCAGCTTGATACGACTGCAGAGGTCGAACCCTGAACAGTTGGGGCAAGTATGGACACAACATTCAAGCTTGATACAGCTCTGAATTTGGATTGTGATTAAATATTTGACACAGCATAGGTTTCTGACACAGAATGAATGTGGTCTAAGAACTTAAAAATTTTAAATTGGACATTCACCTATTATGGTCCAATATCCAAAATCTAAATACATGGTTAGATTCAGCATATCAAAGAACCCCAAGAATTCAATTTTTGATGAAATCAAACAAAGTTTAATTTTGGACCCTTTTGACCTCAATGTGGACAAAGTTGATAATGGGGCCCAAAAATCAAAAATCTAAATACATGGTTATATTCAGCATATCAAAGAACCCCATATATTCAATTTTTGTTGAAATCAAACAAAGTTTAATTTTGGACCCCGATTTGGACCAACTTGAAAACTGGGCCCATGATAAAAAATCTAAATACATGTTAAGATTCAGCATATCAAAGAACCCTTAGAATTCAATTTTTGTTAAAATCAAACTAAGTTTAATTTTGGACCCTTTGGACCTTAATGTAGACCAATTTGAAAACGGAACCAAAAATTAAGAATCTAAATACACGGTTAGATTCGGCATATCAAAGAACCCCAATAATTCAATTTTTGATGAAATCAAACAAAGTTTAATTTTGGACCCTTTGGACCTCAATGTGGACCAATTAAAAAACGGGGCCCAAAATCCAATAAAATGCTCCGCTGGGGCGCAGCTTGATACGACCGCAGAGGTCGAACCCTGAACAGTTGGGGCAAGTATGGACACAACATTCAAGCTTGATACAGCACTGAATTTGGATTGTAATTAAATATTTGACACAGCATAGGTTTCTGACACAGAATGAAAGTGGTCTAAGAACTTAAAAATTTTCAATTTACCTATTCATACATGTGATGGACTGTGAAACTCAGATCAGGAGATTGGGAAATTTTGGTCAGGAGATTAGGACTCAGATCAGGAGGTTTTTAATCGACATTAATTTTGTTGTAAATGTAACCGTGTGCTGTAAAAATGGTCTTTTAAAGTGTGTTTTCTTCAACTTTCCAACCAATTTATTATGTTTATAGTACCCTTGTACTTATAAAGTTTCTCCATCTTTATATTCTACATGTTCAATCTAACATTGTTTTTTTCCAGTATGTTCTTTAAATTTTTTACTTCATATTCTATAAAACAATCATTGCAACCAGAACATTTGTTTAGCTGTCTGCAAATAGTTTTTATTTTTTTTTTTTTTCTCTTGCAAATAGTTTTTATTTGCAAACTCAGAAATTCATTCTATCTGAAAAGTTAGGGTCATAGTTATTATATAAATTTCAATTTAAGCCTTAAAAGGAAGTATAGAATCCTCAAATAGTTTTCAAATTATTATTTTTTTATTTGTCCTAAGACATTTAAAATCATTTAATAACCATCCTTTTATG